TTCATTAAGCAGCATTTCCATCTTGCCTGTACGCATCCAAAAGTACGTTTGGCGGTTATTTTGACGCAGTTTCGTTCGAATTCAAATATCCTTCACTCGAAAAATGTTATGAATGTCATTGTCATCTCAGCTGCCAATTCCATGAAATTGCATGCCATTTTCTCTCTAGTAATGTATTTTTGCAATGACTTATGATTCAACAGTCACCCATCGAGAATTTATGATTTAAAGTCTTCCATAGAGAAACAAATACCGTGATAAACTTCCTTAACCTTACAACGGAAAATCACATTTGTTGTTGATTTATTTGGGCAATGATATTGATAACGATGAAAAACACGATGAACACCCTTGAGGTTACCCTGAGGCGGGATTTCAAAACAACTTAAACACAAGTTGACAAACAGGACCGGGTGCAGCCAATATTCTGTTTACTCTTCGGTGGGGTATAATCATATGAAATATAACTTCTCTTTATTTACAGCAAAACATTAAAACTATGCTGCAGGTACTCATTTAGTTAAAAGATACACTCTTTAACTAGCGATTTTAATGATCGTGAAAAATGTTATTAGTTGAGCGCCTGCTAGTCGATAGGACACCTTAATCAACTACGATTCGAGATGTTTTGACTTTGGCTCCACTTATTTTGATGAGAAAAAGAGACACGAAGAAGAGCTTTTTACAATATGCGAAGTATGCTGAGTCAGCATCGAGCAGTTCGCATCATAACACTCATTTTAATTTTCCATTTTAAACTGTTTTTCTTTCCAAATTGAGGTACTTGAGTCTCTAGTCTCGGGATGATCTTGAAAGGAAATTCCTTACTGAACTATTTCAGTGTTACGGGATAATCTAAAAGGGAAGTTAAATTATGCACCAGTATTAACACATTTAGTTCAGAAGTATTGTAATTTTAGAAAGGAAGGTTATGCTGGCTTAGATAGCTTTCCTATTTCATAATTTTTTTAATATCGTCTGACTCCTTTTATAGTATTACATTTAACATTACATTTACTGTTTTTTTTTTCAGTTTTTACCATTTTTAACTGCCTTTACCTTTTAATATTTATAAATTACTTTTAAAAATTATTTATATATCTTAGGGGAGGGTCACAAGTTTACCAGTTCTACAGGACACGCTAAACAAGATTTAAATGCTTTCATTATGACTTTTTAAATATATTAGTTTCCTATTAAAAGAAAAACAAAAGCCCTAGGGAACGAAATGACCTCTTAGATTAAGCGGATTGAAAGAAAACGTGGAAACGGAGCTTATAAAATTAAATCATGCTTAAGCTTTCGATGAAGTTCGACTAGTTGTGTTTCACTACCATTTCAGCCACAAATACAGATATAACAGGTTCTTTGTTTCTTGTTGAGGAATCTGATCATGAATTAATAAAATAAATAATATTCTGACTAATGAGCGATAACACATCGCGGAATGGTTGAATAGATTGCATAAAAAGTAAAAATGCCCGACTGAACAATATCAGAAGTATGCACAGTCAGCGTCGAGCAGCTTATATAACGCCTCAATATTTCTCTTGTCATTTTCTCATTATGAAATGAAAAAGATATTGAATTCGAAACCTGTCTCTCTTATGTATTGCTTTTCGCCCCACCCTTTTACCATAGAGCATTTTGACTGGTTGATACAGAAAGGGAGAAACCGAAAAAGATCCGAAACGTTTTTCGTTGTGAGCTCATCATAGCTTCCGGCGGATGGTTAAGTTATTTGACATCACTCGCCCCGCTGGACTTCAGACAACATGAAAGAGCTTTTGGGGCACAACTTGTTGTTAGTGGCCATGGCTACAGGTCACTTCAGTTAATTCAGTAGAATCAAACAAAGTAATAGCGAGGTACTAGTGCAAAAGAGCCTGCTAAATACGGAAGTAGGCTGTAATGACGATAATGCTCGGAGAGATGACATAATATCCACAAAGGCTGTATGCGTTTACGACGGTCAGTATTTTTTCCCGTATTTACATTGTGGTCTAATCGACTCCCCCCACCCCCCGACTGTTGATATTCCAATTTCAATCGAGTTATTTAAAAAAAAACAAGGTTCCCAGATCAATACTGAGTGAATTCGTCTGTCTTAAGGTCTTGTTGGCCGCTTTGATGATAATGGCTCAACTAATCGACTTTAGCTTATCTTTTCAACATTCCTGGGGTATAATATGATTGAGACAAACTCCGCCGAAGCTAAACGCGACTGATTTCAGAACGTCTTTGAGACCACACGTAGTCTTGAGCTACTGTTAATGAAGGAAAATTGATGGCACGTGTCAGCGGAACTTTGATAAAGGTTCAGTCTTTCAAGTCAAACATAGACATTCAAGTTATATTAGATGAGGTGGACTGCGAGACGCAATCGGGCATCTTTCCACAAAGTAGCGCAGAGCAAGCTTAAAGGTGTATAAATATTTTACGAATCGTCTAACTCAATTTGTAAGGAATCTAATACCGATCGTAAGCATTTTTTTACGGCCTCATATCATAACTTGCATGCTTCACGTTGCAATTGCAAGAAGACTGCAGCACATTGTATGTTGGGAGGATAGTTTTATGCAACTTCAAGTAAATTTGCCAAGGTCGCGAATATTGAAACTGAGTCAGTAAAATTACAGTTGCAATCTTGCTAACGAACATGACTGAAACAAAATGCATGAATTTGTAATTAGATACAGTTTATTTTGGGGGGGAGTTAGGATGTGGTGATTTCGAAAGTGTTGTCGTAAATTTGATCTCAGTTATCTTTGTTTTCGCTTTATGACATCTTCCGAATGATACTATATTACTATCGAAATCAGCCCTGGAATGATTTAATAGATAAGATTATTTGAAAATTTGACCCCCAAGACTACTTACTTTGGAGATGTGACTACATCAAGACAAATACTTGTATCGCGTTAGTATTCAGTCAAAGGTCTGGCGGATGCAAGTCTTCAATATCATCTGCACATTACGTCGATAACTCAATTAATTTGTAGATTTTTAATGTACCCTTAATAGCGTTAAGCAGACAGAAAATACTAATTGAACAGATAAATGAATTGGCTGACAAATTAGGCCTTACCGTAACAGATAATTTAAATCAATCTCAATCACATCTTAACAGTAAATAATTAGTGAAGATATGATCCACACGCACCAAAACTGTAGATGGAAACTAAATTGTATGATCCACATTGTAGAGACACTTAACAGAAATATGTTCACATTTGAACTAGGTCAGGAATGAATAAGCTACGAAGTAAAATATATGAATGACCTCGACAACAATATTTTGAGAAGAGCTGTTACTAACTTGTTTCTAAGGAAATACTTAGGTTTGATATTAAAGCAGCGTTCTCGCGTATAACTCTACACTTACAAAATAAGGATCAGATCCAAGAAGTAAGGAATTGAACATTCTAAAGAGGTTTTAACATGTGCCTCGCCCGCTAACGGATTACTGTATAATATAATGAATATTTACCTAAAACGAATGAACGTGGATAGTGAAACTGCCCCCTTTAGAAAGTGGATCCTGCGTTGGTGAAGTGTTTTGGCTCTCTTTCGTTATAACTTATCAATCTCCGAAAAAAAAAGAAAGTACGAAGACAAAATACCTTTGGTTCTTTAGCTTTCAGCTTCACTCAGCCCGCACAGCCAACGGCCACCGAATCTCGAATTCAACTGAACCTGTAGCAAATAAGTTTACTCCAGAGCTATCCGCTGCCTTTTATCGCACGGCTTCATATGTTGGAGAGCCTTTTTTGAACCTTCAGAAAGGATCACCTGATCACGTGTAGCTTCCGTTTAGATTAAAGAAAACGAGTTGTTGTGAAGAACATGATTCATTTGGAAACTTAGACGTAGCCCTCTGAAAAATAATCTTCGCTGTTTATCAAAGGGGGCCAAGGTTGCACTTGTGAATAACATCTGCCATTTATTTAACCTGTCTTCGCTAACTTTGTTCGTCCTACAGTTTATTTCAAATGCCGTCGACAAAAGATATGTCCCTCAGGGCTTTGATCGATTATGTTTCTAGCAGATGAAAGCTGTGTTACTTGACCCTTAAAAGAATTTTCAGCGACTGACGGATCCCGATGAATATGTAAATATGCTCACCCGTGATTGCTCGTCCACTTGTCGCTTTCAAGGTCGCAAAATTTGCGTAGAAATGAAAATGAACATCAGAGTGAAACGTGCACATTCTTTTCCTTTTTGGTGCTCGGTTATGGCACATATGTACTTCAAGTTTCCTTCCATCCTGACCAAAATAGTGGAAATTATGATAGCATGTAGTTCTTGCAACTTTAGAAAGTTTGTCTTACTATTTCAAGCTATCAAAATTTTCATATTCCTGAGGAGTTAAGACCAAACAACAACAACAATACATTGTACCACCGCTAACAACAACAACATAGTTCCTTAGGAAAGTTACGATTGAGCTGCTTGCCAAAACATTTATGCACGCCATGAGAACCTACACTTTTTATAAACGCTCCTGCTACTGAGACCCTCAAGTGGACAGGGTAAATATTCAGTATTATCAACCGAGTTGATCAGTAAATTGTCTACAATTCATAACGAAATGGCTCAGTTACGATGAACTGGGAGACCAAACACTGGCTGTGACCCAAGAGAGTAGGGAGTTCAAGTGAATGCTGGGGGAAGGGATTGGCTGTAGTCGAAGTTGATAGACTTTCTTCTGTTGTTGTTGTTTACTTTCTTTAACGCTGTGACCAAATTCCCGGCGGCCGGGCACGGTCTCAAATAGCCCGGCAGTCAGAAATTTTTACAGGATTTCCACCGAAAATTTCTTTCAAACTTCTCAGGAATATCAAATGCCTTAGAAATGTCGAGGGATTCCAAAATTTGTACATACTACAATACCGCACGGTTGTCGACTAGCTACAAAGAGAAGCAACAGGAACTTGAAATGTAACACCTCATGTCAGTATTATGTCACGGGAATGTTCACGCTTTCCGTCACGGGACGACTTCCGCAATAAGGTCAGAATCAACTTTCACTCTCCACAAATGTTGCTTCAGCTTCAAGAAAGTTCAGAACAGACGAAATCGTTCGATTGGTTATTTCGACATAGATCATAATTCCCTGTTTTGGTTTGTAAGCTTCACAGTCGTATTGATCAGGCTTGGGAAAGTTTTCGGAAAACGTGGCCTTTGTTTTGGTTAAAGCAAAAACAAAAATTCAAGTCTGGAGAGGAGGCCAGATCCCGCGAGAATGAATGAAAATCATGACATACTGGACGGCAAACCGTTCAAACTCATCGTTTTTGGCGAAGCAGGTGTCGGAAAGTCCGGTGAGTTGTATAACTTTGATCTATAGCCGTTGCTGAACTAGTTCTCAGTGTAATTGTTGTGATTCGATATCTTCGGCAAAACAACGAACTTTTCATAGTTGTGATAAACTGTTTCGGATAATTGAATCTTATGATCACAAAGCCTGCATTTTATATTCCGTAAGTTTTGTTTACCATCTACGATAGCCGGAATATCTCGCCGAAGGAATCTTTCACTATGAAAACGAAAGCAAAACATTTTATATGATAATGAATGCTTCTTAGTTCTTTGCTGAGGCTAACTGTCAACAAAACTTACAAACATGACCTGGAGTCCTTGTGGTAGATTACGATCAAATCATTAAAAAGCTGGTTGCACGCAATAATTTAATTTTCGAGGAAAACGCAAATATTTGTCTCTAAATAAATTTTTAAACATTTTATCCTTAAAATTTTCAAAGGAAACTTTAGCTGATTTCAACCTTGTCAATATCATAAGGACACTGTCGAGAAAACATGCAATGATAACGTCATAAGTGTTGCTGGATGAGATGTTACTGTCTTAGCCAGGAAGATCTGTTTCGAATTAGATACGACTAAAAAGAAGCTGCAGTGAAGAGGAAATCGGAACTATTAGGGTTGTTTTGCACGATTTAAATGTTTTTGCGTCAACGACATGGTTAGATACGAAAGTGTTTCAATATCCAGTCTTCCTTGGTGGCCTCTGCTTAGTGACAAACAAGTCGTAAGAGATGTCACGCTAGCGACTTGAGTGGTCTTCAACCTCATTCTCAGTGTCCTCTCTCTTCCTTCCTCTATTTGCAAAGTTGTGTGAAATAACACTTGACATAACGTGTGCGTTTACTTTGTTATGAAGGGCGCGATCAGAGCCAACAAGTCAATCTTGCCAATTTTTTGAACGTAAAATACAGTGTAATCTAATCATGCTTGCCTTCCTTCTTTGAAATCAATTTTGTTGGTAATCCTGGTTAATTAAAATACTTTTCGGAATTTAAGGGATTTTTCAATCAGAATTTGTCACTTTAGGACTAGATCGTATAATTTATTATCTGATTATTCGTTGTGATGTAAAGGACTATCTAATTCAAATCGGTACGTGTTTCATCTACTACGACGGGGGGAGTGTAGCATTTAGTCGACCTACAAGTAAGAGTAAGGTAGAAAAACGGAATATTTCACGTAACTTGAGCTTTCGTCATCAAATTGTGATTACAGATGCAAATTTTATCACGTGAAGGTCAAGCAAGTGAAACTGTTACTAAAAATTGATGAACAAAGTTGTCGAGTTTGATTTGCTTGTTGAGCCGATCCAATTTCCTGTGAAGATTGCTCATTGTTTCTCGCAGTAGTCACCGAGGGAAGGCGGACTACAGTTTAGGCTTTATTAGCCTAAGACACCTTGTGGATAATACATGAATACAAAATTGTCACCATTACTTTTCGTCATAAGGACTACTTAGTATGACATAGGCTCGACTTTATCGTGTTCATGGTAACAGGGTGACTTAATACTCTTGATCTTTCACAGCTTACCACTTGACATAACCATTGTATCCAATCATGACTAAGAATAAAACCTCTTCATAGGATAGTAAGAGCCAGAATCCTGATAATTTAACTCTAATTTACCTTTTAGCCAACCATCTAATCACAATAATAAGAAAATTAAAACGACACTAAAAACAACAAATATTTAATACATGCGAAACATTTTCTTTTTTTTCATTTTTCCAAATGATTTTAGAGGTCTCTTGAATAAAGCTATCCTTTCCATGGTCGCTGTTCATTTGTTCGCGCCTCACGAAGTCGATTACATGTCAGTCAATTTTGGGAAGGTTCTATTTCTTGCAGTTTTGTTGACCATTAGATATCCTGCCCTCTTGTCATATACAGCTATCTTCACTTCCTTTCAAATGTTTACTAAGGAATTATTGGAAATTTAAGCTGAGTGTGTTCAATCGAGGGTGGGCGGTTTAATGTCAAGAGTTCATTTCCGTTACACTCACTGAACCCCCAAAAAATTTCATTTAGCCCATGAAAGGAGCCCAACAATGGGCTCCCGCCTATGTAAGTTTATGTTAAACCAATATGGTGAATGTTTGAATTTGATCATAATAACTGTGTTAAACCAACATGGTGAATGTTTGAGTTTGATCATCATAACTGTGATAACTGTAAAACAATTTTGTAATCCTCTCTATTTCTAAGATGATATGGAGTCAGTTTAGTTATTAAAAGCTTTTCGAGATTGTCAACGAAACCATACTAGTTAAACAATAAAGTAAAACTTCGGACGCCCAGCTAGCTAACTTGGCTGTTTCCATGCCCACTGACTCAGTATATTTGCGTTTTTCTTGGCAACATAACATCGCTTTAAAAGCGTAATTACGCACCAGTCATTCAGTTAGTCTAAAATTATGAAAGCTCTCCTGAAATAAACTAGAATTTTGACAATACCAACAGCCTACGCAACTTTTACAGACTAGACGATGCTTTTGTCCAATAGTTAAATTATACACACTATTTGGTGAGATTGTTTAAGCAGAATTCAAAACTTTTGCCGACCTCTCCAAGGAGAAACAGTATTTACTTGAAGTTACAGCAAAGTACTGGCACATTACCGTTTTCCGAGAATGCATGAATTGGCCTCTTGAAGACTGTTGTTTTGCGCAGCTCTTCCGGATCCTAAAACAACTGACTTTATTTCTCTCTTTTTCCGAACTGGTTGGTTTGTCCTCAAATTTCTGCAATCCACGGGGTGGTTTTAAAGCCTTCCTATCAAGTTGCTGGGTAAACCGCAGTAATACCCAAATGAATGAGTCGGAAAGCAAAGGGATTTTTATAATTAGACTTTTTGGACCAAAAAGACGTTGACCAAAAATTGATGTGAACTGTGTGCTCATCTTTCGCATCTGTGAATTTTACGCTTGATAATTATGTATCCTCGTGACAACAACGAGTGGTTCTGAAATTGCATCGTCCTGCGTACAGGTTGTTATGCACGTTCTTGACTGAACCCGCAGTTGGCATTTCATCAAGACACGGTCACCTGTTTTCTCTTTTGAAGTTTCCAAAAAAAACCAATCATTCGAAGTGCGTGGCGGAAGAACATTTTTGCCATTCACGTACGCGAAATCTAACTCTGTCTTTTTCGATATAGACTATATCTTGGGACACTCGAGAAATGAAAAAAGGAAACACCTTGCGTACGACTAACCCCATGGCAGATTATGACGATTTTTTCCTGACTTTTTTAAATCCACTTCAACCAAGGGCATCATTACAAACAGCATGCTTGAGGGAAGAAAATCACAGCGTGTTGCGATGTTAAATACGTGATCGCCATTTCATCCAAGAGGATTATCCATTCAAATCACTTTAGCCAATTGGCAAACATGCCGTATGTGTAAACAGAGACGAGAGAAAAAGAAACTCACTAATCGCTGTATGGCCATTACGACCCGGGATATTTAGTTCCCTACTGAAGACAATCCAATGCCTGGAACTCGAGAACGCCTCTCCCTTCTTATCAATCAAAGTTGTTCTCTAGGAAATTGATGAGGGAAAAGTTTCTGAACTTCGTCTTTTCGTGTGTTTTTAAAGAATTCAGTCGCCAAAAACATATGAAATGCATTGTCTAATTTTTTTTAGGTTCAGTCTAAAAGGCTGTCCTGAATTGCTGAGATGCAGCTCTAACAGCTTTCAATAGCGTATTTTTACGACTCTTCCGGTATGTATTACTGTTTGGGCAACGATGTCCAAAAAAAACGAAGGATTATTGTTTAGAAAATGCGAAATTTTCTACACTGAATGGCTCGTGTGCTTAACGAACCTTCTAATTACACTCGGCCAAAAGTTGTCGATTGTTTTAAACTTTAACAATAATCCCTGATGATGAACTGGAAGATTAATGCCAGAATTAACATCATTTCGACAGTTTTTTTGTGTAGCTACAACACTTGATATATCACCCATCTACTTTCACTCGACCGGAAATTCGTGGTTCAGATCCAAAGTGATCGTGCAATTGATCTTCCGATAACTGTGTTTTTCTATCATTATCAAATGCTATGATTCACTAAAGAAAATACTTGATTTGCTTATTCAGCATCTTGATTTAGCTAAAAAATATCTATTTCATAGTTTCATCCAACGCTTCAGCTTTTTTTTTTTAAAAACGTGACCTGAAAGTGGTGGTCTCTCGACTGGGTGTCTTTTTAATTAGCAAATTAAAGGTATGGAATGTTTGCGGAGTATTACAATTTCAATAAAAAAACAAAGGGCGAATTATTTAATCTGTGATTAAGATCTCTAAATGATGACAGGAGATAACCTTCCAAGGGCGCAGTACAATAAGCTGTAACTCGATGAATCTTTGACTTAAAGTAGTACCGTCGACAAAGACGGATGGTGTTAATTGCTCGTGTGCTAAATCTAGTAGAATTTGCTAAGGCTTTGATGATCTAAAATCGGGAAGATAGTCTTTGATCGTCTCGCACCGGAACAAGACTTCCACGCGTAGAAAACCCATAATTTGTAAACAGTTAACGCCTCTTGATTTCACTTACAAAGTTAAGAGTTGTAATGGCTGTGAATAAAAGTTTGGGAGTAAGCTTCGAGCATAAACATTTCTGATCAAGGGAGAGAAATAAATCGCACGATGAAGACAGCGCTGTTCCATTTAGCGCGAATGCTCCAAGCTATTCAAAATGAAAACCGATCTACGGGAAGTGGGTGGTTTATTTTTTTGTGGCAACCTGCTTGTATAATTATAGCTTTGCGCTTATAATTAAATTAAGCTTTGTGAAATACCACACTCAAAAGAGGTTAACGAAAAGGTCAAATATGAATGCCATAAAAGATAGATGGCACAATGGAGCGAAAAGTCCACACTAATATCTGCTTATTACTTTAGACTATCTACTTATTACTTTTGACATAAATACGTGCTTGTTTAAATTGAAAAAATTAGTTAAATTAATTCCGAAAACTATTGTTCAAAATACACAGAAGTGGTGTTACGTCTTACTGCTGCTTAAGCAATGCTATCTGTTTACAAAGAGAACTGAAGTTATCACGCAGGGAGTGGTGTTGCGTGCTGTTTCCAATGCATGCTTTCATCACGTACCGGTGTGAAATATCGTCAATTCGACAATCGTTTGTTCAAAGAAGTGAAACAACGCCAAGAAACAACCGATATAAATGGCCGTCAAGATACAATTTCAAGACTTATGCGTTATTTGAAGTTTATCATATGTCAGTGGGGGTGATGAAAGCACTCTTATCACTCTCTCGAACCTCCTTGTTTGAACCTTAGCTCATCAAAAAAATCATCTTCTATAGCGCCGTCTCTTCATTTCCTTCTACAAATACTAAAATTCAATTAATTAAACTGCCCATACGTTTTACCGCAGAGCAGACTCGACTTTGAAGATATCTCAAATTGGTTCATACGTGCTGTCATGTGTAAGAAAAGATAACTTCAAAACGTTTTCTCAAGGAGGTCGAATGTAAATAGGGTTTGCCTTAGTATTTCAATCTGTTCGTCAAAATGAGATTTAAATTTCCATTAAATTCATAAAGACCGCTGTAATGCTCTCACCAGTAATGTTCATTTGCTTTCCAAACATCGTTCGCTACTTTGACTAAAGATATATCGAGGATTTGAAAACATCAAGGAAAGATTAAGCCTAAGAGCAGCAATTACCGCTGATGATCCTGCGGTTAGTGAGGTGCAGAGATACCCCATTTTGTTATCATAGTCAAAGAGCCCTCCTTCCGACAAATCGTTGTTTACTTTTTTATCTTAAGATAAGATGTAAAGCGATGAATTTTTCTACAGGTACAGAAATATTAATTTTAATGAAGACTTCAGGGCTTCCCTGAAATCCAAGGTTGGAAACTTGAATACTCCTAAGTTTCGAAACGACCACATTTATTCAACAAGCTAATTCCTCCAGATGTGCAAGATGTGAGTAAAAAGAAACATTTCGCGGCGCATTATAACGAAAAGCTCTGTTATGGTGTCAACTCTTCTTTTAAAATGAATGCAAAGCCTTAGAGTCTTTGTCTAAATCGACGAATAAGGCGAGTCGTATCAGTACAAGAATCTGGTGACAGTGTCAGTTCCTTTCGGTCCCAAACAAGACAAATAATTGTTTTAGGCTTGGCCAGAAAGCTTTACCTTAGTCACATTTTAAATTTTCATATGAGGAGCACACACCCCGAGACAGCAATTCCGAGTACTGTAGAACTAACCGCATAAATATGGACAAAACAGTCACTTTATCGTTTTGTACCGACATAAATAGACTTACCTCATACAATTATCTTGATTTTCAGCTTTGAGCATTCGATACGTTTGCCAAGAGTTCTCGGACGCCTATGACCCAACAATAGGTACGTTGGACAGATTTATCAACCGTCAAGTGGATATTGCATTAACAGAAAGATAGTAGACATGACGTAAGAGGTCGATCGATCAGCTTCATATAAGTTCAATTAGGCGGACTTATAAACAAATTGAATTAGCACTTGAAAGCATCCTGTGGAGTTTAATTTGGTTTCTTTAGAAGGGAATCTGCACCCAGTGCCTCTCTTTGTTTGCTGAAATTACAAATGAAATGGTTGGTGGGTAAATTAAAAAGATGGTATTTATGTTTTTAAACAAGTTCTTCATTGTCTTGTCCTTTTCATCCTTTTGTTATAGCGAGAAATGGCTCATCTCCTGTAGAGGCCAGTAGAACCATGCCGAATTAAAAAAAAATTTGAACAGAATCACTACAATTGAAAAGATTGGCACACCCACACCACCAACTCAAAACATATGGCTAAATACCAAACAAATTCCAAAGAAACACAGAAACCTGACCACAAACAGTTCAAACACCCGGCTCAAAACAGAATGGCTTTTCAAATTCACACTTGGCAAAAATCCACAATACGAACCCAACCCAAAACAGCAACACAAAACTAAACCGAGAACAGAAAAAAATTTGTTTAGAGCCTGAGAACATACGTGCATTTAGCCAACACTTGTGGTTAAACATCTGTATATTTATCTTTCACACGTTTTATGCCCTGAAAGCTAAGAAAAACCCTTACCTTTATTTTACACGTATCATTTTACTTAGAATCGTTCATATAACGATGATACAAGCAACTCATTGCATCAGTTGGTTAGTTGTTGTTAAATTTTAGTAAAGAAGGGAGAAAAAAAACTGAACAAAAATTTCCCTCTGTTATTCGTCGCATGGTTGGATGCGAAATTTCTTGAGAAACATCAGGAGAGGACTTTATTCTCTCTCGGAAAGATTCATTGTTTCTTTGACCTTTAGATATGTAGATATGTATCTTTAGATACATCAAATCAATCCAAATAACTCTTTTGCTGTGGTTGTAGTGTATTTTTTTTACTTAAGAAATTCCGTACTTTCGAGATAATTCATTTTATTTCCAGGACTTCAGCTTGCCCCCTTCGTTCTCTTCCCATGCGCGTTAAGACAATTTCAATCACTGAAAGCACGACTTTTCTGAAAATCTTGCCTAGCATAGCTTTGACCGCGCTAAAATGTGATAGAGAGTAAATGTCTGAAAAAGTCTAGTTTTAGGAATTATTTGATACACTGAGATGCGGGCTGTTAAATGTCTCTTAAACTTTGGTTATTTTTAAGAGGATAACTACGAAATAAATATTGAGGTGGATGGATGCCCGATCAAAGTTGAAGTGGTTGACACGGCAGGAAACGTAAGTTTACCCAATCTCAATTTCACTCCCACGACCTTGAAGTACAACCATTCTTAACTCAAAGATCAAGCTACCCTCTGATCTTCCAGTCATTTCAGTGATGCTAGAACCCTGAATTACTGTGGCTCAAGCTGTGGTGACATTGGTCTCCAACACGTGACAAAAAGTTTACTTGACATTTAACAATTGAAAGTTACAAACAACACATAACATTTATCATCATTCTCCTCCCTTTATATAGTTTTAAACTAGATCTCCTTTCAGTCCAACTTCGCCCATTCTTTGTTCAGTAATTGTTTGTTACATTCACCCATGCGTAAATGTGTTTGACTCGTAAATAATTTTATTTAAGGACGTGTTCCGGCGAATGAGAGATCAATACATAAAAAGTGGGGACGGATTCTTATTGGTTTATTCCATAACAGACCGCTCTAGTTCCACTGCAATCACGTCTTTCCATGAACAGATCGTTGCTGCTAAAGGAAAAAAGGACAAAATCATACCTCAAATCCCCATTATTTTGGTTGGAAACAAAGTGAGCAAAGTTACTCATTGTTTTCTTGATTGTTATTTTTGTTATTGCTGTGGATTCGTGCTTCATTGACCTATTTATATGTCAGTATGTTGATTTCTCGATTTATTTTCATGTGGATTGTGCACGTCTTTGAATTGTTGCCTCTGCGTTAGGTAATTATTCCGTAGTATCTGCTTGCGTCGTTTGCCTTTCTCCAATTTGCACTGATTTCTGTGAAATCGGTTCAGAAGTCATTAGAGAACCTTCAAATGACGTCTACTGGATTCGGTGAAAAAAAGGGAAAAAAAGTTTTTACAATAAAACATTGTAACCTGAATAAAATTCTGTTTTACATCAATAATGCCCACATATCGATCTACCACATACAGACAAAACTGATGTTGTTACTCTCTGGAGGAATTTTATCTTACTGGTGGGATGGTTTAAATCTTACTTTAACTCTGGCTCACATGTAACCTCACTACAACGAAATGCATTCTTGACCATCGTATAATTATTTTCTGAAATCACAAGTTCCCCGCCATTTTGGGCAAGGCTCGGCGAAATCCTCATTTTCTGAAGTCGCACGTGTCTGGTTTCTATTTTGTACTATTCTAAATCTTATTTTGTTCCATCTTCAGAGTGACCTAGATGATGAAAGAGAAGTTTCATATCAGGACGGGAAAAAAATTGCTGCTTCCTTATGTTGCTCATTTTTTGAAACCTCTGCCAAGAACGACATTGGTGTAGATGAAGTATTTGCCAACTTGGCAAAAAAAATGAGAGAATCTAGAGCGAACTCTGTCCGGAAAGCTTTCATAAGAGATCGACATAGATTCTCTTTGCGAAATCTGTCGCTAAAGGAGAAGAAATGTAAAGAGAAGCTGCAGGCCTTTAGGGCAGGTGAGACAAAGTCCAAACTATCTAAGAGGGCCAATGGAAGATTTAGGGGACTTATTTGCGGAGCAAGAAGTCTGGATACCATTGATGGTTAGAACTCTGTGATACAGATATCTATTAAAAATCTTTTGACAAAAATATCTTTCCAAACCAATAGGGGAATTTGTAGTACGATGTACCATGAAGGATTTTAAGTCAAAGGTTAGAGAACTACAACTTTTCATTGTGATCTTTATTAGTCTATCGACTCACGACCTAAAGAAGGTTTCAGAGCCTGATATACATGAAAGAACATAAAGCAATCTAAAATTGAAGTTCTCCGGAGCTGAAATTCGGTTGTTTCAAGTCTCCTAAAAATATCGTGTTTGTTGATGTTCGTGAGCCTTTCATTGTATTTCTCGTAGTTGAAGGCTGCGTCTTACTGACGCCTATATGAATGTCAAAATAATACCATATGTTTCCCAAGCAGCAATATTTTGAAGTCTACAAGAAGCTTGCTAAGCTTTAGTTTGTAAGATATTAGACTAATTTTTTAAATTGATAAAAATATCGAACGTTCTTAAACGAGCTACGAAAAAGGTGTCAAGAAATCTTTTTTTCTTCGAGTGATAATCTTAGTATCTTGTACTTAAAGATAAATAATTGAGAGGAAAGCAGCTCAGAATAGTTACCTGCTGACGAGCTCAGGTGCTTTTTAGAGCACTCAGTACTCAATAGCAGCGGTAATTTTTACATCAAGCCAAGCAAAGTAAGGGTGTATCCTTCTTCAAGGACCATGTTTCTTATTTGATGATGCTAAAATAAGAAAGTCAAATTTTTTAGCGAAGTCTAAGTAGAAGGACACCTGCTGCGCTAGTGAGTATTCTAGAACAATTTATTTGAAACACTTGCACCGAGGCTTACTTAGAAGCCTTCGTTCCTTAATTTTTATCCCTACGATATTTTTAAAGTATTTTGCATGTCGGCAGATTGCATAAGCGCCATTTCTTACTCTGACCAAAGCTGCTGTTGCATTGCAAGAGCTAACGGTAGTCGGTAGAATACTGGTCCACCGCTTTCGTCAGTCTCGTTACTAAATCATAAATTAAAGCGCAGACTATAGTTTATTTGTAATGTAGTTTTTGTCTCCTGAACGAGGTCCGAAGTTTAACGCAAGAGGTAGACAAGGTAATATTAAAGTTCTGTCTAGCATATAATATTAATCATCGATATTTCGTTCATGCCTTGACGAAGACTGTATAAGGAAAGCCAGAACAGGAGTGGTATTCTGACTCGGACATCACATGAACATCACATGATGTTTTACAGATGAATATTTCGTCGCTCTTTCTATACCCAGCGACCTCGGTTGCGACGTATTTCTTTGTACATTAATTGAGGTAATCTCTTCAACTCTTTTGTTTTCTTCCTGGCTTGAAAATGAGTTGAAACCAGCACCGTAATTCCGACAAGAACAACTGCCAGCATTATCCATCCCCCAATCTATGAATTAAGACAAAAAGTTGCACCTTTACTAGCATATCTCAATAATAACAGCGCTAGAATAAATTACTTTTCAGGATATCATGGAGTGAAAAGAGGTGACTTGCTTTCCTAAGGGGGGTGGGGAGAGAACGATCCTAACGTCCTCAAAGTGTCATAAACTCAAATCTAAGATTTTCCAATCAACTATCACACTGAAATTTATTATATGATAACAGAGCACAAATTAGTAAAGTGAACTATTGAAAAAAAGCTCCGTTGAAGATAGCGTTTTAGTATAATATTTTCCATCGTCATTTTCAATAATATCTGAGAGATTTGATAATAGTTTACTTCATTTAGGATGTTTACTCTGGACTTAAAATTTCTAACGAAATTGATCGCTAAGATACGCCAGCCCCACCCCCCCCCCTCCCCACACACCCCACGAAGAGAGTAAAACAGCATGGCGGTCGTTAAATCATTAAATGGAACGAAATATTCCATTCTCTACAAAGAAGGGCACTATCGCTTGTTTAGTATAATAGCTTAAATGATTATCGAGAGGTGAATACTCTGATTTGTCAAGGTAAGGTAATGACAATTATTGAAGGTTTAATTTAAGAAATGACCACCGCATAATTAAACAAAAAACTGGAAGTAACTTTAGTTGCTCCGATAATCAGTTTGGTAACTGAGCAAAGCAATCATATCTTTTCCTAAGGCTCATTGGATACTATAGAATGATCATATCGACTTCACAATGGGGATTCTTCATAAATAATTTCTTTGCCTTGGGGTGTTTTTTATGAATTAATTCAATTCTAATGATCTTTGCTTTTAAAATCATCACGAGTGAATAATAATGATTTAAGTTTAAATCTTGAAATTCTGTGTTGTAATTACAGTAATGGACTTTTGATAGCGTGTTTGATATGCGCACGTTTTAAATAATGTATGCAGACCTGTAACAATATAAAAATGCAAAAAAACGTTGGTCTGTCACCATGGTCACTTAGAAATCGGTACACTTTATCTATCGGAAAAAGCATGGTAAGATAACTGGGAATCGATGATATCCAATCAAATTTGTTCCTGATAAGTGAAATATTTAAGAACTAAGGGCAATTTCCTTTAATAGCCTCGAAAACCATTGTACTTTTTCCCCCTCGAGTTCATAGAATAAACGTCCAACGTCTATTAAGGATTATTATTGCACCTTGTAAGCTGCCGGAGAGGCAGGTGTTTGAAGCATGGTCGTTTAGCACTTTACTGATTATTTTTGTTTCGGTCTGCCATTAAATTTTAGTATTAGCATTCTTCATCTTGTAGGTTTTTCCACAATGGTTGTTTGATTGTTGTTATTGCTTTTTCTATTTCATAGTTTAGCTCATTATTTTTGTATTTCTACACAAGTTGACTTTTGATCGAGCCGCCTGCCCACGCACGTAATAGTTAGTAGTGTCACGGACGTATTATGCATTCAAATAAAAGCATGATTTCTAATTTTCCGTAAGATCTGTACTGGCCTGGCTAACCGTTGAAATAATTCGATCCGTTTTGATTCTTTTAACGTTGTTGGTTACTCGGTTGCGCGCTTAATATTCAGTTTTTCTTTGAATTTTCGTGTCGTTGTTGACATCATGGCTCAGTGGAGTGCCTTTTTAAATGTACACAGGTCGTTTTTATCATGCGAAAACACTATTTATAAACCCTGTGATAATAATCGCTGTGCAATTAATAATTTTTCTACTAAAACCCATGATATTTTTAATTCTATTTGAATTCTATGTCTTCGGCATGTTTCTGCTTCATCCTAAGCATGTCAGTGAAAACATATTAAAAGACGAGGGTGATTAAATTTATCACAAATAATTCAAAGCATTTTAGTTCTGAAACATTTAGAAATACTTACATTCACGTAAAAATCGACCCATCTAGTTACATAAGTGTCGCATGATTTCTCCACCGTTTGTCCTGAGGAGCAGTCTCCATTTTCATCATAATTGTGAGTTGGGGCGGCAGTCGAATTCAACTCAAAATGATTCGTCCGATTCGGAGAAAAAGAAACGACAGAGGATGGAAGTTCCGGGAAGAAATATGTTGAGGTATTAGCGTGAGGTGAGCCTGAATTGACTCGCGATGTGGAAGTCAATGCATCGCTGTAAAGAAAAGTCGAACTGCGTTTTGTTGCCCGTGACTGTCGAATTACGGCCTCAGCTGAAAAACTTGATTGTTCTGGAATATTTGTTTCTCGCACTGTAAACACTTTGGATTTGGAATAAATTGTCTTGATTTCCAAGCTTGCTGCTAATGTTTTAGTGGCATAGTTCTCACGAAATCCGGCCATTCTCATAGAAGGTTTAATTTCCATAGTTAATGATGTTTTAATCGCGGCAGCGGTGGACATCACTTGGGTTTCATTCGCATCGGACAATCCACAATACCGACTCCCAAGACATAGAGCCAACGGCAATATGAAATTTATACGAAAGAAGTGATGTTTCGAAGAAAGCATCGTACTTCACTGCGGCGTGCTCTTTGCCAGTTATACAGTCGCCTAGAGGTTTACACTGACCAAAGGTAATACGATTAATTTGTGACCACATTCATTATCTTTGCAGCTGTTTGAAGCAGCTAACTGTAACAAAACAACTTTTCCCACATTCATTTGCATTTTGAAACTTGTCTTTAAATTCTTAAATAAACATTGTTTAATATTCCACGTACTGTCTGCTTTGACTTGCAGCTGAAATATTCAGTTTTCCCTGAGGTTTCTTGGCCTATTATGACAAAAAACCGTAAAGGTTGTTTCATGAATTAATCTTTGCTTTGCCAAAAAAAAAAAAAAAAAAAAAGAAAATAAGAAAAAGAGCCAAAAAGGCCCTAACTTTTTTTCACCTCATTTTTTTCACCTATTTTGTTTTATTTTTTTGTTTTATCTTATTACTCAATTCGCGATTGTTTCAAGCGTCATAGAAATGTCGTTTAATTTTTGTAAGTTAGTGTCATCGTCTCAGTTACATTGTTTGCACCACATACAACTAAAACCTGTCTCATCCAAACAAAGAGCTTACTAATTTATTTGAATCCATACATACAATCTTCGACTGACGAGTATTCTGCAAACTAAAGCGGAAATTACTTTACAATTGAGACTATTTAGCTAACTTTGCTTTCTTGTTAATTCCACATTATAACCACAAGTTTAATTTCAGGTAGCTGAACTAAAACCTAGTCTCACCCCTTAAAACAAAGCAAGAGAAATTTTCCCCTTGTTTCAGGTTTATTTCATTTGAATCCATACTTGCGTTTGTTCGTGTTTGCCTCCACTCGCCTGAAAACGCAAGTAAATTTTCTCTCATTCTGCAGACTTTTGAGTTACTTTTGGTTGATGTACAAGGAACTGGAAGGAAGAAGGCAAAGCAAAAGGCAAGAAAAAGTTTTGCGAAGAAATTACATAAAATTCTTCCCGGCAAATAGCCGAAAGATGAAAGCTTCTTCAAAATCGAAATGAGGACGAGCCATTGTTGAGAAAAGATTTTTGCATTCCATATGGAAATCCTGAAGTGCATCCTGCTCCACAAATTTCCCATGGGATATCTCTGAATCTTTATTGGATCAATATATTTACATTATTTATTTAACTGCCATAAAAAAAATGCTCTTTGAGGGTCATGACGTGTTATTCAATCCTACATGTCCTTACTTCCCTTAACCAGCGGTCGCTAGATTCCGTGCAGCCACCTTAAATAACAGAGACTCAAGAAACAAGTCTGTTGTGTTTCTGTGACAACATAGAACGACGTACACGATTTATTGAATGGTGTAAGTGAGGAGAATTGGAATTAGCATACATGAAATTGCATGACTTTTTCCTGTTACACGTGCGCAACAGACAAGTCTTGACTGTTGCGACTCAAGTCTTGCCAGACGTAAATACATTATAGCTGACGCTTGGTGCTCTCTTTTCTTCAAATTTCATTCTTTCTTTTCTTTTCCCTTATTTTCTTTTCTTTTTCGGTAGCTCTATGATCTAAACACGGGAAATATTTCTGGTTCATTGAACGTGGAGTGAACAGCATAGACTGAAAGTTACCTGACTTAAGGAAGAAATGAAACCTTTATTTGCCAAAGTTTTCTGATATAATTTTACATTTGAACTAATTATTCGCTATTGTTCATCCTTTACCATGTTTACATTTCGCCTTTTGAAGATATTAGGGAGCTTAATCACAAACGTTTTTGAGACGTAGAGAGCACCGGAAGCTAAAATTTATTATTCCTGGTACTCAAGTCTCTTTTATCAAGCCTTTTTATTTTACAATTAATTGTTGGAGAGGTTTTGTTGGATCATTAATCATTACCATTTTTGTAAGTGCTTTGAGATTTCACTGATGTAATGCGCTAGAAATAAGAATTATTATTATTTTTATTCTTATTGTTGAAGTGGTCGTTAGTGCAGAGGATCACATAGGTGTTAACTTTGATGCGGACTTCTCAGAAACCATACTTTCGTTGGAGACTCGAGAGACTATCTTCAAATAACTTGAGTGAAATTGACATATCTCAAGGCCTGGTCCAGAAGCCTTCCTCTTTGTCTCATTATTTCCTCTGAACATGGCGTTATAAGCGTTTGCCATGACTTCAAACCTGATCATGATTGAATCCAATTCAAAGATCTCCTTCTAGCCACATTGAATACAAGATTATTTCGAGGTTATATAGTTAATAAAAAAATTTTCCCTTTTTCTATTGGCACGAGTTAGAGAGAGTAAATCTATCAAATCAACGTCAATACCCTTTATTTACAATAACCCTCTACTCTCGGCAGTTTTGGAATGTATTTAGGCTCGTTTTGTTGGTCACATGCTCCAACTTAACGCGTTTTGAATTACAACCACTCTGAGCTACCTGCTGTTGATCGATTCTTCTTTACATAAATTACCGACTTTTTTCTTCGTGCTTTTGAGCTCTTGTGTTATTTTATTGAGAAATTTTCTCTGTAAACGCTTGAAATTAGTTATTTTGAAGTATCACGATTGGAGCTCACTTGGACAAAGAGTATAGTCGACTTGACTTACAACGCGGATGAAATGGACAAAAGGATGGCCATAGATCATAAATGATTAATCGGAGACAGTTGAAAACACGCAGCCTCATTCATTCACACATGGAATAAACAAAGAGCCTTTGCCTTCCTTTGGCGGCGTAAAGTGGCCACAAAGCGACTTAATTGGACGCACGCGTGAATTAACAAGTCTAAAGGAACTAGGTTGCTAAAGACAAACATGAAAACATGAAATGGGAATACGTCGGCAACGATCTTAGTGATGGCGTTCCATATGAAGACCCTCTTCGGTTGTGTCTCTGCGATTTCATTGATATGCATCGTTTTTTATGGAATGAACAATCTGCCGTCGACAGCTCGCTGTCCTACCGTAGAGCGCAAGTAAGTGATATTACTTCTCATATAGATCTTGCTAGAAATAAAGATATTTCTCCAGATCAAGTCAATTTTGCCCCCCTTTATTCCATCGACAGGAAATTAATAATATTTTACTATCCCTACAGGTGTTAATCTTTGTCCCAGATTTATCGTGCAGCTGCAGTTCGAAAGCTATATTAGCAGTCATTTTAACCTCATTCCAATGTTTTTTCAATGCGATAATTAACTTCCAGGAATTTTGAACGATTGGAAACTTAATTTCGAACGCTGTTGTATTGGGTAAAATTCAGAATATAACGTCTTTAAAAACATTCCGATAATTAATTTTCTACAAATTTACAAGGATACCGCAGAACTAAAACTATTTCAATCTCATTTAATGAAGATGAATTAATATTTAAACTTCTCAAACCTCCTTGACTTTTGCTCAAAACATAGTCAAACTTTCGAGAACAACAATCGTTAGCAATGGTTAACTCATTTTATAATTATCTCCTTTCCTTTCAATTATTTTATTACTTATTGTAAAAAATCAGGAATTTCTATTTCTGGGATAAAGTCACGTACATGCGTCTCGATATTTACATTTTGAATAAATAGAAATCCTATCGATTTGAAGGTGATTTAAAAATAGAAGAGAGTTTTTTCAGGTCATGCGAACAGGTTCTACACAGGAGTTTATTCTCTTACAGATGATTTTCTTAGCTTAGAAAATAAAATTATTATCATGGATAGTACATCACGTGTCTAAAGAGAAGAGGCTAAAAAGGCAATGATACACTCTGATAAGGAATTACGTGTGATAAATTGCACGAATTAGGTAACAACCAATAAATGAAATATTAACTTTTCTTTCTTGAAATAGGATAACATCCACAAGGAATTTGCAGTTCGAGAGAGCTGACATTTTGTCAGCTAGAGAACGACAAGCAGACCAAACAGAGTATCGGTTTGTAAATATATCATCACAACCAGAGAACCATCCAAGCTTGAAGAGTCAAAAGCCGCCAAAACATCAGAAAAAGCAAACATGCTCCCCGACAAATCATGTCCTGTTTCTAAAAACTCACAAAACTGGTAGTAGCACAATCACAAATATTCTTAACCGATATGGAGACAAAAAAAACTTGACTTTTGTGCTACCGAGGCAGAAGCAGCTTTTCACGTTCTTGTGGCCAGCAAGATTTCGCGTCTCCTACAGTGCACCTTTGTACAATTTTGGGGCAAATATTCTCTGCAATCACGCGAGGTTTAACAAAAGACCAATGAATTATATATTTCCAAAAGTGCACAGTCGCTACATAACAATACTCAGGGATCCGGTTTCACAATATGAATCTGTGTTTAATTTCATGCATTTTGCGAAGCCGTTGGGTTTTAAGGACGAAGAAGACCCTCTTGGAACGTTTTTAAAATTTCCACCACCGTTTCAAGAGATAAAACCTTTGATGAAAACAACTTTGGCCCTTAATTTAGTGCGCAACCCGATGCTTTTCGATCTTGGTTTGGATTTTCGATACTTCCAAAATGTGACTGCGGTTAAGCGATACATAAATTTCTTGGACAAAGAATTTGATCTGGTCATGATTCTAGAACATTTCGATGAGTCCCTGTTGCTTCTAAAACGACTTTTGTGCTGGGAGTTGAAAGATATTTTGTACTTCAAATTGAACGAGCGGCAAGATAAGCAGAAGCAGAAAGTTATAGATAAGGAAGTTAGAGAGGATATAAAGAGCTGGAACAAGGCCGATTTTATGCTGTATCAGTATTTCTATAGAACGTTCTGGAAAAAAGTCAAAGCTCAGGGACCGAGTTTTCAAAAAGAACTCAGGATTTTTAAACGTAGAAAGGAAGCCTTGTCAAGAGCTTGTCTGCAAAAAGGAAACTTCTTGGACGAGGCGTATACTGGAGTTTACGTAAAAGGCTACTCCCTCAAGAAAAACGTCCCCATGAGGAAGAGAAAGCTTTGCGAAAACATGATGAAAAATGAAATTTCGTATGTAAAATACTTCAGAGAGAAGATAAACAATCAAGTGAAGAAAATCGAAGAACCAGACGAGTATCTTGATGATCCTAAGAATGATTGGGAAGTGGCCAGCGATCTGGAACATGATCCTATTCTATCAGGGGTTGGTTCAGCCGATGCAGCTCCTGTTGTGCCAAAGCCTGACTCCTTGCAGGGAGGGGAGACAAAGCCATAGAACAAGTTCCATGTGAAGAACAAGTGCAATCTTAGAATTGCAAGTCAAGATTGTTGTAAATATTTTACCACAGCTATGTTACTATTTTTTAAGTTGAGCTTGAGAGGCACGTGGGTTGCGTTGTTCAAAACACAATTGAGCTAACCGTGGGTTAGCCGACGATTTCTGATTTAGTCTTAATTTGTAGCTTTGCAGACAACTTTAATTGTTATGTGTTTCCCTCAGTTGCGTCTTACATCATCCTCTTTTTCGTTCATATCGTCTTTCGGCATTTCATAAATCAATGACAAGAGTTAATCCTTGACCAAACCAAACCTAACTAATAGACGCTTAAGTTCATTCCCTTAATCAGTCAACCCTTCTCAGAAGACGATCTTTTTTTTTAACAGACCATTTGTGGAGCTGCACCTGAGTGCAACATAGTTTCACGACTGACATTGCAGTCCTAAAGGGACTGAATTATGCAGACATTTTAGTGGTTCTTACTTACGGAATTCTGGTGGATAGACGTTTCGACAATTTTTTTTTCTTAATTCTGTACATGTAAGTCAAACATTTTCCATGTTACCGTTAGTCTATACGCTAAAATATTTCAGATGAGGTCAGAGTTTACCACTTTATTGTTCTTACCACACTTTTTTCCGTCGCCTGTGATCTACCACTGAAGATACTTAAGGGAACACAGAACTTCTCGTTAAATGTTAACCCTTTAACTCCCAAGATCTGATTGTCAATTCTCCCCTCCATCTGCTACATATTTCCCTTTAAATTAGTTACAAGAATTTGGTGTTAGATCAAGATAACAACTTCTACCTGATTTGTTTGAGTTTTCTCGTTGACTTTTTGCTGGATAATGTATGAATATTATAGGAAGATGTTAGCTGTACGTTGATAACTTCTGGGAGTTAAAGGGTTAAGTCCGCTTTGAGAGATTACAGTCGTTAAAGTTTATTTTGAAAGAAAAACTTAAAAACTAAACAAGGTTCATTTACTGAAGTATCACTGCTTCCAGTTGCAACTGGGAACCTGCGAACCTATATTCAAATGCACCAGAAACTTCTTTTTTTTCGTTGTTGATCGATGGTAATGTAGGAGGATGCGTTTAACTAAAACCACATACAGGAGAGAGAGAGAGAGAGAGAGAGAGAGAGAGATTTTTAACAAGTACTTGAACTAGTCTGCTGCTCCTTTCGCTGGCAGCTTTCTCATTTTAAGGAGTAGGTCTTTCTAAGAGGACACGTGATTTTCTAATGTTCAAAACTGAGCATGAGAGCAATGTAGTCAGTTCTAACACGGAAGTTTTAGACTTTCTTTCACGCATTTCTTAAGGAGAGGTACCCAATGGATACAGCTGTTAGTTTTCTTCAGCCGTACATATGTTGTTAATAAGGCGCGATCCACACCACGAATGACAGACCATAAAATTTTATCATCAATAATTGTTGGCTTTCACCGCGATGTGAAACATAAGAATGTTACAGTTTTAATCATTCTACGGCTACATTTTGATAGGAAGCAGCTCTATTTATTTGTTTTCCATGAACTGGTTTCATTCGAGTACCTTTTTAGAAATCGTTCTGGCTCTTAAACGTCGCGTTGATTCCAAATTTTTGTGACCCATCTAGGTTGACATATTTTGTTAATAAGGGTCAGTGCATGCAATCAGTTAACAAACAGAGAAAGCTGTAATTTACCATTGTACACCTCTTATCCGTTTTAAAATAATTTTAGCCATGGTCTTTTCCGGTAAACTGCAGTTTTGGTAGCGGCTGAAAAGAAGCCTAATAAAAAAGTTTTTCTCAGCTTGAAGATTGCATTACAGGGTATCCATTGATACAAATACTTCAAAAGTTTCTTTTTATCCCATTGAAAGCCCTGTTGAGGTATTCCATTCAGCCTCTCTTTCTCCCTTGCCGACGACCACGTTTAACAAGAGATGAATGAGGTAACACTCGGTCAGTCTACATTTACGATGAAATAAGATGTTCTTTTCTCAAATTTTCCACTTGTAGGGAATTACAATGGTAACAACCAGTACTTGTTTTTTTCTATAATTTTTGCTTCTTTTCCGGATGGCCATGCGTAAGTTTTCTTTATTTTTTTTCCAGATACTTCTGTCAAACAAATCTAGCCAGTTTAGACTTTGTACGAGCTTCAACCCACAAAATGCGTGACAGTTCTCTTCTCCTTGGTCTGTGCATTGTTCTCATCCCCAAGAAGTGCGTGACACCGAGCGCCGTGATTCCCGCCAAAACGATACCCAGCATTAACCAGCCTCCGATCTGTTAACCAATAAAAACTTAGATCAAACTTACAAACTGAGGTATCAGTAACATTCAAGCACTGTCCCAAGTATTTTGGACCCCGAGTTAATTCGACTGAGTTACGTGGAAAAACCACTATAACAATCACAAAAGAAAACGTTACCAATGGCCAACACAACTTTGCATCTGAGTAACGGAGAAATTAGCCAATCACTGCACTTAGGGGTTCCAACCCAACGCCATAGAGGACAGCGTCGGTTTTGTATCACTTTTTTGCGTCACTTTCGACAATCGACCAATCGCTTGAATGGTTTGTTCCTAACAAATCTTATTTAGGTGAAAACTTTTGCCCTCGGTGTACAATTTAATTTGAAGCTAACTAAGCTCTTTTAGTCGATAGTAGTTATGTTTTTACCTCATTTCCACTTGTCCAGTTTTGAAGATTAATCATTCATATAAGTGCAGCCGAATAAAACATTGACGCCTAATTCGCTTGCTTCAATTAAATACACGTACATGCTGAGTTTGTAAAGACATCTTAGGGTAATGTTGCTTTCACAATTAGAATTTAAAAGCATGAAGGAAAGTTTTTTCCATCATAATGGTTAAAATTTTTTATGTTCGCTGCGGCTTCCTTGTGAACGTTTGTTGAATGTTTTAGCTCTGTATTAGAATTGGTTCTCTCTTGTTCAGATTTGTCAACAAAAGCCGCACTTTTTCTTCAAGTTTTTTTTTTTAACAACGACGAGTGCGAGGAACATGGGCCACAAATTCAATAGGACCCGTGGTTTCATTTTCAAGTTTTTTGTTTTTACTCCCTAAGGGTTATTCCAAAGACGAAGATTTAGGAGCTCCAGACAAAACAATTTTGTGAATTTTAAACTGATTATATATAACAAAACACAAGAAGAGGAATAAACACTGTAGGGGAGGGCAAGCTGATTTGAATTGACGCCCACTCGAAAAGAAACCTAATCCAGGGTTGCCAAATGAACCTATTTTTTGTTGTTGTTTTTTTGTTTTAAAATAACGATCTTTGGATATTCAAAAAATGTTCATATCTGACTTCTTATTTCATTTAATTTGATTCAAAGGAAGAGCTGCCCATTCGAAAGACCAGATAATTTTGTTCAGTTAATAATTAACAATGTTTGAAAACAATGATTTTTTCTCGCCAACTTTGAAGAAAAATAAACATTTTTAGCATGATGAGAGGGTATGAATGAAATAGCAAAGGATTTTTTTATCTACTGATGAAACTCCCATTTGAAAATAATATCTTAAAATAGATATATTCATCTATGATTCACTCTACGAGTCGTTTAAAATTGAAAGAAAAAAGTAATTTACTTCTATGGCTCAGTCCTAATGCAATTTCAATATTCAATACACCCACACAAAATGAACAAACGTTCTTTCGTAGCTATGCTTAAATTTTCCCTTAAATTTGTGGATAGGTGAGGTTTATGAGCATAGGTAGTATCTTAACATTTTTCAACTCCTCTTCGATAGAGGTTTGTAAATGAACTTCGAAGGGAGTACCACAATTTGAAAAATTATGAATACACTAAATTTCATGCATTATATTTGATATTTTCATTGAATAACATTTCAAGCTGTGCGCTAATTTCTTGTTATACGAGGCATTTCAGGACTAAAAACCACACAATTTAATTTCGCATTTTGTCAGACCCACCTTAAGATAAAATGACGAATATCTATCGACAAATTTAGGACAGTCCTCGTTACGTTCGCGGGAACATCGACGTCTCTTGATCAAACTTGCATTTACAGAATTCCGATTTTCTACCACTGATGTCGGAAAAAAGGTCGTCGTAAAACCAGATATATGTGAATTGTTTGCTTGTTGGCTTTTTCGGATGGTGGAAACATATCTGGTCGTTTTTCTGGATAAAATCTCCGCAGCGTTTGTGGTTTTCGGAGAGGACGTTGACGAGGTTGTAAACGAAATCACGAATTGACTCGAGATAATTAAAAATAGCACTCCAACGTCATACTCTCGATATCCAACACGCATTAATCCCACTGGAAACATTTCAGCTTTTTTCTTTCTTCTCCTTCTTCTGATTTTCACTAGGAATAGGAATATTATTAAGTCTAAGCGAGCATCACCAACTGAATAGAGCGACAGCTGGTAGCTCTTTTACCATAAGCCGATGCTTTGATTGAAGCTCACTCAAAATGCCCTCTCGAAGCGCAATTCCTTTTAATGTTGTTGAGAGGTTGTCGCTTTAGACTGTACAAGCCAGATGTGCTTCCGGGACATTAAATTCAGTCGAATATTCATGTTTTCAAAGGAAATATTTACATTTTTTTTTGACAGATGATAATACACTGGTTGATTTTAGCGTCTGGAGGAGATAAGCACTTTAGTGGCATCCTTTTATCTTAAATGTTTAAAGGGGAATCAGATTTACTTTAGGGAAAAATTTATGAAATCAATTAACGAGACTTTGAAAATTTGACCCTCGGTGTTTTCTTTGGCCATTTCAACCGGCTAGACACGTTTAACTACAAACGTTTCGCTGAAATTCAATTTAATGAAAAAAAATATGCAAGGCTTATTATTTCTGCTCTCCATTCTCTATGATCTATGCTTGTCTGTTTTCGTTTAATTTAAATCAGAGTGGATACTGATTCATGAAAAAGCAATGGTCCTTCTCTCTGTGATATGTTTTTAACTATTTTGTGTAAATTAAAGTGTAAAATTAGACAAAATAATTATCACTGTGTCGAATATATTTTCTTCAGTTAATAGCTTAAGATCTTGACAGTCGTAAAATAATTAGTAATGGCAAAGCGTAATAAATACCCTATGAGAAATTCTTTGGAGTCCGTTCATCCCTGCTTAATTTCGAAAATTTTTCTTTCTTGTAATAACATATTGCCTCAGATCTGGAAGACACGTTTGTTCCTTATCTGTCAGCAAATATAGTAACTTCTCTAAAACATTTTTGGTTACACTCTAATGACGTAGAAGGATAAAACCGTACAAAAATTGAAGCATCAGAAAAATATTATCTTTTTTCCGTTATTTTATTGCAGTACACGAGAGGGTCAGTTATGAGAATGATTCGATCCTAACAAGTTTTATTTTAAAACTCATCCTATTGCATATCAAAGAATTTGTTAATACTGATAATTTGAAGATTATAAAAACATGTAAAAACTATTGTTAAACCAATTCAGTATTCCTTTTTCCTCTTTTTTTAAAAAAATAATAACTGCAAAAGATCTTTCTATACGAGAAAAGCGAATAACTTAGCATAGCAAGGGAAGCAACAAAGGCTTCAAATTCCATTTTCCTAGTAAATTATTTCGTCACGCATCAATAACGCTATATTGCATAAATCTACTTGTAATCTACTTTTAGGATGTAATAAATTAAATAGCGACTCGAAGCTTTTAAACATAGCAAATAAATATCTTCTAGATCTCACAATACAAAAAAAAAACTGATAATCTTTACTCTTTCTCTCTCTATCATTAAATTTATCGTATTTCATGATTGTTTCTTAATTTCTTTGGATAAGGTTAGCAAAAGAGATAAAAGAGTAACTGAATTAAAAAAAAAAAAAGGGCATTTAGTAAACACTACCCACCTAGTCTCCGTACAGCCGTTGTTTAACCTTGTCACACAGACACACGTTGCGTGACGTGATCAAACACTTGAGCTGATGGGAAAGAACAATTACGCGCAATCACGCAACGGAACAAATGAAAGAACTCTTCCTTTTCTTGGTTCACGTTTGTGACAGATAAGATTTACGATCTCGCTATTCATGTTAGAACAGCTGAGGCTGTGACCGGTTAATAATTTATTAATTTGAAATTATATATTAAATTTGAAATGCTTGCCAAAATCTTTCTATGAAATTTTCGAGTAAGTTCGAGTAATAATGAGTACTAATAAACTCTAGCTGCTGTTATTCTACAGATCAACCATCTAAGACGGATCTTGAAAGTTCCCTATAATCTCTTAAAATCCGGCACGACTGATCATAATGAATTTGAGAAAAAATAACAACAATGAGAAATACGATGATAATAGCAATACTCTACGACATTAAAAATAGATCTACTCAAAGTATCTTTTGTCCGTCAATTTCACCTCCTGCACGAGTAGACCTTGCACTTATTAGCACGTCTACTATGGCATCATTATCATGTACAGGATTAACTTATGTGCTGCATCATTCAATACTGGGCTAAAATCAGCAGCTGCCGTTCATACTCGCGGGGCGCTTCTGTCGTTCGTTTTTGTCGCTTTAAGCCTTGCACCTTTTTGGATTTGACTCAGGAGTGCTCCTCGGCCAGAACTGCTCGGAGGTCTTGGTGCCGCTTTTTCTACAGGCACTGATGGACGTTTTAACCGAGGAGGGGGTGGAACTTCACTTGGGAAAGGAGGTGGAGGTGGTTTCGGCGGATAAGTGGCCAGGAACTGGACGGACGGAACCCTTTTTTCGTCCACAGACGTGCGTTTGGCTTTTGATCTGAAAATAGAAGAACAACAGTTACAACGTGATTTGAAAGTGAGATGAAGGAGAATAATTTTTTCTCATCTATCATCAAACACTAAGTGGTGCATGGGACAGGAAAAAGTTTCTCTATTCCTATAGGACACACCGCGAGGCTTGCTCCCATTTAAAGTTCACAGTCCTGACTTCAGCCTCTGTAGTCCTCTTTCTGATGGATGACTAAACGGTTAACGCGCTAGACATCAGGTGGGTCATTATGAATTGGGTACTGTAAATGGGTATATATGGGTACTGGAAAATAACCAGGGGAACCAGATTAAATACTAAGTAGGGGTGGGGGGGGGTAACCTGGCATACTTTTCAGGGGAAGGAGCAACACTCCTCATGACTTCACATCCCAGGAAACGGGGTTAGCTCCGGCTAGAAGGGACACTTGGCAGACTCAACCTATACCATTGTTTATATATCATGGTTTCATAATTATACTTGCTATTTTGTGATACTACGACACCAACCATTCCTGATACACTCATCACATAAGCACGCTATACGGTGACAGATTAGGAGTTTCGCCAAAATTTGTAGCAAGATAACTTCACTTCAGTCAGTACAACATGTTCCATCCAATTACATCTACTGTGCATATCAATAAGTCTCTTAACTTCAATGGTAACTCGGCGGTGGCAATCACGTATGCTCTTTAAAACCTAAAGATGCCTCCTTCCTAAGGTCATCAGTAAGACGTTCGCATCCTAAACCGGATTACAATGCACAACTCACTTGGAAGAACTCTTCTCTTTCTTAACTGCTTTGCTGTCGTCTTGTTTTGATTTCCTCGAGGACATTTTTCGTTTCCTTTCAAATGAAGGGGAAAAAAGAAGTCACAAAAACAAAACCAAACAAAATAACAACAACAACTAACTTTGTAAGATATCAAAGTACTCTGTGAGCAAACTCGTGAATTGACACATGATTTTTTGGATTATGTTTAATGTTATCAGGTTTAGGGAATTTTGTGGTTGATTGTCATATCTAGAGTACGAACAGTAGTTCAGTGTTCGCTAACGTAGCAAAGAAACAAAGTAACGTTGGGATAAGAAGGCATTACAATTGAAATGATCATGCTATTGCATTTGACAAGGGTGGATGATGTCATGTGTTTTAAACGTATATCATTTCTGTTTCTGGTTCAAAAGAAAAGGTTGGAAGTAAATGTGCGTGAAAAGTGAAATTTACTGTCTATCATTGTAAATATTAGAAAATCAAGGCAATACTTTCTTAATGAAAACATTAACGATTCCCTCTTTATCAAATGAGACAAACGGGAAGGAGTTTTGAGAGATAAAACTAAAATAAGACCGCCACCGTCATTTTGGATCTCCGCCTGGGTAGATTTTAGTCAAGTGCTAGGCAATGTATAATCAATAACAAGATTGAATTTCATTTCAGGCCTATTTATCAATTTTGTGGTGTATAACTTTCGCATTTCAGTACGTAATATGTATTTTGAATCTTCAAATTGTCTTGAAACTTAAAAGAAAATTGTTCTTTAAAAAAATCACTGAAAATCGGTAGCTAAAATTGTTTGCTTAGGTGTTATTTGATTTCGTGTTAACTTGTAATTTCGTTAGTCGCCGGCATCTTGTGTTGTTTCTCACAGGAAAAACACACGATACGAAACGTAATGATCGATTTTGTCCTCAATCTCACGCCGTAACAGAAAAAGCTTTTGAACATCTGTTAACTCCGAGCGCTTCGCAGTAAGTGATATTTTTAATGAATCTTCGGATTGTTTTCAAGTTCAAGGATTATAAATTACAATTTTATGAAAAACGAAGGTTGTTCTGTTATTTCAGTTTGAATCCTTGCGCCGCTTGTTGAAACTAAAACGAAAAAAAAATTATTTTAAGATTATCATTGGCTTCTTTGTCACCCCACCACTATTCTTAGCAACAAAGGTCGCCATTTCGTTTGTTTATTTCTCGCCAAAAACTATCAAATGCACTCAAAAGCCTAAAATCGAAAAAAAGTTTACAGGAATCGACCAATCGAACGAGTGTCATTCCCCACATCGTATCTACAACTCGCTCTTACGCATGCGCGCAATTCACGAGTTAAAAATGTAATCATCTTTGAGGTACAGTGAGAATTTTAAGGAGATGCAAGCAGATTGATAAAGGAAGAAGAGGAACCCGCGAGCTATGGAACGAATAAACTTAGGAAAGAAAAAGAAAGGAAAAAAAGGAACAAATGAACAAATAATAAGCTTTTATATCTAAAGACGTTAATTTCTCATTTAATTCGAGAAGATTTCAATAAATAGTTTATTACAATAGCATAAAACTGTTCAATAATTTCAGTTGTACCTTTGTCTTTCTTCGCCATCATTCCTATATAGTTTAAGGAGTTGTTTCACATTTGAACTAAATCGGATCTGAACAAAGAGAGAAGTTCAATTTACAACACTAGGTATTTCAATGTATTTCAATGTGAGAATAAGGTGTGTTACAGTGCATGGAAAAAGACGAATGGCAACTAGTCAGACATGAAAAGAGAAAAGAAAATGCCACTCACTGGACCAGGGTTAAACTTTTTAAGTCCACTGACATCACCTCCTTTGAAGAATGAATGAGCTAAAAGCTAAAAAAAGAAAGAAAAATGAAAATTGAAAAAAATCAAATTTAGTATGCAAAGTAATCCTTGATTGTTTTGGTTTTGCTAAATGAAAAAAAAAAAAAAAAGAGTTTCTTTGATTGGTCCAAATATCTCTTATCACACCACCGATAAATAAGATGCAATAAATCACTCCTGTCTTCCCCTGCTTCAGCCTGGTAATATTATTAACTTGCATTCTCATTGGCTCCTTGCAATATTTAGCTTTCCTCCAATTGGTCACTCTGATTACTTATTTCTAGTTTATCAAACCTCCACCCAAAAGCCCTCTAGTAGTGAGCAATAATTGTGTAGGACATACCCAAACCATTCACCTTTTGAAATGTTTTCCCACGATACGTGTAAGGATCAGCGGTAGCAAAGTATCTCATTAATTAAAATTAGAATTCCCTAGCGTTTTCAGTGCATCTTGCATGCCTGCATCAACAACAGGAGACCATCATGGAACAAGATTCATACTTACCTCATCCAGGGTTGGATACATTTCGCTCTCATTAAAGAATAAAAAATTGATAACCTGGAAAAAGATTGAAGACAGTGTCATTGGGTTTTCTAAAAGTACATTCATATCATTTCGTGAGAATGAAAATTATCTCATCAGTAAAAGGTTCAATCTCTATGCTGGAAAAATTAGTTACAAACCTCCACAACTGGGGTGTTTTTAAAGTTTTTTAGCTGTTCTCTCCTTGGTTCTGCTGTGGTCAACTCCCACCCGGCCAGCATTTCATACAGCAAGTGTCCTGTGCAGCAAGTATATGAGTAATAGCATTTATAAAGGCGAAAATCATTTTAGAATATAACGGGGTGGAAGAGGTGTCGTAAGACAGAATAAAGTGCAAACACAACGACCAAACAGAAAAAAAGGAAACACCAGAGTGAACCACCAAGACCCAGAGAAGATAAGTTTAAATTGTGTGAAGAGGAGGAAAACTCGCTTAATCTACAAGTCCTAGCTTTAGTTTTTCGTCAGATATTTGTCCGAAAAGATAGTGCGAGTTTTCTAAATCAGCCAAAACTTCTTAATGAAGCAACAACCATTCAATCTTGGATTACTTTAAATAACCAATTTAAAAATGCTCTTCAATTCATTGGCAAATTGTTACCTTCCACCTTGCAAACTCAGCAAAACACATAAATACCCAGCCTAAAATAAGGTTCTAATCAGTGCTGCTGCATGAGTGGTGAAAACCACAAGACTCGAGACCAGGAGAAAAGTGTGTGTGGGTGCATGGAGTTTGTGAGGGGCCTGAGAACCCTTTCGGAGCTGCTCGTAATCTACTTAATATTAGAGTATACTGAATTCTTCAAAACCAGTAATGCATCCTTACCAAACTGAATAACTTCAATATCATCGTCTCTGTTTTTGATAAGCTTTTTAATGGTGGGATAAAGCCTTGATTTCCAGCCAAACATAGAATTTTCAAAGCCAGAGAGCCTACAAAGAGAAAAGGCAAGTAAACGTTGACTTACTTGACAATGCACGGTCAAGATTTTGATAAATTTGCATGTGCCACTCTAATTTTACACAATACACAGTTCAATGCTTCCCTCTTGCACGTAAACACGTTGGTGTTACCAAAAAAACCCAACGCTAAGTAAACAAGAAAGTGTACAGACGTGACTACCTTCTGAAGTGCTACAGTACAAGTAGGCAACTTGTACAAAAAAGAGAGATTGTACAATCAAACATTGACAAAAGTAATTCATTTCAATAATTAACCCTTTAAACCCTGAGAGTGACTAGCATCTAATTTCTCCTTACAGTATCACCTCTGAATCATACATTAAGGTCATGAGAATAAAGGAAATGATCATCAGCGATAGAAGCTTTTGATTGGTAAACAAATTCTCCTTGTCAGTATCTTAGGAATTTTATAAAGAACAGTAAGGAGAATATACATACTGATGTCAGGGTGTAAAGGGTTAAAAGAACAGTGAAGACCTCTGTAATATGGAATTTTCATGGAAAGCTGGAAAGTTTCTGCCTGAAATATCAGGGAATCAGTTTGAAAAATTCACGCCATCATGTACTTGTGAATAACCTTCGTTGACTTACTTAGCTGTTCCATTGATTACAAAGACATTTCCAGAGTGAACATGACCACATGTTGGGAAGCCTTTATCTCTCAGATAAACCAGCGCCTGTTCATAAGTTAAAAGACAACATGTAAAGTAGTAAAACTTGGGAACTGGCCTCAGCAAACAAACACAAAACGGCACTTTGCAACAGCCTGACTTTTACCTCTAAGACTTGTCGCCCAAAATTACGAATTTGTGTGAGTGAAAGAGCTTTTCCCCTCGCTTGGTACTTTTCAACCCAAGATGACTGAGGACGAGACTGAAAGTAAAATATAAATTTTAAGTAATAATGATGCATGAATGTGTCTACAAAACTAAACACAGAAAAACCAGACAATATCACTAAGCTAAAAGATAATGATTTAAGGCTCCTTTAACATTCCTCATCAGATGTTGTAATGGGATTAAAACATTTTCTGTTCCCACCTACAGTGTAGTTATTCCCTTTAGCAATCAACTTTGTATTTTCAAAGTCAACTTGGATATGTAGAGGTTACACTGTCTCCCTTTATTCAAAGTGATGAAGCATGAGCAAACCATCTGCTCCATGAGGGCATAAGGCAAGAGTGAGATAAAAAAAAAGGGAAAAGCAGGAGGCTGGACAACTTTCCTTTCTTTTCTTCCCCTTCAAGCTTGTCACTTTTTTTGCTCACTTTTGCCCCATGCCCTATGGCAGCTTCCAGTTCCATTATGCTTCTCCTGCTTGTATTGGGGAAAAAAGCAAAGGCAAAAGGTCAACAGAGGGTGGAAAGTTCTTTACCAAATTTGATTTAAAATAAAATTATAGAACAAACTGAATTCATTAAGATGTGATTTAAAGTTTTGGAGGTCAGGGGTGGAGAAGTTTTGAAACATCAAAAAATTAAAGACAAAAAAATTCTTATAAAAATACTATGGCCAAGAATGAGCTTGTTGCATCAACCAACTAAACATTAAAAAATATATGTGCATCATGGTAATAAAGTTACACTGTCTCATCACCCACATACCCCATATATAAGATCTTTTAGTGATCCAGCAGATCTGTAAGGATGGATGAACATCACTAGGTTGTGACTAAATACAAAATCAATATCCATCAATGGAAAGAGGTAGGGAAACTGTTGAAGGAAAGTAACATCCAAAAACATGTTAGCAAAGTAGAAGTGCAAATGCACAAGTCACATGTACAAAGCTGCAGATTGAAACACATATACAGTATTATGTTAAGTTTATCATAATTAAAGCATTGTGGCTGTCCTTTAAAGCACTTCTTTACTGTAACTAGAACTACACAGTAATAAATGTTTCTCCTCTGTGGAACCTGAGTTTTCTACTTGGAGGCAAATAAGGTATCATTGATGGAAGTGATCAAAGTTTTTTAGCAGCAAATCAAAGCAACTTCCTTGAATTTTAATTGCCATTGAAAAGCTTGAGATTAAAATGCAATACAGATGAACTCTTAAAAAATTTATATATGATTTGCTTGGCCAGTTGTAACTATACATGGATGCCTTGATTTGAATAAAATACAAACCTGCAACAGCGAGAACAGCTCTTTCAAAGTTTTCTTTGTGGCCTTGGTAAAGCTGATCACAGTTTGTGAGCTCCAAGGTGTCATTGTTAACACTGCATTTATGGCTTGTTTACTGTCCTTTACAAGGAACCATTGTTTATTTACTCTGCTACCTGTGGAATTGTCGAGGATATGAAGGAGTGAAACAGCCGTTGGAGACAACTCCACCCTGAACAATCCTTTAAGTACAATCAGAGCTGACATACAAGATCAATACTTTCTTTCTACTATCACTGCGACAGATTTAGGAAAGCTTCAGAGACCAAGCATTTACAGGTATGTACATGTACACCTGTGATAACTGCCCTAATGGCATAGCTTAGGGTACTGCAGCTTCAAGATACAAGTACAGCAAATATTGATAATTTTGATGAAGAGAGATTTGTGCCTAGTATTCAAAGATGAAGTTTACAGGAAAACTTCTTATGTTGAATACAAGCTGTTAAATTGTATGGCTAGTAAAGTTAACTATATTTTTATTGTTTATCACTTAAACATTGGTCTCTTATTTATCCAATTTCTTTAAGTATTTATCATCCCCAGTATACTAGTACTAACAGTTTTTATAAACTTAATTTACAGAGATGAAAATTCTTCAGTTTCTTACCCATATCTGGTAGATGATCAATAAAACTATACTTTTTGGAATCCTTTAAATAGTAATAACAGTTCAGCAACACTGCATCTGTAATATCAAGTTTAAAAACTCATTGGCCTTTTTGGATTAAACAGAAAATCATAAACATTAGTTAGTTCCCTAACTTTCACTTAGCAAACATTTTCTACACTGTATTATTATACAAATTAAACCTATAAGCTAATACTACACAAAAAAGTAAAAAATATTCTTTATATTGTGGCTGAAATTCATATAAAATATACCAAAAAAGAATAGTTAAACTAATATATCAACCCTTTAACTTCCAACATTTGATTGTTAATTCTCCCCTGTAGCTGTTATAAATTCCCTTTTAAATTAGTTGCAAGAATTTGGTGTTAGATCAAGAGAACAAACTCTACCTGATAAGTGTGAGTATTCTCATTACCTGTTTGCTAGACAATGAAAGGATATTACCCGGAGATGTTACATGTTAATCACCTCTGGGAGTTTAAAGGGTTAAAAAGAAATACCACATATAAACAGGCTACATATTTGATCAAAATCTTAGCATAGAAATCTCAATCCATGTCTTTGGTCAGGTTTCACTGCTGCATTTGGCAGGCTGACTTGACTCAAAGTAAACATTATTTTAAAACATTGACATGCATAAAATTTAATCATTTTGTTTATTATTTTCATAAATTAAACACAGTTCTTGTACCTCTTTCTACACTCTTCTGAAGTCTTTTCTCTTCATCCCATTTCTCAATTAATGATCTATCCTCTTCTATGCCAATCTGGCTCACATAGCGATTCCATCTCCTTGAACCATACAAAAATGAACTTATCAGTCACCAAATTACAGACTTATTCATTTGAAGATGCATTAACCGAAACATTTTTCACCCTTTAGTGCATGACTAGTGTGAAGTACATGTAGTATTCTGGGGTTTTTAAATTAAAATTCTTAGAAATTTCAAACTGCTAAGCAATGCTAACACTGTCCACTATGCAAGTGGTTCTTACAAACTACACAAATGTAATTTGGTTTTATCAACTGAGCTGATAAATAATGTTAATTGGTCACCAAAAAGAGCTTCTAAAGCTGATGTTTGGAGCATCATCCCTTAGTTAGAACTCTTCATTAGCCCTTCAGCTTTAAGGTGTTTAAACATCGTCATTTGGCTGAGGAATTCACAGCCCTCCAAGCAGTATCTACTTTGGTCACTCATGGTGACCTAAAAAATTTTGGCAAATTAATGTGTACCTGTAATCACCAATTTTCCAACCTGTGTTGAAGTTTTAATTTTTTATGACTTAGCTTGCATGGTCTGAAGTCAAAGAGATACGAGATTTTTTATAAAATATTACTTATGCTCCATGACTTTCTCCTTGATTTTTTTCTTTTGTTTACCAGCCATATATAGGCCATAAAATAACTGGTATGGCCAGCCATCAAGCACATTATAAAGTAATAAACAAATTGTCTTTTTCTTTTTCTGATAATATTTTGCTGGCACCTGAAATTTCAATTCAGGCTCCTTTTTTATGATGTTAGGTAAACAGATGACCACTAAATGAGAAAAAAAGTGTTTGGAACCCTGTTTAATGACAACCATATCCTATCTTATGCTTTAGAGAGCAATTAACAACTATTACAATAACATCAATGTTGGGGTTCAATTTTATCCTTGGTTCAAATTTTCTTTTCTTTTGTTCTTGGGTATTGTAATGTATGATAATGAGTTTGAAACAAAGGAAAATAAAATTTGGACCAAGGATAAAACTGAACCACAACATCATCAACAATAATAATTATTGAAATAACAATAAAACAATCAAAGAACCAACCTGCGTTTACAGAGAATCCAAACTATGATGACTAACAAGAATGCAATGCCAAGAGCAATCAGGATAGGAATCTAAAAAGACAAATTACACTAACAATCAGCCAGTCAATGAGCAGTATATGCTATTTTTCCTACCTGGATTCACTCAGTGTTCTAAAAACCAAATTTTTATAACCTAAAGTGCAGTCTTATGTTCACAATATCACACAACTGACTGTATTAGAAGCAACAAAAAAATTCATAGTCATATGCACTATTTCTCCTTTTTAATTTCAGCTGTTAAAAGTCTCATCACCTTGCTTTGATTTGTACAGCACTTTCCAAATTCTTGATCTCTTTGCTTGTTTGTAAATGTGATCTTTCTTCCATCATAATTAAATTTTTTCTGTTTCGATTTGCACCATATACTTCTGCAAATATACGCTCGAATTGTTTCATCAATGTGACATTTCTAGTAATGCACAAAAAAAAAATGCGCATTTAATCACTTATTGTTAACGATATTGTTGACGATGCGTCGTTATACCTTAATTTAAGTTTAAAAGCGCCCTTGATTACGAAAATTTTCCTATTGGAAAAATATTTGCATTCATACGCTGATCCATTGTTATTGCTCCTTGTACAGTACATGTAGTTTCACAAGACGTGCATTAACACGTACCCAAATATGATCTCCCATGTAATCCGCAAACGATCCCATTTCTTAGCCAGGTACTACACTTGTTAAATGAGTCACCCTATAAGTGCATGATTGAGGCCATTTCGTTTTTAAGCAATATAAAGCATAATTCCAGATGAACAAGTTTCAACTGACTTTCATCACAGTCAAAATCCGCCAGGCGTTTGCACGTCATATGAATGTCACGTGTTAGGGACTTCCGGGGAATCTTCACTGCTGCTACACTCATGGCATACTGTTGGTAAATCGAGGGCTCATAAGAAGAGAGGGAAATTTGGAACAACTGTATACGAGATGAAAATCGTTTGTGGAAAAGCTAGATAATTAGATATTGAGGAATTAAATCTTTCTGTGGTTCTTCTGAACTGAACGGCTAAAGCTCGCTCCTTTTTGTGTCAAAATGGAGGGTCTTTCTGAATCATTTGCAGCCAGTTTCACTGTTTCCTCTGACCCAAACGACACCGCAGCGCCTCATCCAAGGTAAGATCGTCCGTGTAAAGCAGAATTCAGTACAACCTGAGTGTCCTGTTCCTTCCAAGTTAAAGTCTATCCTCAGAAATACCTTAAAATTCGTCTAAGGGGTTTGAGTGTGTGAGAATCGAAAAACTCCCTGTTGTGTACGTGTATGTACAGATCTTGCCCCATTTGCAAAAACGAGACTTAAAGAGCTTATCTCAGACATTTGTATCCTTGAAAGACTGTCAGCATAGAACTTGGCTCTACACATCCAGGGTAATATGTAGAGAGTTCCCCCCAGTCCCTGTACCCCACCACTGTCCCCTGCCCTCCCCCGCCCCCTCAAAGAGATCCCCTAAATGAAAGAGTACACCATAATTTTCCTAGGGAATTACCAGTTAGCTATTCTCTAGGCTTGAAGTTAAGCAGTGGGTGTTTGTGTTAATGTAAACATGTAATTTATAATTTTGTTCATCCAAACATATAAGCATTTCATGAAGTCACTATAAAGTTCATTGGATGTTGTATTATTACTGACTATAATAAAGCCTCTAATACATTGACTTACTGGCTACCTCTTCATTGGTGTAAAAGGAGATTCTCACTTAGTAACACAATAACTTAGTTGCTACATTTGAGCTGGTATAAGGGGAAATCCTCGGAAAGCTGGTAACACAGTGACTCTTTTCTATCTTAAATAGGAATTTTGGAGACTGCTCTCTGTTGTTTGTGCAAAAAAGGCCAAGGAAACATTAATCTATCTTTTCTGGGAATGTTCAGGAACGAAAACCTTTTGGGGAAGGGTTCATTGTTTTTTCGTTTCATTTCATTTGATACCAGCCTCACACGTTTTGGATATCTATGAATGTTTAGATTTTAGAGGAGAGAAAGGTGAAATTTTAAGCCATTGTTTGCTCCTCACAAGATATTATTATTTATTGCTGTAAATTTACGAACATATCTCCATCTATCAGAGAATATGCGCAACAGCTGAAATATAATTTAGAAATTGAAAAACAAATATCTATCGTGACTGATTCACAGAATAAATTTCAACAGAAGTGGGACAAAATACCTCATGCACTATGACTGCTATATAGTTTGCAGGCAGGCTCCAAATGTGAGGCTGCTCGCAGGCTATATCTTACTCTCCTTATGCTGATTTTAAGCCTCTGAAAATCAATTTCTGCTAAACACTGTACTTTTGGGTTTTTTTTTTACAAGCTCTTACTCTTATCAATCCCACCCACAATTTAGCCTTTTTTTTTTTGTAGCTGTTAATTTTTTGTGAATTAGTTTCTCTTTTTTTTGTGTGTAAATGATGTTGCTCTAAATATGTGTGTATTATCACATTGTACATAGTAAGTAGAACAATGTAAGTAGCTTAAATATTAATTGTATCTTAAGCATACTGTAAGTAGTGTAATGCAATGTATGTAGAGAGTCCCGTGAAAGGAACCTTAATGTAGTTAATGTAAGTATCGTGTTGTAAAAAAAAAAAAAAAAAAAAAAAAGTAACACAGTGACTTAAAGGCTACTTTTGCATCTATGTAAAGGGGAATTTCTAAGATAGCCAGGAACACAATGACTCAACCACAATGGTGGGTCCACAATCTGCACTGAAATATTTATAAGGTAAAATAATGACCATGGAAACTGTTTAGTGCCGTAGAATTTTAAAAGTAGTGGTTTTTCATTATTCTTTATTTTGAGCCACCATGATGTTGATACTGTGGTTAACTGAGAACATTTCCTGTATACATGCATGTAGATTTATGTTGTTGCTGCTATGGCTAAAGAAGATGCCTTTGCATGTTTATTATATTTGAGTTGTTGTAATAGTAAACGCTGACTTACATGTATTTGCCATTAGGATGACACAGTATAAAATGAAGCCCAGCAACACCCCAGATCAGTTTTTAAGAAGAAAAAGAATGTTGGAGGAGCAGAAAAGGTATGTTATGTCTCTGTGGAAAATGACTGAAATCATACATATACATGCTGTGATACTAAAGTTATGCTTTCCTTTTTTTTACTATCTTTTCATGCATCTTCACATCATTTCCAAGTTATAAATGACTTCATATAATCAGTTGATGTGGGAAAATGTTATTGGTAATGTAGTGTATTGTGCTGTATTTTTTACTGTATGTGATGTTGTACTGTCTATTCTCAGACACAGGCGAGATTATGTCAACTATGCAAGAAAACTGGTGGAAGGATCTTTAGAAATTGAAGATGTTGATATAGAGGTAAACATGCTTTGAATTATATTAATTCAATTTCTTTTAATTTCTTTTATTGATTATTTTATCTGCCATTCACTGTAAGTTTTGGAAATGGTTGTACACTGTAGGAGATGGAGTTTATTGAGGAGAGTGACAAGAATAGCAGGAGAAGGCATAAAAAGAAGTTTAATCCTTATGCATATCAGGTGTGGCTACTACACTTAAAACTGTTAACATCTCAAAAGTATGATACACTTTACCTTTCTCCTATTATGATTAAAATTTTTCAACTCTTTGAAAACTTCTAATTTTGCTCAGAAACCAAAAGTGATTCAGTTTCAGACCATTCTAAATATGTTTTTTATATCTTGCTCATAGTGAAGTTAAAGAAAGTCATTCATTCTCTTTCCTTTGTCAGCATAATTATTTTTTACTACATGGTATAGATTAGGATCAATTTTTTTGCTCAGTAAATTGATTTTTTTTCCCTCCCTTTTGTTCTCCTTTTTGTTAGTTGATGTTATCAGAGTGGCTTGTTGATATTCCTGATGATTTGAAGGAGGACTGGTTGATGGTGATTTGTCCAGTGGGCAAAAGAAACCTTGTTATTGCTGCAAATGTAAGTTAACTCTTTGACACCCAAGATCTCATTAGTAATACTCCTTTCTGTATGCCATACAATTCTTATGATGCTAGCTCTGAGAATTTGGCACTGGATCAACTAGAAAATCCTCAAACTTATATTTTTCTTTATTCTTATAACCTGTCTGATTGATGTTGTATTGATATTGTAAGGAGAAATTCTGTCTTGGTCACACATGGGAGTGAAAAGGTTAAATTAAAATGAACAACTTAAAGTAGCTTTCATGTGGCTTTCTTCACCACATGCTTCAAAACATTAGCTCTTCTACATGGTGTGAGTTGTACCTATTAAAGATTTGAGGTCCACTGTAGCTCACAATTTTCAGTTCACAAATGATTTTGGGGAGTTGAAATCTGTAAAAAAAAAAATTCCTACCATCTCATAAGAAATACTACTGTGTGTAACTTTGTTATGTGAACTGTAATAGTTTAATTTTCCATATTATTGTAAACAATACAGGGATATACTGCCGCATACACTAAAAGTGGCTACAGAGTGAATAAGTTTTCCTCGTTGCTGCCAGGCGGAAGTCCAAAAACTCTCAAACCTGGAGGTACAAAGCCATTATTCAAGTTATGAGAACAATGGTAGAGTAAATAATCTGGATTAACTCTTTAACTCCCAGAAGTGATTAACATAAAACTTCTCCCAACAATATCCATACATTCTTCAGCAAACAAGTAATGAGAATATTCAAACTTGTCAAGTAGAAGCTGCTATCTTGATCTAGCACCAAGTTCTCATTACTAATTTACAAGGAAATGTGTAACAGCTACAGGGGAGAATTAACAATCAGATCTTGGGAGTTAAAGGGTTAATATATCAATAGCTATCACAACTATTTTGCTTTTTGGGCATCAAGTATGGTGAACTTCCCTTGCTCAATGTACTTGTTATTTGCTTTTAAGTTCTCTTTTGAGATGGAGGTGTCAAGGCCATAACTTTCACAGTTTAATTTTCTTTTCCTTTTGTTTTCTGGCTTTATAGTCTCTTCAACCAGGAATTCATTGAATCTCAAATAATTTAGAGCTTGTATTAGTATATATTAAGTATATGAGGTAATTGTATAGACTGGGTTTGCTAATCAGAAACCTAAAACTACATACAAGTACATATATTTCTACACTTTGGAAATTATCTGTTTTATACATAGATTACACCATCTTGGACTGTATCTTCAATGAACTCACAAACACATTCCATGTGTTGGATGTTATGACCTGGAGAGGTCATCCTGTGTATGACAGTGAGGTACAGTACATGTAGCTCTGCATTACTACTGATAAGGCTCATTATTTTTTACAGTCACCATTTGTAGTTAATTTTGTGATCTCTGATTTGTAAGCTGTTGGCAACCTATCATGAAATGCATGAAGGGCTAGCGAAGGGCTAATGCTTGAAACGTCAGCTTTGAAACTCTTTATGGTGACCAATTTACATTATAAACTCATTTGATGAAACCTAATTACCTGGTGACTAATATCATTGTTTTTCTTTATCATTTTTCCATCTTTCAGACAGATTTTAGGTTTTACTGGCTGCAGACAAAGCTTCAGGAAGAGCCATTAGTGGCACAAGTGTCAGGTGACAACCCAGTAAGAGAATTGGAATTTATTGGTCCACTCATTCAGGGAAAGTAGGAACGGTGCTTTGAACTTAATTCCAGACTTTTACATGAGGGTTGAGTTTGACACTGGAGTTTGACCTTGGTCTAGGCTTTCATGTGTGGATTACTGGATTTTCTCTCTCCACAAAAACCAACTTCCAATTTCCATTTCAAGCCAGAATTAGAGTATGAAGTCCCATTTTGAGGATCCCATGCCTTTGCTAAATTACATTTGTATATTTTTCATTTATTTATTCATATTTGTTCTGGTGGAAAAAGCACTGTAAAACAAATAAAAAAAACAAGGTGAAATTTTGAAAACTGGTAGAAACAAAGTCAAGAGGGAAATCCTGAGTTTGATGCGTGAGAGCTCAATCCACGGAACACACACTTTAATTAACATGTCTCCGCTCGTCATTTATCAGTACAGGTTTGTCAGTTTGCATCATCATCCTTGTCATGCCAGTTCCATTAATGAAGCTTTGAGCAGTGTCACATCAGTCAATGAGGTAAAAGAAAAAATAACGTCTGATCAGGAGTAGTGTCTTGGAAATATTTCTGCCACAATTATTTTTCAAGCAAATTGGCAAAAAGGGAAACACAGAAGATCATTTAATCCACATTTTTTTTGCTCCAAGGTAGTCAAGTGTTAGAGCATCATTCACGGCATGAATTTGATTTGAAAAAAAAAAAAAAAAAACATCTGTAATCTTCGGCAGTAGAGTGCTACACTTGATCCTATAAAAGTGATGGACAAATAACTTCTCTTTACGATACTACAATAGATATTCGAGGGAACAGGTAAGGAGAGTAGACTGACCTATCAGCTCAAGGTTTCGTTTCTTGACATATGCGTCAAATTATGGAAACTAATATACAAGGAAGGATGGAGAATTTATAAGTAAAAAATTACTCACAAGTCCATGAAGGTGGAGTGGTTGATGGTTTATGTAGCATTGTCTTAAATGACATCCTCTTAATTAGCTTAAAGCTGAACAGTTTTGACGAAGGAACGGGCAAAGAGGGGTATCTCTCATTATCCATTCTCATGCTTTATCGGTTTGATATTGAAAGCTTTTAAAATTATTTTAGGTCGATGGTTTGTTGTTCTTTCACAAGAGGACGCATTACACTTGCGGGAGAACACCGCTGGTTGGCTGGTTAAAACCGTACATGCTTCCTGAAATATTGGGGCTCCCCGTGCCAGATACATTCATGGCAGGGGTTCCTGCGGTAAACAAACTCACTTTACTGAAGTCGAACAAGGAGTTACGAGACACCGATGAGGAAAAGAGGTTGGCGAGAGAGAACTGTGTGTTTGAGGAGAAAATGGACACTCAGTCGTCCCTGAAAACAAAGAGGAAACAGGGACGAAAATATGCTTCTGAAACTGGTGCAGGAATGGAGGTGGAGGAAGAATCAAAAGAAAATATACAACACGAGGACAAGAATGAAAAGATGGAAGTTTCGAAAAGAACTTCTCGTCGAAGAAGGCGTAAGAAAGGCGATGATGATATGGATGTGAGTCAGACTGACGAAACAATATCTTGAAGTCGTTAAGACCTCTTAATTGCAGGCACAACTATTAATGAAGTAGGCTTTCTCGGCGATCCTTTTGAGTGCAAATCATATCGTTTCTAAACATACGGACGAGACCAGGAACCGGTTCCTCAGTGGCTGAAACAAGTCTAGTGAAGCCTGAGCCTCCCCAGTCCTCCCACAGTTATACTTCATGTTTTAGTATGGATCGTTTAAGGTGGCCATTTTGTTGCTTCGTCTTTTTCCACACAGGAACTATTTCTTATTTAATTCAATTTATTTTTTTGTGCAAATACAAATATGCCCTACATGTACGTCGGGCTTTGCTTGTCCCGCGAACACAATGACGGAAAAGTACTGCTGCAATTTTCTCTCCTATAACGAAGAAGTCATTTCAGCTCGACAAGAAACAACCGTCTGCTTGAATGAGCAGACTGATTTACTTGTCGAAGTGAAAATATAATAACTGATACAGTGAGCATTGTTGAATGTATTTCGTCTATCATGGGCAGGGGGTAATAAATCAGACCGTTGAACTTCTTAGCTTTGTTTCAGCAATGGCTGAACTTCTTGGTTGTGCATCAGGAATGGTTGAAACAGCCATCCATCCTTTTTCTCCTTCGTGGCTCTCAACTCTCTTTAAAGGGGCTTTCCAAGAAGCCAAATTTTTCGCACACTCTTCTGCCTTTTTCACTTCTTCCTCGGCTTCCTTCTCTCTTCCAAGATAACGCAAGACAATCGACAAGGTTTGGTATGTGTGAATCAGCTCTTCGTGTGTGTCTAATACTTCCTCTTGTAATTTAGCAGCCTCTTTCAGGTAATCAAGGGCACTAAAAAGATGAAGCAAATTAATACTAAGCTCTTTCGTTACTACGCTTGCCGTCTTTGTTGTGGTGAATTTCCTAAGGGAAAATCATGTTTCATGCAGGCGCAAAGAACATGGCGCTCATGGTTAACGGCAGAAATCCAAGTTCTTGTTGCCAAATTCGGCTCTGTGTACACCTAAATAAGTGAAAATATTTGAATTTCCTTTGAACAAGAATTGCTTCCAATTTTTCTTTTGTGTGGATTCAAGGATCGAAGAGAAAATGGGCAAAATCGGAGTTCAGATTTACTGTAAGCTGATTCCATCAACGTCATTCTGAAGTCATTGATGATGGTTTTTATATCTTATTCTAACAAATATCTCTTTTTATATTTGTACAAAGATAAAGCACAGAAAAAAAAACTTTTCCAACACTTAAATTCCATTGTTCCTTCAGGTCAAACAGCAACAGTCAAAGTTAGAAATTACGTGTTGGAAATGCTAAGAAAGTCTTTGTCCTAGAATTCCGCCTTCGAGTCAATGTTTCGTGCTGTTCTAAACACTTTTAAAAGAAAGGAATCAGTTCAATGTGTATTAAATATAAGACTGTTACAGTGTATTCTTTCACCTTTGGTAATCTCCCTTCGCGCTAAACGCCTCTCCCAGATCATAAAGAGACTTTGCAGTTTCCTGATGTTGCCCCAGCAGTTGCCGTTGGAGGTTTACTGATGTGCTGCTGTATTTGATGGCGCCGGTGTAATCACCCAAAGCGTAGTAACTGTTGCCAATCCAGTTAAGTGTTGTTGCTGTGAAAGGATGATCTCCGAGGTTCTCTTTATAAATAGGAAGCACAGAATCGAGTCTTGTTTGAATTGCAAGCAAGTGGTTCCGTTGAACCATTTGAGAAGCTGCAAAAGGAAAAAAACGCAAACTTAAATGGCACATTGCTGTACTCATCTCCCATTTCTTTAGGTTTTCCCAAATACCCACTTGCGAAAACTTCGTCTGGCAGCAGAACTATTTTAGTTAGGACTGTTTATACTTTGCGAATAATAGTTACAATGAAAATCGTCGCGCAAACACGAGCTTCATATCAGATAAGGCTTTTAAAACATTCAGCTTACAAGTCATGTTATTTGAAGAAAGTAAAGGTGATACTTGGCTTCTGCAAAGTTTCAATGCATCTCGAAACTTTGAGGTGTTGTGGAATACACGTGGTGAAGGTGACTTTTCACTTTTTTTTACTCTCAAAAGTTAAGTCTGGAAAATTCCTAGAGGGGGGAAGTTTCTTAACACTGTGGTGCTATGTCGGTGAGGGAGTTTAATATGATAATTTGTTTTTTTCAACTGAGTTGATAATGCACATTGGCTACTGTGAGATTTTCAAAGCTAGAGGCGAAAACTCTTTACGGTGGCCAATTTACATTGTCAACTCGGTTCATGAAACAAAAATAATCTTGTAAAATTACCAACCTGCTAAATCGTTTAAACAAGCCGCTAACATGACTTTGTCTTTCCTTTTGTTTGATTTCTCTGCTCTCTCCCGTCGTAATTTTAAGGCTTTTTCCAGGTGTACATAGCCTTCTTCAACACGCCCCTCGCGAACGCAACAGAAACCAAGCTTACTTAAGCACTGGGCCCGGTTGCTGTTATTCACGTCATTACGTTCTGACTGGATGTCATTCGCATCTGACAGCAAACTCTTGGCACGATATAACGCTCTTGAGCAAATGAAAGGTGTGCATGTACAACTTAAAACTATGTTCATTCCAATGTGCGTTAGGCAAGTACTGTAAAGAGGCATGTCGTAGCGACAACGATGCGCGAGCTTGCAGAAGAGCGACTCGAACTCCTGCCTTTTCATCATCTTTGCAAGAAATACGGCGGCCTTATTAAAGGCATTGATGCACTTCTCCCTTAAGCTTTGTTCAAGCTCAGGATGCTCATCTCCACACCACGCCATGGCCTCTCGAATGTTTTCCTTCTCAGCTCTGTAATGTTCAATCGCACACTTAGAATCCTTACTCATAAATTTACGGCAAAGGCTAACGGCCAAATCACTGTAGTGACGAAGGAAGACTGATTTCGCTTCATTGTGGTCGGGCATCAAAGAAAAGAAGTTCCTTATGAAAGGATGAAGGGAGTATTGACAACTCTTTCTGTCGAAATGAAGGAGGCTGCTTTGCTTCAGGCAATTTAGATGTGTCTGAAAATCGTGTCCGACTGATGACTCAAATACTGTTTGGAACTGTTCTTGCGTGAATCTGTACGGAAATGTGGAGAACATGACAAGAATCTTCTGGTTCTCTTGACTAAGCCGTTTAAAGCAGATTTCCAGACACTTATCAATGCGGTCTTCATTTGCCATAAATTCTGGGTTCAGTTCTCTGACGAGATCACTAGGTGAACTTGAAGAGAGTCTCTCGGTAAACTCTTTCGGATTTTCCCGTTTAAGAATGAAGAGCACAGTGCAAATTATCAGAGGAATACCGCCACAAACTTTGACCAGTTCCTTGATCAAGCTATCGTCTAGATTACCGTCACTCTTTGTGAACAGAACAGCTGATTCTTCGTCATTAAGCGGCCCTAAATCAATAACTTCGATTGGGAAATTGTACGTTTCTCGAGATGTGAGGATCAGTTGAACGTTTGAAATTAGCCCTATGTCTTTTAAAAAGGTGAAAAAGTCATCCTTCGAGTATTTTCCACGCATTTTTGCACAGTACGTTTTGGATTTCAGTTCTTGATGGAGTTCGTTGACACTTGTTTGATTCTCAAGATGCATTAAGTCGTCGATGTTTTCAATGATCAACACCACACTCTTCTCCTTAAAGTAACAGATGCGATGAAATACTTCAGTTACTGCGTCTTCTCCGTGAACGAAGCCTAAAGCCTCAATAATTTTGCCTGCCAGATCTTCTACACAGGTAACATTACGGGGTTTAACATAGGCGATAAACTTTCCTCTTTCGATCATCCTATAAGCGACCTCGATTACCACCGTTGTTTTTCCGTATCCAGGTGGTGCCACAATTTCAGCCGATTTGTTTGAAGTCAATAGGGTTACAATATCTTCACAAATCTCACTGCGTCCCACTAGGCTTGTTCGTTCTGGCAAGAGCCCGCAGTGACCAGTTCGTATCATGTCTTCTGCAACTGAAAGGTGATAATAAAAGAAAGGCATGCTAAATATACTCCAGTGTAATATAAGGCATTGAAAGTGACTAGCAACAATTAACAGCACTCACTCTTGTTTTGACGAGTTAATAGAAATTTAAAGAAAACCACGACGGATTTGAAGGTTTAATGAGCAAAAGGTTTAACGGTGCTACTAATTACAACAATATTTCTCGCAACGCCTGTAAAAGGTGAATAGCTCATCTGAAAGCCCGGTGAACACCTCTTTGCTCTTCTGAAAATCGAGTACATTCTGTAGAAGGCATTTAGGGACCTACAATTGTACACGAATTTTAAAACCTCTCTACTTTCAATCTCTGTATTGAACATTCGCGACAGTTTTACCTTTACTGGAGAATGAAACAGATCTTTCCCCCTTGCGACAATAAGACAACGTCCTGCCTGTTGGATCGTTAATCGGCATCTCTTTGATGAGGCTATCGTGCAGTGAAGAATCCAGTCGTTCCAGGGATTGATCTTGAGAAAATTAAACCGACATTATTTCAAAAAGTAGCACAGAAAGTATTTAATTGTTGACTAAAGATGATAGATATTTTTGGGGCCTTGTGATAGCGATACCATTATCCTTTGGATAAAAGTAGGGAGGTTATCGGAAGTAGTTATCACCCCCATAAACTATGGTTGCCAAAGCTTTTAACTTATAAACTTTAAGTTCCTTGTCAATAATTTAGTATGTCCAGCCTGTTTTTAAAAAGCGCTAATTAAAAAAACCGGAGTGTTTGAAACAACGAACATTAGATATAATTCTGGCCACGAGGATCATCTTTTACCCGATTTTCAACTATAAAGAATATTCCAGGCTGATTTAAAAGGAGAATAGAGAGTTTTAGATCCACGTTTGGTTTGTTCACCGCAAACGTCAAACCGCGGTCAGCAGTTTGTGGTTAGAAGTTAGAAGTTTCGAGACTTTCAGCTTTTTAGATCGACGTCGGCTTTCACATGAAAAAAATTAAATTGTGCGCCGCCGTCTTGAATTACACCAAGGATGGAGGCCCTTCATTTCAAACACAAAATGAGTCTAAAAGATTGGTTTTCCAGCGTCCCAAACGGATTGGTGGAAATGAAAAGACTTCACCTCATATATGTTTATGGGACATACGTGAGAACCTTCGAACAGGAAGGAAAAGAGCGTCAAGGGAGTTCAACTACCTTAAACTGCGTTTGCCCGAAGTTCAAACGTGGACGGCCAACGGCGAACGTGATCGCTAGAGTCTGGTCACGCGACTCCTAGCGGTTTGCGGCCACACGTATTCAGAACCAAACGTGGATCTAAAACTCTCCAATATCTACACAATAACTTTCCTTTTCCACTCACCCACTGTATCTGGAAATTCCTCTGTTATGATTATAACTGCGTCATTTCGTTGAATCTTGTCCAATGCCCTTACAACATCAGTTAAACAAGTGTCAGGGAATTTAGCGGCCACCCATTTCATCACTTCAATAGTTGGACTTGTTCTCTCAGATTCTCTCGTCATGCCCTCAAACTTTCGGATCTCGTCGTTTGGGATTTCCAACTTGAAAGCTAGGTTTTTCCAATTCTCAACGGCAGGTATTGTACGGTTGAGTTTATCCGCCATCGTTTGCAGGAGCTTCGATCCAGGTATCATGACATCTTTCAGTAGCACTTCATCTGCAATAAAGAAAACTCATTAGTGGCAAGAAGGTTATCATCTACAAGAGTTGATGAAAAATGTTGGAATTTAATAACTGCACAAAGATGTTAGATATGATTGGAAAGTAAATGAACACAGGAACTGGGATGTAACGCCACCGCCGCGATATGACAGGATAGAAGCCCCGGCAAAAGAATGATATGAAGAACGATGAGGCGTCGGGTATGAATAGCATCACCCTAGACCTACTGCAGTCTGAAACGGACACTACATTAGATGTCCTGCATACGCTTTTGGAAGAAGAAACTCTTCCAGAGGACTGGGAGGGTTATAAGGCTTGTCATTAACGTCCGGAGAAGGTAACCTACACTTAAGAATTTAGAGAGGCATTATCTTCTCGAATGAGTTATGCCAAGGAGGGAATACGCCGGGTACGGAAAAATGAAAAAGACAACAAAATATCTCTTTACTTTGCATCTAATCATATCTCAAATTTCGAATCAGTGGTAGGTAAAGTGTATGACGTACCTGCAAAGTTCTGTTTAGCTATAAAGTCTAGCAAGTCATGCCTGGTCATCAAACAAAGGGCGTCCACCACTTTCTTCAGCTTCATCTTTGGGCAAGTAGCTTCCAAATACTGAAACAGTTGGTTAGTCGGGCTTTCTGCTGAAGGTGCCCCTATCTTCCAACATTCTTCCCTTGACACGTCGAATTTTATCGCCAGGCTGTACCAGTTTCCGAGAACCAGTGATGTCCCATCTAAAGCTAAAGCAATTTTGTCGAGAATTTCCTTCTTAAGGGAAGTCTGAGTTTGTGGATCTCCTGATGTTATTGCCCCTCGAACCTCTTCATGGTCATCAAAGCCAGCTGTTAAAACAAATGTTATCAGTGTCATGGCGTGTAATGTGAAGTAAGAGACGCTACACAATCAGTCCACTCGATATTTGAACATCACGCAGCCATGAATTCAAATATATTGAGATTCTTATAAAAGCCGTGGCACTTCGCCGGTTTTAGAAATGACACTGATATGTGTTTTTAAGAGGGTCAATCGTGCGCTAGACAAACTGTCACAATGTAAATTCCTCTTACATAAGCCTAAAAAAACCTCCAAAGAGGTAGGATGAATATAGATGAATCTTTCTCTATTTTGAAAAGAACGCTTACCATTATTAACATTATATTATCGTTATCATCAAAATTGCTATTACTTCCATGGTAGTCATCAATTTTGTTGTAGTTGGTGTTGATGCACATGTTTTATCACTACTATCAAAAGCTTTGGCGAAAAGATTATGTACATGGACAAACATATGAGCATGTTTTAACGCCAAATTGAGACAATTGTGTTAAGTATTTCCTTTGAATATTTTTGCGACGCTCAGGACAAAATGTTTATGAAAAGTTTGCTATTTACTACGTGGGATGTTTAATTTTTAGTGTTGTCTGGTACCACTTTATGAACAAAAAATAATTTCCTTCTTCTGCTACAACGTATCGCAAAACCCTCTCATCTTGTATTAAATCTCTTACAAATGATCTTATTGTAATGAACGTAAGGTTTGAAAATGCGAACGAAATTATTATTCTTAGCAGGGGCATATTGGGTCAAGCAATTCTTCAGATCCATCGCATGCAAGCAAAAATATTTGATAGATTATAAAATTAAAGGTAAAAGACAACTGCATCTTGGTAATTAGTTACAAGAAACAGAACGTAGTTACCATTTGTGAGCAGTACGTTCAGATCATTCCTACTAATCTGTGTCAATCCTTGTCGAAGTTGTTGAATGCTTAGGTTTGGTCGCTTGACCTCTAGATAATCAAACAATTGGATGGTAGGGCTGTGGTTACTGTACTGTTCCAATCGGCTAATTACAGCATCATCAACTCTCAGTTCCCGTGCTAACTGTGTCCAGTTCGGAATTAATCGCATTTTTCTGTCTAATAAGAGTGCCAACCGATCCATAAGGTCTCGTTTTTTCGCCAGGATGGTGCCTAAAGGTGATCCTTATTAAGAATATAAAGCGAAAAAATAATTAAATCGGTGTACGGATACACAAATTTAACCACAGACATCTCTTTTGTCACGGTGGGTTAGTAATGAGTCCGACTAATTCAAATGAAGTAGCTCAAGCGAAAATAAGAAAAAAAACAATAGCTTCAATGTCTTTTCGACAAAACCACGCCGTCTAAACCAATGTAAAATTTAAATCTAAACACATAAGAGTTGGGCAACAATATACAAGGTAAATCGGCCGTTCGCTTTCGTCCTCATAGAGCTCAAATCCTGGCAAATCTCTAGTAACACTGAATGCAACAGTCGCGTCGTTGTGTTGTTTCTTAAGTTGATCATGATATTCCTTACTTTTTCTCCTTTGAAACCTTTCTGACCCTCCTCTGCAATTACCTTTAACCAATATTTGCATATTTTACTTAAGACTACTCTCTGCTGAAAAGTTACGTGACCAAGTCTAGTCTCCTTTACTTTAATGTAACAACTGAAAACTAGTTAATCTGGTAACAGGTCTATCATGAACATGGGCGCTTGTTTAAAATAAAAAAACATCAATGGAGGGAATACAATTGCCACGTAATAGATTCCTAGTCTGTGTTAATCATCCATAGAATTATTTCTTCCATTTATGCGCTCCAACAACACTTCAATTCGGACTGTTTACCTGGCAGTGTCACGGTAATGAAGTGTTTCAATTATCCCTTCGACAGCTGAATCTGTTTCTAAACTAATCGGTTATTTCAGTCCAACAGTCTCCCTTCGTCATCATTAGTTTTGTATAGTAACTTTTGCAAGGTAAACTGACCATTTTTACGATCTCAATTTCATTTCCACTCATGTTCCGCATACTCGACGAATGCTGATTATCGAAATGGCCTCTACGTTAGGATCACTCGCAGCTTTGGCAAAGGCTGTGTCGTTCTTTTTAAAATCAAATATGAGCTGCGCTTGTTTTGAATCAATAGACCGGTACAAATTGAAAGCGAAAATGCCAAGAGTCCTTGATTTTACCTCGCCAAAAATTATAGTAATATCCAATTCCGGCTTCAGAAATCGGAAAATATTTGCACAACAGTGTTGTTATTCGTGAATGAAAGTTCAACCAAATAAATAAGAAAAACGCTACCTACCAGTCGAAAGGACAACATGACGAAAAGGATTCATGCAGTGCATGCTGTAAGCCTCCATTCCTGTGGGCTAATGAGAAGAAATTCATTCGAAGAAGGTGAAAGTTGTTAAGTCGAACGGCAGCATCAAATCTCCGTTATTGGCGGTAACGATTGTAGGAATCTCTGTCGAATATCCTACTGAATTAAGAGCAACCGAAGTGTGAAACCGCAGGTAATCCAAGCGAGAGGAATAGGAATAATCTACCGACTTAGATAAACGAGAAAACACGTTCTGGAGGATGATCACTTCCTTTATCACTTCCTTCAAAGTGGTTCGTCGGTTTTCAAGTAGCACAGTAAATCACAACCGGAGGGTACCCTATTCGACACACTTGCTTCGGTCCTTCGTAGGACTGCAAAATTGTCATGACAAATAGAAGCTGTCACTAAAACCAAGTTTATCAGAATCGACACAAAACTGTCAAAACCATTAAACGTTTTAGTCAGAATAAAAGGTCAAAAAAACTCCTCCTTTCCTTCCCCTTGCCCTCCCACCCTGGAGGCTTGTCATGATATGAGCCCGCGGTCAACATGGCTGGATCAATTTCCGAGAACTCGCACTTTCGCTATCTTGTTTAGGAAAATTTTCAATTTTTCATGTCTGAAGTAGATTGGCCCGCGGTTATCGAGACTTTGGTCTTGAGACCGACATATTTTGCAAGCGGGTTGGAAATCTTCTCGTCAGAAGACTCCAGCTCAGATACCAGGACAAACTGACTTTCAATACCTTTTAGGTGCTTTTCCTCTTCAATTCAATTCGACCAAGTTTGTACCTTGGACTAAAAAAATCTTTGCTTCCTTTGCTTTAAATTATGAAAAAAAAAAAAAATGGCGTCTCTTTCTATGTTGAAGCTGTACTGTTGTGAGCCTTCTGCAACTTTGTTAAGCCTTCTACAACTTTGTTAAGCCTTCTACAGTTGAGTCATTCGTGACATTGAGTCATAGAGTCATTCGTGACAATAGGGAAACGATGACATACAAAGCTACAACAGTCCCAAACCCATTCCTAAGAACTTTAAGGGGACGACAAGAGGGCAGTAAATGGGCGGGTAGACTTCCTTTATTAGTCCCAGGTCCCTCTGATAGTGGCTCTAGTTGGCCTTTTAGTTTCCTTGATCTAAAGGGAGTTAACATGAGAAATATCTGGGCTAAGATTGTGGAATTTTGGTACAAGGATGCAAAAACACCCATCTGATTATATTTTAGGTTCCACTTTAGAGACAACTAGAGTCGATCTTCGTTCCCGAAGAGGAGCGTTGGCTCATTTTCCAAAACAGCAACTGATTGTCACGTGAGCAGGTGACTTGACTTTCACCGAGGGTCCCCCTCTCGTAAGTTTATCTTTCGGCTGAGAGATGGCAGGCAATTTGGCAAGATATAAAAAAAATGTCTTCATACTGTTATTTCCAGGGGGAAAAAAATATCCTCCATTACAGGCAGTTAGCCACATTCCAGTCAATCCTCACTACTTCTCTCAGAGAACTCGTCTATAGTATCAGCAAGAATGTAAGAGATGTACTGATATCAGTAATAAGCTGAGAAATCAGTGCTCTATTATTCCGGTGAAACCTTGAACCATTATGATGAAAGAAACCACAAAAACCTTTAGTCATGGACCCATCATCATGTGAGTCTCGTCTTAATAACCTGTAAATCCTGGTTGCACACAGATATTTTCTTAAGATTGATTTTGATTTTATTTATTTAGCAGTTAATTACAAAAGGAATTAAATAAATTACATCAATAAAATTTCATTAAATAGCAATTTTCTCGCCTACGCAACGCATAGAAATCGATGATTGTAAAATCAATCCTTGCAATTTTATGTTTCTCACACAAGTGAGTGTTTTTTCTCTTTTCTTTTTTCTTCCTTTTTTTGTGCAAAAATGCTCATGGTTTTTTCTTAGTATCATGAGTACTTCTAAGAAGAAAGAGTTGTACTGATTAAATGATTAATTGACTTGGTGATTGACTGATTGTCTGACAGAGTTACAGGCAGAAAGGCTGACAGACTGTTTAGCTACCACTAGACTGATCGTCATGCAGCATCGTACGAATCTTCAGCCTCACCGTTTGATTGCCAAGTAAAAATGAAATATTTAGGCTGGCTTCTTGCCTTAAAGACTCGGCTCGCATTTCAAACAGTGGCTTGTAAACTGAAAAATCTGTCAGATTTCACGCATGTAAAATAAAGATTTATCCCGTTCCGAGGTAGGACGACGGCGCCTTTGACAAAAATTGTGCGCACTTGTCTCATGGAAACGATCAAGATTCTTTCATAAGGTAAAGAAAAATTTGCCCAGTGCACCTGGGACCTAGATACCCAACGCATCAATTTTTTTTCTATTGATCAAAATATTAACAGACCGATTTCAAATCATCCGTTGTAGACAAAAAGGGCCCTCTCTAAAGATTGAAAAGATTTAAAGATTGGTAAGGCTGACAAAAATTGTGCGCACTTGTCTCATGGAAATGCTTAAGATTCTTTCGTAAAGTAAAGAAAAATTTGCCCAGTGCGCCCGGGACCTGGATACCCGATGCAACAATGATTTTTCCTATTGATCAAAATATTAACAGACCGATTCCCAATCATCCGTTGTAGACAAAAAGGGCTCTCTCTAAATCTAAATTCCATTTTCGGGAGAATGTCCACCCATTGCTTCTTTCGGATTTAAACTGATAACCTGATTAAGAGCTCAGTGGGCGCTTTCTTAACCCTTAAACTCCCATGAGTGACCAACACAGAATTTCTCATTACAATATCAATTCAATATTAACCAGATAAGTGATGAGAATAAAGAAAAATATCAATTTGGGGATAATTAGTTGATCCAATACTAAATTCTCTGAACTAAAATTATAAGAATTATATGTTTGACAGTAAGGAGAATTACCAATTTGATCTGGGAGTTAAAGGATAAAGTGTGAATTCTATTCCGTCACCGCACTGAGGGCTCACGTGAGATAGCATTGCGCCTGCGCGAACTCAGTGTGTTGCCGCCTTTGGAGCGAACGGACGTTTGTTTTTTCAACACGCTGAGAATTTTTAGTGTTAAGCGATAATTCGCAAAAAATGCCCGAGACCTCGGATAAATCTGAGCTTAAGGGCGAGAAAGACAACTTAAAAAGGAAAAGTAGTGGCTCTAGAAGCGAACACATTGAAGCAAATGTTAGAATCATCGAAAGAGGTGATGGCGCCGATGGCGCCAAAACTGACTCACATGGTTTACAAGAGCTGGCCGCTACGCTGAGACAGGGTTTCACCCAGATGTCTCAAGATTTATCCAAGACTATTGCTGACTCGTTCAAACAGTTTCAGTCAGACTTTGAAATACAATATGTTGACACGGAGGAAGAACAGGAGGCAAAATCTGCCGAGAATGACCACGAGGTCAGCGAAGAGCCCCCCACGAAGAAGAAGCGACATGACAAAACTACGAGCTTAGAAGAAGCTGTGACAAAGCTGGCTGACTCAGCCGGGGCTCAAAATATGCCTTCTAATGAAGGAAAATTTGAGGTACTTAACAGCTTGAAACAAGAGCTGAAGAAAGAGGAGACGGGCCCAAGTGTAAACACAGAGCTGGCGAATGTAATGAATGCCATGCTCAAAGAAGGGCTGCCTGAAGAGAAACTTCAGGAAAAGTTGAACAAGTATCACAGACCAGAGAACTGTGAATTCTTGACAAAAGTACGAGTCAATCAACCAGTATGGGACCACTTTACTCCAACAGTCCGGTCCCAAGATGTTAGACTGCAAAAGGTGCAGACATCCATCTTCAAAGGAATGTGCTCGTTGACAAATATGATCGACAAACTCCTTGAGCACTTGTCGTCACTCCCAGCGGGAAACGACTTTCTTCAAAAGTCAACAGATGCACTTACATTGTTCGCTAATGCAAACAGTGAACTCAATCAAAGACGAAGGGAATTTATTAAACCGGATTTACACGAGGAATACAAACATCTTTGCTCCTCGTCGGTTCCGATCACTGACCAATTGTTTGGCAATGATCTCCCGAAACAAGTGAAAGAATTGACCGAGGTCAATCGAGTGGGAAAGAAAGTCTCCACACACAGTGGTCGATCAACGAACAAGCCTGATTATCACAGGCACAACTCTTACGCACATAGCCGCGGACGCTCAGGAAACCAACATTACAGGAAGCCTTTTTTTAGGCTCGTGGAAAAACGACCACAAACATCCTCCGAACTTCAAGAGGAAGAAGGAGGGGAAGTCAAAATGAATCAGACTGCTAACAACGTTGGGGTAAGAAATGTGTCAGAGCAACCTAATAAAATTACAGGTGGAAGACTGAAACAATTTACCTCTCAGTGGCAATGCATAACCTCAGATCCTTTCATACTTAATAGTGTGAAAAATTATAAAATTGAGTTTGAAAATGGAGAGCCAATGCAGTTTATGCCACCAAAAGAAATGAATTTTACAAAACCAGAGCAGGAGGTCATTGACAATGAAATTGATAAACTGCTGACCAAAGGTGTGATTTCAGAAACCACACATTGCCCTGGTGAATATATTTCTACTATATTCATACGCCCTAAGAAAGATGGAGGGTTTAGATTAATTCTAAATTTGAAGAATTTGAATGAACATGTGGAGTATCAACATTTTAAGATGGATACCTTACAATCGGCAATAAGGCTTATGACTCCAAACTGTTATATGGCCTCAGTAGACCTGCGTGACGCATACTACTCAGTGCCAATTCACAAAGATGATCAAAAATATCTGAGGTTTTGCTGGAAAGGTAGATTGTTTCAGTTTACATGTCTACCAAATGGTCTGGCCTGTGCACCTCGACTCTTCACAAAAATCCTTAAGCCAGTGTATGCTACGCTGCGCCAGAAGGGTCACCTAAATGTAGGCTATATTGATGACTCTTATTTACAAGGGGAGAGCGTGGAGGACTGCCAAGCCAATATTAATGATACCTGTGACTTATTTTCAACATTGGGTTTTATCCTACATCCTGATAAGTCGGTCTTACAGCCAGTTCAAGTCCTTACATTTCTGGGATTTGTCTTGGATTCAGTTAATATGACTGTCTCCTTAACACAGGAAAAAATCCAGCGCATAAGGGAAAGATGCAAGAAAATGATGGAGCTTGTTGAGCTCCCAATCCAGGAACTAGCTAGCTTTATAGGGCTTTTAATGTCAAGTTTTCCTGGAATCATATATGGACCACTGTATTATAGACAACTTGAGAGGGATAAAACTACAGCCTTAAGACAAAACTATGGCAATTATAATGCTCAAATGAGATTATCCCAAGAAAGCTTTTCAGAGATAAAGTGGTGGTATGATAACATACAGACAAATAACTACCCCATATTATTGCCTAATTCAAAGGTTGATGTAATAATTTACACCGATGCATCAACTAAAGGATGGGGAGCTGTCAAAGAGACAGAGAAAATAGGGGTAGATGGTCAGAGGAAGAAGCAAAATATCACATTAATTGTCTGGAGCTGTTAGCTGCAATTTTTGGACTTAAGGCATTTTGCAAAAAATGAGCAAGGCATTCACGTTAAGATTTACTCTGATAACTCTACAACTGTGAACTATATTAATGCTATGGGAGGTGTACATTCTAGGGAATGTCACACTATTGCTAAAGATATTTGGCAGTGGTGCATAGAAAAACAAATATGGTTAACAGCTGCTCATATCCCAGGGACCAAAAATGTTGAGGCAGATCGGGAATCACGCGTTTTCTCAGACAACAAGGAATGGATGATAAGATCTGATATTTTCCAACAGATCACAGATATCTGGGGGGAGCCCTCCATAGACCTCTTTGCATCCAGACTAAATCATCAGGTTCCATGCTATGTATCCTGGAAACCTGACCCAGGGGCAGCCTTTATTGATGCATTTTCTGTAACATGGGATAAACACTTGTTCTATGCTTTCCCTCCTTTCAGCTTAATTGCAAGATGCCTACAGAAAATACAAACCGATTGTGCAGAGGGATTGATGATAGTTCCAATGTGGCCAACCCAGAGTTGGTATCCCAAACTTCTTCGCATGTTAGTGGCTGCTCCAAGAGTGTTACCACAACAACGAACTGCCTTACAAATGCCGGGGATGCCACAAGAAGTCCACCCCCTATTCAGGAAAATGGTTCTGATTGCATGCAGATTGTCCGGCAGTCCTATGAGACACAAGGAATTTCTCAAAAGGCAACCTCCATCATCTTACAGTCCTGGAGGAAAGGAACTACAAAGCAGTATTCATCTTACATCAAAAGATGGACTACATATTGTCATAAAAAACAGATTGATCCAGTTTCTGCCACTGTCCCCCAGGCACTAGATTTTTTAGTGGAGCTATTTGAGTCAGGCATCAGTTACAGTGGTATTAACACTGCAAGGTCTGCTCTATCCAGTGTCTTAAAGTCTAAGCCAGGGTCGAAACCCACTGTTGTTAAGTTTGAAGCTTACCCGGACAACCCTAACATTTGTGTTGTCACTAACTTGAAGGCATATCTTAATCGTACCTCTTCTCTACGTGGAGGTGCACAACAATTGTTTATTAGTCATTACAAGCCATTTAAACCAGTTTCCCGGGACACCATCAGTAGATGGGTCAAAGCTGTAATGCAAAAGTCAGGAATTGATGTAAACCTTTTCAAGCCCCACAGTACTAGGGCTGCCGCAACATCTAAGGCTTTGTTAAAATCTGTACCATTAGAGCACATCTTATCAGTTGCAGGATGGAGCTCATCTGACACTTTTGCAAAGTTTTATAGCAAGCCTGTTATCAACACAGATAGCTTTTCTAACGTTTTGTTACAAGAGTAAAATTAATAAACTGTTTTTGACCAATATGACTTGCTTGGTTGGTCATTACTCTGTTCATGTGTGCAGTGGGCTTTGAAGTCTCACGTGAGCCCTCAGTGCGGTGACGGAATAGAATTGGAAAATTAAACGAGACTTACCTGTAAGTTGAAGTTTGATTGAAATTCTATCCGTCACCAAGCACTGAGGGATTACGTGAGATAGCATTGCGCCTGCGCGAACTCAGTTTTTAAAGCACTTGCCATGTGTGCAGGGGAAAGAAAACCCTGACCAGCAAAATGGGAGGGCCTTAAAAGGGAGGGCACGTAATCCCTCAGTGCTTGGTGACGGATAGAATTTCAATCAAACTTCAACTTACAGGTAAGTCTCGTTTAATTTTCCAATTCTCCTTGTAGGTACTGCCGGGACGGGTGTTGTTTCAAAAATGGTCCCAGACAAATTCTAGTTCTTTGGTTCCGAGCATATCTGAAGGAGCCTCCCAAGAATCCAACTTTTTTGCACACTCATTCGAGCGTTTCATTTCTTCTTCTGCTTCCTCGGTTCTTCCAAGACCACGAAGAGCAACTGCCATGGCCTGGTGAGTGAAAATCAGCTCTTCGTACGTGTCCAGTACTTCTTCTTGCAAATCAGCTGCCTCTTCAAGAAGTTTAAGGGCACTGAAATAGATACAGCGGTAAATTATGTACTTCCCACACTCTTTCTCTTAAAGTGTCAGAGACTTTCATCTATCTGATACACTGCTATATGAAATGTTATCTAGAAATCTAAACTGAGGTGTAAGGAGTTGAAACCATTGTTATTAAGGACAGTGTTCCTCGTCTTCCTGTTCAAAAAATACTCTTACAATTCAAAAAGGAAAAAAATAAATTGCCGTGTGATGCGATCTTGTAAATTTTAACCTTAAAATCATTAAATGGAATTTTCAAAATACAAGGAGGTTCAAAAAAACAAGGAAAGTGAGTCTTAAAACAATTCGAGCAAAGCTACAAAACATATTAGCCTGTCGTCTTCGCACGACTACGACATAACCTTTTCCGGACCACAGGGGCAAAAGACTTCCTCCATCAGGACCTGAATGAACTCCGCTACCCTTTTAACAACTGTAACATCCGCGTGAACTTGACATTTTGACAGACTTGCATTGATTAAGGGGCAAAAATGTTTGTGCGTGCCATCGCGTCGTGGTTCTCCCTTATGTCAAAACTTTTACCAAGGAGTATGGGATCTACAGAATGCTGAATGATAAATTACAAAGCATCTTTACTCACGTTTCATACTCTTGTTTCGCAGTAAAAGCTACTCCCAGATCATAGAGAGACTTAGCCGTTTCTTGATGATTCCCCAACAGTTGCCTTCGTATTTCTACTGATTTACTGATATGTTTAACGGCATTGTCGTAGTCACCCAAAGCATGGTAACTGTTGCCAATCCAGTTGAGAGTGGTTGCCGTGAACGGGTGGTCACCAAGGTTCTCTTCATAGACAGGCAGCACATGAGTCAGCCTTGTTTGGATAGCCAGCATATGTTTTCGCTGCACCATTTGAGAAGCTGCGAGTCAAAATAAATAGAGCAATAAATCAGAAGAATGCAATGTAAGATTGCAGACTGAATTTATATATCTATATATATATATATATATATTAAAGCAAAGAACCACAGCATTGAGCACTTTTATGAGTTTCTAGCCTAAGCGCTCCCCGAACTTATATATATTTATATATATATATATATATATCCAACAATATCACTGGCTAATTATTGCATCACTTATGACGCATGATTCGTAAACAATTTTGATTGTGGTATGCTTTGCCAAGCTTACGCAAAAAATCAGAGGATCTCAATAGCAAGACCTACAGGTTTTACAGCAGATATTGAATGGAGTTGATCCGTTTCTGATAATTCCTTCTCAATACTGTCCATTCGTAAATATGATTATGATTGAAGCAATAAGAACTGAAATTGCCACAAACCTGCTAAATCATTCAAGCAAGCAGCCATCATGACTTGGTCTTTGCTCTTTTCGAATTCCGCCTTTGCTCTATCCTTTCGTAATTTCAAAGCGATGTCGATGTATTCAAAACCCTCGCTAACGCGCCCCTCACAAACACAACAAAAACCAAGCTTGCTCAAGCACTGGGCACGAGTTGCGTCGCTGAAGTCTTTAGCTGTTGACTGAATTTTATTTGCCTGAGTCAGAGTTTCCTTTGCTTGATTCAAGGCTCTTTGACAAATATGAGGTGTACATGTGCAGCTTAACACAACTTTCATTCCAATGTTCGTCAAGCAAGCGCTGCGGAGTTGCATGTGACATCGATGGGCAAACTTGTCAAAGAGCGACCGAAACTCTTGTTTGTGCATCACCTTGGCAAGAAATACAGCTGACTTGTTGAAGGCCTGAATGCAATGCTCCCTCAAGGTTTGGTCAAGATCAGGATGATCGTCTCCACACCAAGCCATGGCTTCTCGAATGTTATTCTTTTCTAAAATGTACTGATCAATTGCCGACTTGCAATCTTTACTCAAGAAAGTTTTATAAAGAGTAACGGCCAAGGCACTGTAGTGACGAATAAAAACCGATTTGGCTTCTGTATGACCCGGCTTCAGTGAAAAGAAATCTCTAATGAAAGGATGAAGAGAGAAATAACATTTTCTCCTGTTGAAGCGGAGAAGGCTGCTTTGCTTCAAGCAATTCAGACACGTTTGCAAATCGCCTTCGACCGATGACTCAAAGACTGCCTGGAATTGTTCTCGGGTGAATGTGCACGGAAATGTAGAGAACATTACGAGAATCTTCTGGTTTTCTTGACTTAAGCGATCAAAACATATTTGAAGACACTTGTAAATGCGATCCTCGTTGGCTAAAAAAACGGCATCTAGTTCTCTAGCAAGAACTCTTGGTGGAGTTGTGCAAAGTCGACGGGCTGCCTCCTGGGGATTTTCTTTCTTTAGAATTGAGATTACTATGCAGATTACCAGGGGAATACCACCACAAACTCTGACCAGATCTTTGATCAAGTCATCTTCCAGGCCATCGTCACACTTTGCAAACATAGAAGCGGAATCCTTTTCGTTAAGAGGCTCTAGATCAATCAGTTCAATTCGGAAATACACATTAAAATCATAGGTTTCTCTAGATGTCAGCAGAAGTTGAACGTTTGGACTTTGTCCTAAGTCTTTAAAAACATCAGAAAGTCGTTCTTCATATATTTTCCACACACTTTGGCGCAGTTATTCGTGGCTTCTAATTCTTGGTGGTATTTAGCGTTGCTAACTTGATCTTCAAGGTGCAGCAAGTTGTCAATGTTTTCAATAATCAACAGCACGCTATTTTTCTCTAATGAAAATAAGCAACGAAATATTTTAGTCATTGTGTTCTCACCGGGACCGAACCCTAAAGCTTCGATAATTTTGCTTTCCAAGTCTTCTACACAAGTAACATCTCGTGGATTAACGTAAACAATGGCCTTTTTCACTTCCATCATCCTATGAGCGACTTCTATTACCACCGACGTTTTTCCATATCCAGGTGGTGCGACAATTTCAACAGCCTTGTTTGAAGACAGGGCGCTAATTATGTTTCCACAAATATTACTGCGACCCACTAAATTCGTTCGGTCTGGCAAGCTTCCAAAGTGACCGGATTGTTCCTGCACTTCTGCAACTATAAAATAAATAAAAATGACTTTACTGAAATTACAGAAATACCATTTTAACCATTTATGTTTTGCCAACATTGTCACGAAATGACCCATCTTTGACGGCGAAGAATGTTTGTTCCCCACTTCTCTCTGGGAAGACAGTGGCAGTACAGAGATCGAGATTACCAACACCAGGTTAGGAAGAAGAGTTAGAGCCGGAAGACGTTTTTCGAACCTTCTGAATATTGGCTACCAAACAATAGAGGAAACAAAGGGAAGAATTTCCTGGCAAGCCCAACAAAACTAAATGTGTCTAAACACCTGTGGCAAAACTTGAACAAGACATATAAACGAAACATTTTCCATTAGCATCGAATGAGATAAACGTTTTCCTTCTTACCTTGCTTAGGAGGCGAAACACGCCTTTCTCTCCTGCGGCTGGTTGAAATCATCGCACGTGTTGGATCTGGCACGTTCAAGCTGCCCTGAAATGAACACCCAAGTTCTTTTAAAACTGAGTCTGAAAAAAAAGGGCAAATATACACAGTCAGAGAGATCATATTTAATATCGAGATAATTTTCATTGTTTCTTTCGTTTTAACGGCATTTGCACAATGCACATAAGAGATCACAAAGCTGATACTCTATTAACAAGGAGAAAGGGGATTTTGGACAGGTATAACAATAAATACCACATTGTCAAAATCCCAAATTACCTATAATAACTGGCCTTTCTTACCAATTGTGTTCGGAAAATGCCTTGATATTATCTGTATGGCGTCATTTCGCTGGATCTTTTCAAGTGCCTGTGCAATATCACTTAGCGTTGTTTCAGGGAACCGAGCGGCCACCCATTCCAAGACCTCTTTGGTAGGACTTTTCCTGCATTGTTGGACATCAGCAAACTGTCGAAGAATTTCGGCTGGTACTTCCAACTTACGGGCCAGATGTACATAGTTTTTGACGCCGATATTGTCATCTCGATTAAGTTCTTGCGATATCTTTTCTAATAGTTCTGATCCAGGGGTAATGACATCCTTAAGTAATACCTCATCTGCAGAGAAATATGCCCATGAATCATTTTCTGTAAACTTTCCGCAAAGGGGCCTAAATAAAGAGATTATATTCGCCTAATTGATTTGTGAACTATTCATGCAGCCAATAGCACATAAGTCTCAGTATAAGAAAAACCTGAATAATAAATGAAATTGAATTTTAACGTTACAATTTAGATAAAAAACCTCTAAGGACCGATGGTGTTTAGCTCATTTAAAATCGAGAAGCATACTGAACATTCTTCATCATTTTATGTCACGTTATTTGCAATATGCAATGTTGAGATATTACCTCCTAGGTTCTTATTTTTAAGAAAGTTCATCAAATCCCTCCTGTCAATAGAATCCAGAGCTTCCTTGAGACTATTAAGCGTCAATTGTGGGCAACTAGTGGCCAAATACTGGAACAGTTTGCCGGTCGGATTTTCTGTGGATCGTCTTTCAAACGTCCAACATGTGATTCTTTGCACGCCCAGTTTAATTGCCAAGGTGTACCAGTTTGACAAAACGAGTGACCGCCCATCCAGAGCCAAGGCAAGTTCGTCCAAAATACCAGCTCTGGGTGAAGGGGCTTCACTTGGTTTAGTGATTACATCAACAACTCTCTCAGAGTCAATGCAAACAACTAATAAATATAAAAATTATAAACAGTGGAATTATAAAAACATTAAGGACATCAAGGCAATGAAAAAAGACATGATACAAAACAACAAACAGAACATCTCATAATTCACTTTCATGCAGTGTTTCTCATGACACACGTTTCCTCCTCAAATAAAATACACGAGTTATGTCATGCAGCTAGTCAAAGACTGCATTCGTCAACCAAAAGATTATTCCTTCAAAACGTAGTTGAAAGCTGTCTACAATCCGTGTACTTTGGACAGTTGACAAATGGGTCATACATGAGACAACACCGTCTCTAAGAAGCAAACACAACGTTGACAAGCTATTTCACCAAGCAGTATCAAATTCTGTGTTTATAGAGCTACTTAAGAGGAGCAAAATCTCTCCAAAAGTCCCTCGTCAGTAAGTCCCCTTAAATGATGACACAGACAGTACAGCCTCACATTTGACTATGATTATTTATTTTGTTACCTTCTGTGGTCAGTAAATTGAGTAGGTCGTTTCTCCCGATCTCCAACATGGTCTCCTTTAGTTCTTTAATCGTTAAATCCGGTTTCCAGGACTCAAGAAAATCAAATAATCGGAATGTAGGACTGAAGTCACCGTACTGTTCTAATCGTTTGATGACATCCACCTCAACTTCCAGCGTTGATGCTAAATGTTTCCAATTATGTATCAATCTCATATCCCGGTCCAAGCACAGACTTAACTGTTCTATAAATTCTGGATTACCCCTTAGAATGTGGGATAACTTGGACCCTAAACATCGAATAGAATAAAATATTATTTGCAATCAATTCCCGGAAATTTACTCTGAACCGACTTTCGAAGAAACAAATATGACGAACTTAGTCAAGAATCAACGATGACTACAGTGTAAAACAGAAGTCCATGATAGCTTAATGTAAACGAGGAACATACCCAATAAAGGAATAAAAATGCACAGGCAAATAAAAAAATGGGGTCGATCTATTGCTCCAACGACGAAGCATTTCTAACCCTCAATGAAGCATGGAGGCGATATTTAAATTGTCACGCCAGTTGATTTCATTGCGCATCTGTGTACCTATATTACTTAGTAAAAGCTTTGAAATTGTTAGCGCATAGGATCGTCCGATGTATGTCTTGTTAGTAACGTAATCGTTAATCAGGTAATTTAGTGTTAACAACAGAGTTGAAAACGTAAATTGGCCACCGCAAAGAGTTAAAAGGCTGACGTTTCGAGCGTTAGCCCTTCGTCAGAGTGATCGTTACTTCTGAAACATTTTAAAGCAGCTTGTCTAGGTGAAATTTTTTATTAAATAAAAAAAGAACCTGGAGAGTTTGTGGCATTCTCGAAGTTATACTCAACACTAGCGGTGATACCTACCTTCAATGCAAACTATCTATCGAAATTGTAAACATTTTCATGGTAATTTCGGGTAATCGTGAGCTACAGCCTCCTTTGTCGAAAACTTACGGATGCATTCAACCAGTTGCAGAAGAAGATCGAATATCACCGTACTTGTTACATACAGGAGGAAATTACTTACCAGTCAAAGTAACACTTGCATCCAATCGAGCCATTGTGAACTTACAACCACCGAACCCTTCGACTAGCGTCGCTCTTATTTTATTTGAACATAACGAAATATCACGAAGGTTGTGTGTGTTAAGCGATACGTCGGTACTATGAAATTCACGCGAACGATACGTCTACTGCTAAGAGCTCGTACAGCTGAACTCAAAAGACGACGGAACGGAAAATGGAGCACTTTTGGGATCGATGCGATGAAAGGAATCTCAGACGATAACCCGGATATTTCACTTATTGTTTAATTTGCATAATTATATAACAGCCAGACTGGGAATTTTGGGTAGATTTCCTATGAGGTCATGATTGCATAGCAAGGATTTGGAAATTTCTGCCTATTTGCTGATATGAAATTTAAAAAAAGGGTGGGGGAGTGGAAGGTTTTTTTTGTTCTAGGTTACATTCACCATTATCAGGAGCCATTACTTGGAGCCTTCAACTGCCTTGCATTTTTGTCACGGTGGCAAAGGGTTTTTGCGTGACGCGTGATGGTGCAAGGTGACGCGTGATTGAACTCAAATTATCCGCGTGACGCGAGACCGGACATCACAACTTGATGCGTGATTTTCTATTTCACAAGTGCGTGACGCGTGATTTACAAGACTTACTAATTAGATTTCCGTGATAGTGAACGCTCTTTGACCAAGAGGAAACCAATCCTTCAAAGTAAATAGCGTCTTAACAAAGATCAATAAACCGTAACAGCCGGCACACTGTTTTCTTGTCTTTTCCGTCCTTTGCAGACCTTCGCCTGACCTTTGATGTCTTTGATCTTCCTGGTAGGTCCAAACAATCATAACATAATATTCATAAGTTAATATAGTTAATATTTTCACAAGGACTATGATCTTCAGTGTTCTTTTTGTCGACAGCCTGGTTGTCTCGCTTCAACAAGTAAGTCGTCTTTATTTGTTTGACAAAAAGCGATATAGCAGGTGAAACGCAATTCATTCCGGGATAAAATCGTTGGATGCAATATAACTTTCAATAATACATCCGATAGGTTGAAATCTTACAGTGCAAGCTTAGTGTACTTACTCGTTTTACGTGACGCGTGATTGGTTAAAAAACTTACTCGTGATGCGTGATTTGATAGAAAAATTCAGCGTGATGTGTGATTGGAACCTCCCCTTTGCCACCCTCTTTTCACAGACAACTCTATTCTTAGTTTGAATTTACCGCGAATTAGGACTCCTCGCGAGAGCACCTGGACCAATCAAGATTAGCGTCTGGTTAATTTCTAACTTTACTCGTTAATATATCGAAAGAAAAATGGAAGAGAGGTGCAATGATTCTTGCTATAGTTCAAGTGCAGATTCGTGTGAACGAAGGCGTCCCAAGCTCACGTCTCGAGAAAAAGCAAACGACTAATTCATGATAGCATCACGCGTTGTGTGACTCGGTATTAACTTACGAGAGGAACCGTTTTTGTAAGCTGAACCGTTGAGAGAGCAAGCTTTTGTTTTGTTTCCGCGCTCTCCATAATCGCTGGCATGGCGCCTCTTCGTTGTTTTGAATTTGAACTCTTTTCATGAAATTTTCTTTAGAGGGACCAGAATCAGAAGACGGATAACACCATTGATACACACGAAAATTAAAAAAAAATACAAATACAAATACAACGATGATCCGCACTCCTGCTAATTCTTTTCGCAAGTGTTAAAAAATTTGCCAATGATAGTGGGATACGTAAGGAAAGGAAGGATTGGAATACTGGAATACAACTAAAGAAAGGCGGAATTTGCGTAGTTTTGATATGAAGACGTCCTCGCATAAGGCCGCCATATTTTTCTTTACGTTTCATGGATCGCATTACCTAAGTGAGCTCGGGTAGCCTATTTCCCTCGAAAAGATCGTCTAAAAATAAACCGTTCTGTGACATAGGGTCAGTATAGGAGTTGAACGCTCCCTCCATAATCTGAGACAAACGAAGAGCTCTACCAACACACAGTCAGGAACAAACCACCCCACCCCAGCCCCTCCTGCATTACTTTTTGTCCAGAACCTTTCTTCCAAGACGCGTTTAGAGGGTGGTTTTCTTTCAGTGTTGCCATAGTGCAAAATGTTTATACATGAGGTTCTGGTGCCGAATTAAACCCCCTTGATGCACAGTCCTGCTATCTCATCTCATATAGAAAACCTCACCGTTTTGGGCGATGTCCGAAGGAGGAGTGTTAGTGAAGATGACGGGTAGGTGGTTAACGCCCCGGGAACCATCTTGACAATGATGATAACATTAATCAATTATATTGCCAATGATAGTAACAATATTAATAACGATAACGATAACGATGGCTAAAATAATGATAGTGATTTAGGAAAGGTCAATAGAACCTCGGGTAGTGTCTGCTGATCACTCGATCCCGGACCCCTTGCAATGTTATCCTTATTTTTATCTATCAGTCATATCTCTTATTTGTTCGTGATAAATTAATCGTGTGTTCCTGTTTACTGCAGTTTCAAGGGAAAGAATGAATGAATGAATAAATAAACAAAAAAGAATATAAACTACTTGGACTCATTTCCGATTAAAATAGTAAATCTTAAAGGTGAAGGATAGGGTAATTTGAATTCTAGTTGATGACCCTCATGAGGGAGGGAGGTGGTGTTCTGGCCAAACTCACGCGACAGTAATTTATGCGTCAATCAATTCGAAGCTTCAACATCCGCCCTGGGCTTCCCCGGGTATTTGAACTTTTAAAGATTGGTTCATTTACATAATTTTCGCTATATTGGTAGAGAGAACCTTTTTTTTTTCGGTTTCTGTGCGATATTTACTGAAACTATTCTCCCCTCGGTAAAAAGGCTACCACAATTCACCTGCCACTTTGGTGAGTAGCTGTTAATATTCTACAGAGCTCTGCTGCATTCAGGGTAAATTATTACTGACCAACTGAAAAGTTAAATTTTACGTATAAAAATTGATGGACGAAGCAATAAATTGACCGTTTTGTTTAAGAATACAGTGTCGCATCACAAGATGCGTTTATTAAGGAAATCAAGGACAACTCAGGCTGGAGATTCGACATGACATGGACAATTCATTTGAACTTTTCAATACTTAAAGACCTTAAAATCCGTAAGAACTCGTTAACAGTATTACCGTCGGATATTAATTTTAAGAGGTCTACTCATACCATTAACAAGTAAGCTGAACGATTAATGTTCCGTTCTGCCAGTGGTTGGTAATCTTAAATTTTAAGCCATTCTGATACAAGAAACTACCACAATCTTTATTGATGGATCAGTGATCAGTCTGGTCTCAATAACATATTAATCCGATTAATGTGAGTTACGAAATATTTTCTTAGGGCCTTCTTTTGAATTATTTATTCAATAATTAAAAAAATAATTTAATAAATTATATTTTAAAAAAATTCCTTCAGTATTTATTTCTTACCTACACAGTGTCTATAAAATGGGTGATTGAAAAATTAATCCCTGCGATTCACGTTTCTCTCAAGAGTTCACGCAAGTCAATTTTTTCTCTTTTCTTTTTCTATGGCATTTTGTACAGGAATACTCGTGGGTTTTCCTTTGTGTGGCAAATAGTGACTTCTACGGAGATTGAAGTTTCATTGGAGTGCCCGTCAGACAAAGGGAGAACAAGAAAAACTAACAGACATTTTTAGCTTCACGCTTTACTGACCGTAAGGACTAGCAAACCAGACCACTGAGCGAAAACTGAATAAATATCAAAGCATTGATTGTTTGTGTTCAATTGATTGATCTGTTGTCAGACCTATATTCGATCAACGGTTTGATGCGAAAGGTGTTTTTTACGATGCTGAATTCCGTGGCTTTGCAGGGAGAATATCTATCCATTCGCTCTCTCGTTCTTGGGTCCTCAGTTTATCTAAAGGGGCCTCCCAAGAATCCAGCTTTCTCGTGCATTCCCCCGCGCGATTCATTTCTTCTTCTGCCTCTTCGTCCCTTCCAAGAGCACGAAGAGCAATCGACATAGCTTGGTGGGAGTGAATCAGCTCGTCCTGTGTGTCCAATACTTTTTCTTGGTAATCAACTGCCTCTTTAAGGTATTCTAGGGCTCTAGGAAAGATGCAACGTCAAATAATGATTTTCTTCGACGTCTTCCGCCAAAAGAGGATGTCACATATTTACTAATGTTTTTACCGAGCGGTATTCACATCAGTACGATGTAGTCTCTTAGAAAATATTACCTCTAGGTCCAGTTTAAGAAATTAAATCATTCCTCCGTCTTACGATTCAAAAATAATTCTACGATGAAAAATATCTACATTATGATACATTTTGTTAGATATTTCACCTTTGAGTCATTTACTGTAATTTTTCAAACCAAAATACAACGAGTTTGAGGTCGTATAAGAAAATTTGACTTGACAGCAGTAAAATTAGAAGAAAAGGACGTGATCTAACGAGCAAAACAACACACACATCGCAACTGTCGCTTCATTGCCTAGCAACTTGTTGACGCCGCACGAATACAACGTAACATATTTTTGGACCAAACGAGCACTACTCGAAAATATTTTTTTTTCCTCGTTCTGGGCTTCAATGTTTTCCTCTAACCTTTTAACAGCAGGAAATTCATGTAAATTGAAATTTTGACGGAGTTGCATTGATTACGATAAAATATTTAAAAGAACAAATACACGAAGAATTAATGTTTTTGCTAGGGTCAATATTGCTTGCAATCGATTTTGTTGTTTATCTTTGCCAAGAGGGCATCGGATCTACATAATGCTTTCTGATAAATAGCAAAGTATCTTTACTCACGTTTCATAGTCCTGTTTCGCGCTGTAAGCCACACCCACATCATACAGAGACTTTGCAGTCTCCTGATGTTGCCCCAGCAGTTGCCTTCGGATTGAAATTGATCTGCTGCTGTAATTAATGGCGTTTTCGTAGTCACCCAAGGCGTGGTAACTGTTACCAATCCAACTAAGAGTGGTTGCCGTAAAAGGGTGGTCACCGAGTTTCTCTTCATAAACAGGAAGGACATGTAACAGCCATGTTTGTATGGCCATCATGTGATTCCGCTGCACCATTTGAGAAGCTGTTGGTCAAACGAAAAAAAAAAAAAGAATGATGCAAGGTCGATAGGTCGACTGTCTATTTTCAAAATTGCGCTTTTTCTTCAACTTACAAGACCCACATTAGTAATACCAATTGAGTACTAGAGTGGTGAAGAGCTTGAGCTCATGCTACCCACCAGCCTATGCCACCAACGTCGCTTCCTAATTGTTGCATCAATTTATCTGCATGGTACTTAAACAATTTCAATCATAATGAAGCTTATGCAAGGTGGATCTAACTGCCTAGCTTTTATGGCAAAGATCAGTGAAGATAACTTTCTTAGTTCGTATAGTGTGATCGTCCGGGTGAATGTAGTTCTGAAAAGAACTGTTGTTGGTGACTGACGTTTCGACAACCTGTGCGGAAGTCATCTTCAGAGTCAAGTAAAGAGTAGTTGGCAGTCGATGCCAAGCTGAGAGGCGTCTGTTCTAAGTTGGTAAACCAGCTTTCCAAAGTCAGTCGTTGAAAATAGTTTGTTTAGCAGAGTCCCAGTCGATTCTGTGACTTTATAACATCATCGACTGCCAACTACTCTTCACTTGACTCTGAAGATGACTTCCGCACAGGTTGTCGAAACGTCAGTCACCAACAACAGTTCTTTTCAGAACTACACTCACCCGGACGATCACACTATACGAACTACTGATACTCCTGGGTTCAAACCATTTACATAACTTTCCCTATAGATAATTCCCTATATTAATATATGTTACCATGAATGCATTAAGAAATTAAATTACCACCAACCTGCTATATCGTTGAAACAGGCAGCTAACATGACATGGTCTTTGTTCCTCTTTAGTTTCTCTACTCTGTCCCATCGCAATTTCAAGGCGATGTCGAGGTATTCATAGCCCTCATCAACGCGACCCTCGCGAACATAACAAAATCCAAACTTGCTCATGCACTGAGCACGAGTGGTTTCCTTCACGTTCGTAAGTATGGAATGAATGTCATTTGCTTGAGTCAAAATTTCTCTGGCCTGACACAAGGCTCTTGGACAAATGTGAGGGGTACATGTGCAGCTTAGTACTATCTTCATTCCGATGTTCGTCAAGCAAGCGCTGTAGAGGTGCAAGTGGGAGCGACATCGATACGCAAGCTTGCAAAAGAGCGACTGAAATTCTTGTTTGCGCATCACCTTTGAAAGAAATACAGCTGCCTTGTTGAAGGCTTCAATGCATTGCTCCCTGAAAGTTTGGTCAAGCTCAGGATGATCGTCTCCACACCAAGCCATGGCTTCCCGAATGTTTTCCTTTTCAGATCTGTACTGATCAATTGCCGACTTGCAATCTTTACTCAAGAATGTTTCGCAAAGTGTAACAGCAAAGTCACTGTAGTGACGAATGAAAGTTGATTTGGCGTCTATGTGATCGGACTTCAGTGAGAAGAAATCTCGTATGAAAGGATGGAGGGAATACTGACAACTTTCCCTGTCGAAGCGAAGGAGGCTGCTGTGCCCCAAGGAATTCAGGCAAGTTTGCAAATCTGCTGTGACAAATGACCGAAAGACTGTTTGGAATTGCTTTTGCGTGAATCTGTGGGGAAATGTAGAGAACATCACAAAAATCTTTTGATTTTCTTCACTTAAACGATCGAAACAGATTTCAAGACACTTGTCGATACGATCCTCATTCGGTAAAAAGTCAAGGTTTAATTCCCTTACAAGAAGACTTGGTGAAGATGTGGCAAGTCTACGCGCCACCCTCTGTGGATTTTCTCTCTTCAGACTCGAGATCACTGTGCATATTATCAAGGGAATACCACCACAAACTCTGACCAGCTCCTTAATCAGATCGTTGTTCAGACCATCCTCACACCTTGAGAACATAGAAGCTGAATCGTTGTCATTCAGAGATTCTAGGTCAATCAGTTCAAGAGGAAAAGACACATTGCAATCATAGGTTTCTCGAGATGTGAGGACAAGTTGAATATTTGGACTTTGTCCAAGGTCTTTAAGAAATGTCAAAAAGTTGTCCTTTGTGAATTTTCCCAACATTTCAGTACAGCAACTTTCGGATTTTAATTCCTGATGGTATTTATCCTTGCTAACTTTATCCTCAAGATGCAGCAAGTTGTCAATGTTTTCAATGATCAACACAACACTTTTTCTCCTTAAAGAAGATATGCAACTCAGTACTTCAGTTATTGTGTTCTCACCGGGAACGTACCCAAGAGTCTCGATTATTGTGCTTGCTAAATCTTCTACACAAGTGACACCTCGACCTTTAACGTACGCGACAAACGTTTTCCTTTCGATCATCCTATGAGCGACCTCTATTACCACCGACGTTTTTCCATATCCAGGCGGTGCTACAATTTCAACAGCCTTGTTTGAAGACAGGGCAGTTATGATACGTTCGCATGTTTCATTGCGGCCCACCAAATCAATCCGATCTGGCAAGTTACCATAATGACCAGATTGTTCCTTCACTTCTGCAAGTTAAAAGACAGAAAGACCATCTACCCCTTTCCACTATTAATCGGAATAAAGCACAGCAGTCGTGCCTATCCCCCCCTCCCCCTTTCCCCTATTCACAGATTACTATGACTTATTACAAAAATATCAGCTATTCATGAGCACTGAAGGGGGAAGATTTGAATGCGGTCGCGCCTTGATAGGTCCAGAACAAGAGAAGAAAGGGCCGAAAATAGCCCAGCAGCGTCGATAAAACTTGCTTGACAGATTTCAGAAGCAACAAGTTAGAAAACCAAGATCGAGCTTTTGGAGAGGAAGAAAGAAAAACTAAAGGATGGCCTATTTGATAAAAACAACTTATTTGCAAAATATACGATTCTCTGATCTCGGTGTATCAGCTGATTCATGCAACATTAGTCCGCGCGGACACCATCCTATCTTAGCCGTCTGTATTCCAGGAATGATTTGTATTCTAGGAATGTAGTTAACTAAGAACGACGGCTGGTGATTTTAAAAAAATCTCAAGGGAGCGCCATCCAGAATTCGAAAGTGTGTTCTGTTAAGCTAAACTAAGTAATTTCCATCAACCGAACTTTGTAAACTCGAGGATTTTTCACGCAAACAATGAGAACCCCCCACGGGAGCTAATGAGCATACAATCATTTTACCGACATTTCACTCGCCCTCACTTCAGTAAAAAAGGAAAGCAACTCTGGTGACAATTTAGAGTGTGAGTTAAATAGTTGCGTAGAAGTTGATAGCAACAACGAAAAAATTTGGATCTCGCTTTCACGTATATGCTCCAACAACAGAAAATGCCACAGATGAACCTTTTGTAGACGGAAGGTTTAGAGGGGCTAAACGCTCGAAGCATTTCTGAGAAATCGAGCTGCTAAACTCTTTGGATAATCAGATCCTGAGCTGTGAAAAATCCCCGTTTGTAACCATGTTTGTTGATTTTACAATTTTCAACATAATTTTGGCATGCAATTGCCTTTGGTTAAATTCAGGCGCAAACGGCCAATGATAAACTTTAGCATTTTGAATAGCCAGCTTTTAAAATTCGCTGAAGATCATGGTGGTATACTGATCAAGTTTGAAAACACCCCTTGAGGTGGCGAGAAGGCAAATCGTAGCCACTGTTATTGATCTACCATCGCGTACAAGCTACAGCCAATACGTAAGACTTCACGCCATCAACATATAGTTTTGCGAAGATTACTATTTGATGAGGTTTCTTCCCCACTTTAAAGCATTCTGAGCGTTAGCTCCTTGAATAATTAAGCTAAGTAAGGACAAGAAAATATTGAAAAGCCCATTGGAAACGAACGTTCTTAGTTACATAATTATAGCACAATTTCGACCAAGGCTAATGCTATGAACATCAAGGGTGAATTAATGCTTTTCTACTTACGTATGTTAGGAAAAGAATCCTGTGCTTCTCTCTCAAAGCTAATTGAAAACATCTGATTTGGATCTGGCATGGTTGAGCTGTCCTTGAATGAACAACCAAGTCCTTGCAAGGCTAAATCTGAAGAAAGAGAAAAGGTATCCAACATTCACACTTTGAGAATCTTTAAAACGTAACATGTGCCTGTACTCGATCACTTTTCTTCTAGCCATCTCTTGTACAAGGGGAACGAGGTAATGCACATCAGAGATCATTGCTCGTTGCATAACGAAAAATAGCAGGCTTGGAGCAAGAAACTGAAAGTACCGTAGCGACAGAAATTATTTCAGGAAAGGTAAACAATGAAGCTGTCAAGAAGCCCAATGTACTTATATCCGCGAATACTTACCAACTGTGTCTGGAAAATGCTCAGATATTATCTGTATAGCGTCGTTTCGCTGAATCCCGTCTAGTGCCTTTGCAATGTCACTTAATGCTGTTTCAGGGAACTTCGCGGCCACCCATTCTAGGACCTCTTTTGTAGGACTATTCCTGATTTGTTTGACATCAGCAAGCGCTCGACACACGTCAGCTGGTAAGTCCATTTTCCAGGCCAGATGTGTCCAGTTTTTTACTACAGGATTATCCTCTCGATTAAGTTCTAACGCCAACCTTTCTAAGAGTTCCGATCCAGGGGTTATGATATCTTTAAGAAACATGTCGTCTACAGAAAAGTAAAGGCAGCTACAGATCATTATTAGTTAACTTCCCAGGAATGGGGCCTTCACGCAGAGAGAGAACTTTTGCCCAATCCAGTCTTGAAATACTCATGCAGCCAATTGCATATTAGGTTCTACATAGGGAATGCCTTAAAAACAGCAGAATCTAGCTTTTTTATTGACAATTTAAAAACAAGTCGCAGGCTGCAGAGGTACTAGGCTTGGTTACACTTTAGTTATTTGTGATGCAGTACTGGCACTTTACCTCTTAGTTTCTCCTGATGAAGAAATTTTATCAGATCCTTTCTGTTAATAGAATCCAGAGCTTCCCTTAGACTTAAAAGTGTCTTTTTTGGGCAACTGGTAACCAAATACTGGAACATTCTGGCGGTCGGATTTTCTGTCGATCGTCTCTCAAAATTCCAGCAGGTTTTTCTTGGCACACCTAGATTTAACGCCAAGGTATACCAGTTTGACACAACCAGTGACGTCCCGTCTAAGGCCAACGCAATTTTGTCCAATAGACCAACTTTGGGTGAAGGAACTTCGTTACTTGGCGAAGTGATCACATCAATAACTTTTTCATTGTCAGCGCAACCAGCTGATAGTCAAGCAAATTGAGAGAAACAAACTAAGTCTGAATTCCTGAGAACTTTGTCGATTAACTGTCACATACAGTGGAAAAATTTAAATTAAAAAAAAAAGATATGTTGCGATCATGATGAGCAGAACCTCCATGCAGTGTTTCACGAGACTCGCAATTCTCCCTCATACAAATTTGAACAGTTAAAAGCTAACATAAAAATCCTTCAAATAGTTTTTAAAAGCTCTCTGAAATCTATTTTTATTCAGACAGTTGACCAATGGTCATTTTTCAGTGAGCCAAGACCGTCCCTAAGAAGCAAAAACAACACCAACAAGGTCTACTAACTAACAGCATCAAAATCTGTGTCTCAGGAAAAACGGCAACCTCCAAACGTCCCTTAAATAATGACACAAACAGAATAGCAATTGATTAGTTATTTTGTGATATACCTTTTGTGACCAGTAAACTGATTAGGTCGTTTCTTCCGATCTTTAGTAGGATGTCCTTTAGCTCTTTAATCGTCAAATCTGGTTTCGAGGTCGCAAGATAATCAAATAATCGGATGGTAGGACTGATGTCACCGTACTGTCCAAGTCGTCTAATGACATCCAAGTCGACGTGCAGTATCGATGCCAAATGTCTCCAATTGCGTATAAATTTCATATCACTGTCCAAGCACAAACACAGCTTTCTTATGAACTCTGGATTACGTCGTAGAATGGCAGATAATTCAGACCCTAAACATGACAGAAAAGTCGGACAAAATGAGGGACTCTTTAAAGGCTTGAATTCCAGGAAAATTAGACTGAATGCTTTCTCGGAAACAGTTCTGGGAAATCAATAATCATTAATGGTTTTTCTGTGTTTTGAATTTAATATACACGATAGCAAAACGTAAACAGGAAATACGGTAGCTTGTGTATCAAAATTATCCACAAGGCAAACAATTTCGATTAGCATCTATTCAGCCATGACCATGCAAAATGTTCAAAGCTCAATGAGGCATGGACGCGATGTTTTATTTTTAATGCAACAGTTTGATGATAACACCATTAACATATTCACCTAAACATACATTGCTTAGAAACAACTCAGTCTTAATCTTTTACATTATTAGTGACCCAGGCGTTTATCTAGCGGCCAGAGTTTGTCATAACTTACATGACCCGGCGTTTCAAATGTCACAATAGCTAATGTAAACCGTCACACAAATCGAAAGCACTTCGATTGGAAAGATTCTTGTCTGTGTTAGCTCATACATCCCTTAAACTATTAAACGCAAACAATATCCTTCTGATCGCGAGCTCAACTAATTTGTAGAAAGCCGTTTGCGATATTGTGTAGTCAGTTCTTTTAAAAAGACTTCCGCATTAGTTCCGCAATTACACAAATTCTAAACTTTCAAAAGTCGGAAAGTTGGTGGCCCTTTCGCAATCATTACTAACGGTTGCGGTCTTACCTGCTTTCAGTGAAAGCAGTGATTCCGAACTTATTTCGAAATTGCAAATATTTTCTTCGTAACTTTGAATAATCGTGACTACGACCTCGGTGTCGAAGACTTACTAATGCATTCAGCCATGATTTGGAGCGAAAGAAGTTAGAATTACTTACCAGTCGATGGAACTCTTTTCCGCAAATGAGCCATTGTAAACTATAACCGCCGATTTTTTTCGGGTAACGTCGTTCTATTGTCAGTTCAACATCACGAACATAACTTTGAAGATTGCATGTAGTTGATCAATGTCGGACCAGTAATGCGTTTACATAAATCTCTCTTTGGCGAAAGGACTACGGCTAAGAACTGGTAATTGAAATGCACTTCAGATGTATGCTGTGCAGCTGGAAACCAGTCAACCGGCTGAGCGGAGGAAAGTGTACTTCTCAGCGGATCAATGCGATGAAGATAAATCGAACGCTGAACCGGACTGTAAAAATTGCATGGCTAATGATGCATAATTGTGTCGCTGTTTTGCAACGAATTATCCCGTGGGGTAGATCCTTCGCTCGTCGTTACATAGGTACGATTTGGACGGTTCTGCATTCTGCATGACTTGAAATTCCAGAACGAAGCTTGCACCAATTCCATCTTAATTTAACTCACTATACTTTGAGACACAAATAGCGCAATCAAAACTGAATAAGGAGGAACAAATCAACTCTTCCCCTCCCCCAGGAGTCTCAACCCAGGCCCTTATTGTGATTATAGCCTGTCGCCATGGTTTTGAATGTTTAGAAACCACGCGCTGACTCGTGCTTAGTGCGGCTCGTGTGTCACTTAAAAAAAGGCGGTTTAAGACTACTTGTGGCTACTAGCACAACGCAATTTTTTATAGCATTGAAAATAACAAGAGTTTAAAGAATAATGTTAAAAAATACTGGCGTTGCAAATAAAACATTTGTATCAAAACAGAATTGAAAACCTACCGCATCCCACATACTCATGAGAACCCTGTTCTATAATAGTGGAGGCGCGGTGGCTTCATGATTAGTGCGCTCGACTCCGGATCGAGTGGTCCGGGTTCGAGTCCTGGCCGTGATCATTGTGTTGTGTTCTTAGGCAAGACACTTTACTCTCACAGTGCTTCTCTTCACCCAGGTGTACAAATGGGTACCAGGAAATAAGCTGGGGGTAACCCTGCGATGGACTAGCATCCCATCCAGGGGGAAGTAGCAATACTCCCAGCCACTTCATGGCAAGGAAACCGGAGTAAAGTGCCGGCCCCATAGGCCACTTGGGCCTGTATAAAGGCTTTACTTTTTTATTGTTCCACAAGAGAAAGATAATTCGAGAATATAGTGACTATTTGACCTTAAACTTATAAATAAAATGGTAACAACTAATCATATTAACAATAGTAATAATAATAGTGATAAACATGGAAAAATTAATGATTATTTATAGGGGCTGGCTCAAGAACCTCAAGGTTCCTCTATAGGCTTCTACTTTCGGTCTACAGTGATTAAACTATGTCTCTTCTAATTTTTCCTGTTAATAAAAATGGTCTTCTTATTTCATTGCAATTCCATTTTTGTGAGACTTTTGTTTCACACAACAAGGCATTTCGTGTTGTAGGATATGCCACCATTTCATCATTCCGTCGAATGGGGTCAAGGTGTCGTATTTCGGACCTTGCTTTCTTCGCAAGTCGCTGATTAAAATGGTAAAATGCTCTCTTCGAATAAATAAAAATTTTCTACAATGCGCAGATCAAACCTGTTTGGGTATTTCTTCAAGGTGGCATGTCTTAAGATTTGATGGAGTCACGGACACAGACAGGTTCAGGGAGGGAGATCCGAGACAAGACGGAGGAATGCAAAAAAAGTGGTATCGAAAAAAAAGGGGAAAGGGGGGAACATACAGTGGAATGAGTCTGGTTGGAAGATGAATTGCTAGAGGAAAGAAAAAAACGACTGACTCCTCTTGATTACCCATTCACTATCCATTCTTTTCACAAGGCTTCTAAAGAGGTTACTTGTTAGTCTTTTCATAGCTATCGTACCTCAGAAAGAGAATAATATATTGACCTCAGATATTTTCAAATCAGAGATACCTTATAATAAGTCGCTTAAGCTTGGGTAGTTGCATTTCTCGTTGGGTGAAAGTAAAAAAATCTAATTTTTTAATTATACTTCCTCGTTATATCAATCAGAAAAAAATACTACAAGAAAAATCCACTTCATGAGTGTAATACTAAGTTTCAAATGTAGAGCTAGTTTTTCTTGAGCGCACTGTGCATGGTTGCGTGACGCGTGATTAATTCGTAAAAACCTTTCTCTGTGACCTCCTGGTTGTAGACGAGAGGAAACAATTAAGTTAGGTAGAGTCTTTTCGTCTTAAACGAAAAAAAATTCCACCTTTTTTTCCGTCAAATATTTTATTTCTGGTGATCATAACGACTTGAGGTTTGTACCGTAATTAAGATGTAGTTTGTCATCCTGGTAAACAGGACTGCGTAGTCTACAGGATTCCCTGTGAGTGGCGGAAGGGCTAAATCGGCGAAGCTGGTAATAGTTGCATATTTACGGTCATGGGAGCAAAGGCAAGGTAGGTACATCTGACAGAGTATACATGTTGTTACATCGATTTCCATCAAGCTCTTTTTGAAAACCCAGACTGGCTCGATTTGCGTCAACAATATCCACAATTGTCATTTTCCCTTTACACTCGGTAACGACGTGAAACAACGCCAAAACGTCAACAAAAGTTAACGAACATATTTTCAGTTTCGAGTTTTGTATATTTTTATAATGTTCTAGCTTTGAACTTTGCCATCAGCTTAAAATGATGATGATGATGATGTTAATATTGGTAACGGCTACTTGAGGCAAGGGATCCTTTATTTATGTGTAAACTTTTAATGCAAAAAACAACTTGTTGGACAATTTACCTGTACCTTTAATTCAAACTTAGCCTCTGCCGAGCGCTTCTTTGTCGCCACATTTTTATCATTTATTTGACAATTTCCTCAGGCAAAATACGATAAAAATGTTTCTTCAACACTTTTTACTATTTCTACCTGATCGCTCAATTTAACTAACGATGATTTTTTTGTTAAGAGTTATCAACAATGTGGGTTTTTGGTTTGTCATGTTGAGAACCAGTATGAATTTGGGAAATGTCAACTTGCCAACACAATTGAAGGTTAACCTCTGCTCGATAACAGGATGTAGAATAGGATGTAACATTAAATGTCTTCCTTTTTCGAAAAAAACTTGAAAGTCGGCTGTGGGATCAGGCATTCTGAAACTGTCCTGTGGTGAAATACCAGGTCGCTCCAAAGTTGATTCTGGAAAAAACGATAAACAGAAACTGCGATTAGGGTGCACAATAATGGTGAGTACGATTAAATGGATACTTATCACACTCGGAAGCTCTTCACGAAGATAACAGGATGTAGCATGTGATGTAAAATTAAATATCTTCCTTTTTCGAAAAAAAAACCTTAAAAATTGGCTGATTACAGCCACTCACCGACAAGAATCTAACAGGGGTTCTTCCAAAGTTTCGAATAACTGATACACACGTATGGAGGTCTAAGAAAGGACGGACTTAGCGAGTCACTGCGCTGATTAAGTGTTCACGAGAGCCCATCGATCAATCAAAAGATTGTTTTGCTTCCTTACAGTGTGAAAGATCCCTTTTTCAAAATCTTATTTCTGTTCATGAGAAATCCATCCAATCTTTTTCTTCTTCTTTTTCTTCCTTTTCCAATTTTTTTGCGCACTCCGCAGCACGTGTCATTTCTTCCTCTGCCTCGCTGTTTCTTCCGAGACCACGCAGAGCAATTGACATGTCTTGGTGAGTGTGAATCAGTTGATGATGTGTGTCTGATACTTCTTCTTGTAAATCAATTGCCTCTTTAAGATATCTATGGGCGCTATAAGATTGAGAAGCATCAAATGTTAATCTGCTTTACTTTAATTTCTCATGGATGAATCATTGATAAAGACTATGAGAACAGTTTGTTAAGTATTCCGCATGGCTGTAATCCACCTAAAACGCAGATCCCAATAAAAGAGAATGACATCTTTCGTCTGAAAAATGGATATTTAAGATAACGATATGCTTTAGTTGGCATCTCAGTCATTCAACTGAACACATTGTACTAAGCCACTTTCCTAAGATGACATCAGGCCTGAGAATAATTAATATAGGAATGACTAATGGGATATTTGGGCATAAGTAGCAATGCTTCTACTCATATTACCTTAGGTAATCTTCTTTCTCGCTGCAAGCCACTCCCAAATCATGAAGAGACCTCGCAGTTTCCTGATGGTGCCCCAGCAGTTGCTTTCTCATTTCAACTGATTTACCGATATATTTAACAGCATTTTCGTAGTCACCCAAGGCGTGGTAACTGTTGCCAATCCAGTCGAGTGTTGTTGCCGTGAAAGGATGCTCCCCGAGGTTCTGTTCATAGAGAGGAAGCACATAGCAGAGTCTTGTTTGAATAGCACACATGTGTTTCCTTTGCACCATCAGAGAAGCTGAAACGAAACACACGTAAATGAGAAGAAAAATTCAACAAGGGCTCAACCTTGTCGGATTGACCTCGTTTTTAATGAATATATGTGTGGTTTTTTTTTACCAAGATCTCAGAGATCGACCTACTCGTAAATTTCTTTTTTGAAGCACCGTAAAGCTCATGCAAGGTCCTTTTTGAGATCCTAACTAAACTTGCTTATAATAAATAGGTGAGACAGCCAACATAACTAATTGTAGTGCATCCTCACTGGAGAGTGTCCTTCCATGAAAATAAAATATAGGTGAGTAAGAAATATACCATTTTTTCCCAACCTGCTATATCATTATAACACGCTCCTAACATGACTATGTCCTGGGTCTCATCTGATTTTTTTTCTCTCTTTGTTCTTAATTCTATGGCCTCGTTGAGATAGTCATATCCTTCGTTAATGCGTCCCTCTCGAACACAACAGAATCCAAGCTTACTCAAGCAGTGGGCGCGCGTAGCTTCATTCACGTCAGTAAGCTCTGAGTGGATTTGCTTAGCACGTGCCAAAAATCTCTTCGCTTGATATAACGCTCTAGGGAAAATGTACGGTTTGCATGTGCAGCTTAAAACTATTTTAACTCCAATGTTTGTCAAGCAGGCACTCAATAGATGCCTGTCATGTTGACATCGATACGCAAACTTGCAAAAGAGGGAAACAAACTCTTGTTTTCGCATCATCTTTGCGAGAAATACGGCGGCTTCGTTGAAAGCAGTAACGCAGTGCTCCCTCACGGTTTGTTCAAGCTCAGGATGATCATTTCCACACCAAGCCATAGCCTCTCGAACGTTGTCCTTTTCACATCTGTAGCGATTAATTGCAGACTTCGTATCAGCACTCAAAAATCTTTTGCAAAGAGAAACAATCAAATCACTGTAGTGACGTAAGAAGACTGATTTGGCATCTTTGTGTTCAGGCATTGATGAAAAAAAGTTTCTTATAAAAGGATGTAGAGAGTAAAGACAGTTATTTCTGTCAAAGTTTAGGAGGCTGCTTTGTTTCAAGCAATTAAGAGACATCTGCAGATCACCTTCAACAGAAGACTTGAAGCACGCGTGAAATTGTTCTTCCGTAAATCCGTTCGGAAATGTTGAGAACATTACAAATATCTTCTGGTTCTCGTCACTGAAGCGATTAAAACAGATCTGTAGACACTTGTAGATGCGTTCCTCACTCGCTAGAAAGTCAGGGCTCAGTAGTTTACGAAGAGTTTGAGGTGAACATGTGGTAAGTCTTTCGGTGAACCTCTCTGGATTTTCTCTTCTAAGAATTGAGCGAACAGTACAGATAATGAGAGGAATGCCGCCACAAACTCTGACCAGCTCATTTATCAAGCCTTCGTCCAGTTTGTCGTCACACTTTTTGAACAAAGTAGCTGAATCATTGTCTTTCAGAGGCTCTAAATCAATCAGCTCAATAGGGAAAGACACACTGAAATCATAGAATTCTCTAGATGTTAGAACAAGATGAATTGTTGGGCATTCCCCTATGTCTTTTAGAAATGACAAGAATTCATCCTTTGTAAATTTTCCGCGCATTTTGGTGCAATAATTTTTGGAGTTCAGCTCTTGCAGGTATTTATCCTTGCGAACTTGAGTCTCGAGGTGAAGTAAGTTGTCAATGTTTTCGATAAGAAGCACCGTTGACTTTGCTTTTAAGGCACGTATGCGACGAGTTGCCTCAGTGATAGTATCTTCGCTGGGAACAAAACCTAAAGCTTCGATGATATCGCTTGCCAAGTCTTCTACACAAGTGACACCTCTTGGATTAACATAAGCGATTAACTTTTTCTCGTTGATCAACCGATGGGCGACTTCTATTACCATAGAGGTTTTCCCATATCCAGGTGGCGCCACAATTTCAACCACCTTGTTTAAAGACAAGGCAGTTATGATCCTTTCGCAGGTTTCGTTACGGCCCACTAAATCTATTTGATCAGGCAATGTTCCGAAGTGACCTGAATGTTCCCTTACGTCTGCAGCTACTGAAATGTAGAACAGTTTTTTGAGACTGGAATACTTAGGTAAAATAATCTTTTTCTACCTAACCATATCTATAGGGCACCAGATGTACAGCAAATCAGTCCTCTAATTCACAGCATTTCTCGCAAAAATCAGCTGTAGCCTAGTGCACGGTAGAGCTCAGGTAACCTTTTTTTTGGACAACTAGTGGAAAATCTCTCTGTAAGCAATGGCTAACACTGTGATGTTCATCCTAAATATTATGCTTTCTTTATCAATCTTATCAAGAAATTTCATTGTTACTACATTGGATCATGCACTCTACACAGTAAAATCAGTGTTTTCCACTTACCTTCCTTTGGAAGAGAAACCTTCTCCTTCAATTTGTAGCTGGTGGATAAATTCTGACCTGTGGGATCAGGCATTATGAAACTGTCTTGTGGTGAACAACCAAATCGCTCCAAAGTTGATTCTGGAAAAAACGATAAACAGAAACTGCGATTAGGGTGCACAATAATGGCAAGTACGATTAAATGGATACTTATCACACTCTTCACGAAGCAAGAGATCGTATGTAGACTGGCATAAGTAGCAATTGCAAATAGTTTTTGGACCCACTGAATTAATAGTTTGTTTGTGTAATTAACAGTGGAGTGGGAATGGCGCAGTGGTGATAGTGCTTGGCTCCCACCGCTGTGGCCTGGATCTGGCCCGGATTCCCGGAATTCCGGATCTGGCTTCATATCTCCGGGTTAAAAGTTTTGTTGGTTGTCCTCCTTGCTCCGAGGGTTTTTCTCTGGGTCCCTCTACAAAAACTAACATTCCAAATTCCATTTCGACTAGGAAATAGAGGACAGGAAGAGCCATCGAGAGGAATGTCCACTGCTAAATTACTGTTACTATGATTATCATTATATGTAAAACGAACCATTCTCAAAGTGATTACTCACCAACTGTGTCTGGAAATTGCTTCGATATAATCTGAATAGCATCGTTACGCTGGATCCTGTCCAACGCATTTGCGACGTCACTTAATGTTTTCTCCGGTAAGTTAACGGCCACCCATTGAATAACTTCCTTGGTGGGACTTTTCCGCTTTTGTTCGGTCGCACCAAATTCCTGACGCACATCATCGGGCACGTTCAGTTTGCTGGCGAGATGGATCCAGTTTTTGACGCCTGGTACTTCTTCGCGGTTAAGGTTTTCTGCTATTGTTTCTACAAGTTCCGGTTTTTGTGCCATTACGTCCTTCAGAAATACTTCATCTACAAAGGAAAAAACATCGGTAAATCGAAAACTTTACACTGTTATTTCACTTATCTTTCAGTTCATCGATTCACAAATGCCAAGAACTTTTAAGATCTTGGCATTTATGTTTCAAATCAAAATCTTGATTAAAATCAAGAGGCAAGTTATGTCTGATAATGTCTCTAGTTGTTGACAGGGAAACCATGGAAATACTGCTTGATCCCTCATCGGAAAACTGACATCTGCATTTATGTAGCAATTCATATTTCAGAGAGAAATCCAAAGAAAAGTCCATGTTTTTTAACAGAGTTAGGCCCAAGGCTACACTAGACAGTCTTCACCGTTACCAAGGTTTTGCTAGTTTTTTCCTGGAGCCCAAAAGATCATAACTTACTCTGTCTGGGGTAAATTAATGTTTACGGTAAGTACCTCCTTGATTCTGTTCTTGTAGAATTTTTAGTACATCCTTCCTTTTGATGGAATCCAGGGCATCCTTCAGAGTTTTTAGTTTCATTTCTGGACAAGTAGTAATTAAATAATGCAATAGATTGTGGGTTGGATCATCTGTTGAACGTCGTTCAAACTCCCAACAAGTTTTTCTTGGCACGTCCAGTTTTATTGCCAAGTTGGACCAGCTTGACAATACCAGAGAGGTGACGTCTAGGGCCAATGCAATTTCATCTAAAAGCCCAGCTGTTGGCGAAGGAGCTTGAATATTTCGCGACGTGATTATGTCTTTTACTTTTTCAGAGTCAATGCACCCGGCTAAGAGAGAGGAATATACGTCACATGTTTTGGCACTATTTCGTTTTTTAGCATTACGCCTATTTCACATTATTTGTCATCACTTTGATCGTGACGGCAGAACTGTAATGCCGGTGATCAAACCCAGTCCCACCCGAGGAAAATTCGAAAACCTTTTCGTACTAAATGGTTGAAACTTGGGAGAAAACCTCAATCTCACAGTTTAATAATCCCTCAGAGGTATGTTACTCGAAGAAGTTACAGGCGTTTCGATATTTTTGGAAGCAACCAAGCTGCAAACTAGAAAAGAAAATTTTGGAGATACTTTCGCGTGAGGGAGACAAAAGTATTATTCTCTTAGTGATTGTTTCAGAAGAACAAGTGAGTCGCTTAAAAGCTTTTGAGGCTAAATAGTTTAGCGCTATCACCTAATAATGAAAGGAGGTTATTTAAATGCTGCAATTTGTTAATGTGATAAAAAATTTTAAATCGGAATAGATCCTTCTACTATTGCACGCGTTAAAGATGCTCTACTCAACATACCTTTCGTGGACAGCAAACTAAACAAGTCGTTCCTCCTGATCTCCAGTAGCGCGTCTTTTAGTTGTTTAATCGTTAAATCCGGTTGTGTGACCTCGAGGAATTCAAACAATCGGATGGTAGGACTGTAGTCACTGTACTGCCCAAGTCTTTTAATGACATTCACGTCGACATCAAGATTCGTTGCCAACTGTATCCAATTGGGTATAAATCTCATTTCTCTGTCCAAGCATAAGGCCAATTGCTCGATGAGCTTTGGTCTCTTTTCAAGGATGACAGACAATTTACTCTCTATGCATGGAAAACAGATAATGAAAAATTTTAAATTGCACTATCTAACTTAAAGAGTTAAAGTTAAACTATGAGCTCGCGATTTCTATCGCGTGATAGTTGATGAGGGCGAATCTTAAAACAACTTTTCAGTTTTAATCTGCGGGTCATTCAAACCTTATCAATTAGACAAGCCTACGTTTTTAGTTCGTTTACAATCGCTTGCTGTTAAGCCTCTCATCATACTACCTATCACGCAATAGATAGTGACTAGCGTAGCCTATGAGATTGCAGCACTGATAGAACACAAGAAGATTTATTCTAGGCGGTCTTTCAACATGTTTTGCAGAAAAAAAATGACTAGAGCAGTGCCTCAGTTTTATAGGAGATGAGATATTCTCCGTTCAAGTACCTTCTCTCCTTTGTTTACCTGAGGACTCACTCAAGCATGAACTGACACAAGCTGACATGACGCTGAGTCACCATCGACGTTTGAAGTCCTTAGGCCGAACGAACCCACTAAATACTATTTTTGGTTGAGCTCCAAAAACATCAAACTTTGAAGAACAAACCAAAAAGGTACGAGCAAGATTTCGAAACAATTTAAAAGTATTAAGCTCTTATGATGCATGTTATAGGCTAAATTTTTTAAAATTGCACGAAGCGTGACGGGCAACTCAATTTGCACATATGCACGACAGTAATTTACTAGGTAAATCTCAACTTGGCACTGACCTTGTACATATCATCGCTGATTCAGACATTACAACAACACCAATATTCAGTTAAAGATAGTGTGTAGTATTCCACGTTTGGAGCTTCTGAAGCTGGTCTTAATTTATTACTAAACTATGTAATATATGCTTAGAAGAATGTAATTGACTTTTCATCGGTTTGTTGCGTCTTGAGATTCCTTCGCTGAAGCAGTTTGATCTCGCAGTTCCAGGCCATATTTTTATTGTACCTAAGACGTTACAGCCTCAGTTCCTTGTGTTGACTCTTCTCAGTTACGTTTTCCACGTTTAATAGAAAGATACTGAGTCTGCTTCCGCCTATATATTATGCGGAAATTATTTACTTATTCACAAAACTAAAACCCGTAGCCTTTTCTGAGCCATTTTTCCTCACATTAACAACGTTACCAGGTTTTGATGAAACTTTTTCTAATAAAACTACCACCTCAAAATTAACCAAAAACTTGAAGCCCCTGCACATTGACTCGATAATAATATTACAAGGCGTCAAGCAGAGTTCCGTTGCGAAGTTGTCGATTCAGCTATATTCCTCCTCAAGTATTCCTAGCTAGATCATAACAGTCAAAAGTTAAGGCAACTCGTTGAATCACTCACCAGTTGAAAGATCATCAACGGAAGACATCTTGAAGTTCTGACCACTGAATTTTCTCAGTTATCTTCGCTCCAGCGTTTATGAAGACGAATTACTACACAGTCGATCAGTTCGTCATGCAATTCCACTAGCTGTTGATGAATCAGGGCTGGGACTGTCCTTTTGGCATCTCTCTTGGCTTGCTAACGGACAATCAACTTCGCAAATGCCTAACACTGTTTGGTTCAAATTAAAATGAACGTCGACAGGGTAACAGCATCAACTAAGGGAAGCCTGATCAAAGGTCGTCTATTAATGTTCTAGAATACCGAAGGGTAATCCAGCGAGGCGAAACGTGTCTGAGTCACCAAATCGAGCACAGCCTGAGATAAGATCAGGTCTCTACGTGGTTTTAACCGTGCAACTCTTGGTCACGGTAGCTGCGATGAAAATTTTTAAATGAACACGAACAGATGAAATTTCCACCAGACAAACTAAACGCGACCGAATTAAGTAAACTGCCTCCCCTTCCCCTCCCTTACCCAGCCTCACTCTGCCCAGGTCCCCTCTTCAAAAGTTAACAATTCTTTCTCTTTTTTTTTTTTCCTTTTTTTTCTAGTAAAGCTGGAAAGGCGTGAGCAAAGAGGGAGTTACGCAAACAGAAGTCGTGAGGTTCTAAATTTCTTGGATACCCCGACTCACGCGTTTTTTCATTTGAATGAAAGCAATCGGAAAACGCTGTAGTGATCGCTGAGTGATGCAAGGAGGCGATCAACACCGACTAGTGTATTGATAACTGCTCCCATTCAGTAATAATATTAAATGGACGCGCGTTTTGATGTTCCGTTCGGAACCCAATGCCGTCAGTTACAACAACTTGCAATAGACAGCGAGATAACGGGGCTGAAAACTGAAGGCAAGCGGTCTATTTCCGTTATTGTGCTTTTTCACGGAAATCATTTTGTTTTCCAATTTTGTGGTCAGCTTGGCTGGACTATCAGGCTGGAACATAGAAATTGGCCTGTTATTAGTGGTCAAGCCGAATTTCTTATCTGGTTGCTCCGAAGCCTTAATTGTGTCCAGCATTTCCATTCATGTTTGGCAAGAACGTGTAACCCAACGCTGTAAAGATGTCGGGCATAACCGCACGAAAAGTTTACAACACAAAGCAACGCTCCTCCTCTCCGCTCGTTAAGGAGGAGCGTTGCGTGACGAGTCTGAGAACGGCTGCGAAGGAGACTAAAGCCTGGGGAGAGAAAGAAATTTTCACCAAGGGTATGAGAGAAATTGATAAAGAAGCATATGAGAGGGGTGGGTTACAATCTCCTTTTTTTTTCCTGTCCCTCACAGCACTTTAAATCAAACATGGCCAGTCAAATATCGCGAGCTTGTAACGTTGACCCGCCCAAATAAGATGCCTACAATTCAGATTAGACATAGGCTATTTACTGACTTAAAGGTGGGTTGATCTGCCTTCAATTGTTAGAGGGATTCCGTGACATCAGTGCAATGTGATTTTATTGATATCAAAATGGTGCAGTGCACATGGTAGTCATCGTGATGGACATGTGTTCTCTACCATTTCATTTAAGTTCGGAAACCTCTCATTTAAAATGAGGATTGCAAGTATTCTACTCCCCAGTTTTCTCACTCAAAGTACTCTGTAAGGGCGAATGAATTGAAACGGATCAATATCTGCGCTTTAATAAGAGAATGCACAAGGTAACAAATCTGCATGTGCGGATCATGCGAAACAAAGGTTGTGATTTCTATGCAGAGCAATTATTAGAAAGTTAAAGTCTTAGTTTTGGATAATACACGACTCTGCAACAAGGATCGCGGTTTGATGGAGTTTCAAGCTAGTTTAACAACTGCGTTTCCCAACGACACAAATTTCACGGATGGAACTCTTCCTAAGACCTTGTCCGCTGTTACGGCTTCCCTCTCGCTCTTGGGATCCTTCATAATCTTTCTCACGTTCTGGATGTCGCCCGACTTGCGAACTACAGCTCGCAAAATGATCGTGTTTATAACAGTCGCCGATTTCCTATTTGCTGGCACAACCATCGTAGATTATTTGGAAGACAGATTAGGATCAACAGGTTATTTTGTTCGAACACTTGAGGTGACAATACCACGAATTATGGCGCTGGTTTCATCGCTCATTTGGACAGTTCATTTGTCCTTCTTTTTTTACTTAACAATTTGTAGAAGAATTTCCATGGAATCAGAAAGATTGTTTTTAATGTTTTTTCACATAACGGCTTGGGGAGTACCTTTTGTGATCATTGTGGTTGCTTATTTCTTCAACGGAGTTCAATTATTGGCAGACCTTGAAACTGGATACAAGTGCTGGATCCGGAATGAAAAAACTTGGAAGGCAATGTGCATCTGGACAACTATTACAGGAGAGGGTTGGGCCATCACGACATACATCACCATGACCGTGTTCTACCTACTGGTCAAGCAGCACATAAGAAGAGAGGTATTCAAAAAAACTTCAATAAGGTCAAAAAAATTTGATTGAAATAGTGCTCAGAGGAATAGGTTAATTTTGCACTTAAGCTGGGTGGCCCATCCAAGTGGAGCCAATCCTGGTTTCTGTTGCATGAAGCCAGAAGGGTGCCAATCCATCTCAGGGTTATCCTAATAAGCTTTTGCCAATAATTATTTCTTTATATCCTCAAGAGGAGAGAAGCATGGGGAGAGTTCAATATGCATAGTATCTAATTTCTTCTTATATTATAACCCTTATATCAAAATCAAATCAAATTAAAAAAACAAATTCTCTCAGCCATTACCTCAAAAAAAATGTTTAGAGAACAGTATGGAGTATATGCATACTGATGTTAGAGTGTAAAGCAGTAAGATAAGTTTAATGCCAAAATAATATAATATAATAACCCAGTCAGCACTCCAATTGGGACTTCTTTGTCAAGTCTTCAGAGCATTACTCAGTAGCTGGGCTAAATTTCATTCCACTGAGGATAGGAATGAGATGAGATTCCTATCACTTTATTGGTATACACTTCAGTCAATGTAGTGGGGATATTTACACTTTTAACCCTTTAACTCTCAAGATCTGATTGTTAATTCTCCCCTCTAGCTGCTACACATTTCCTTGTTAATAAGTTGGGAGAATTTGGTTTTAGATCAAGATAACAACTTCTACCTGATACATTTGAGTATTCACATCACCTGTTTGTTGAATAGTGCATGGATATTGTAGGGAGAAATTACTTGTTAATCACTTCTGGGAGTTAAAGGGTTAACTTAATACTGGTAACTAGTAACTTGGTTCTCTTTCTCAGACTCTGCCTACACTCCTTCACTTAGCACCTGTAGTTCCCTTTTTCTCTTTGCTCACCTCATGATCAGTCTAGCTGGCAGAGCTACATTGTAATGAACAATTTCTTTTCTCTTTTTTTAGCTGAAGTCAAGATTTTCTCCAGGAAGCACATTTTTAACATGGAAATCTGGTCATGTTGCAAGAATGATGGACTGCAAATTAACATTTATTCCCATGATATTTATCCTGGAGCGTATTTGGGGAACCATACGATTTTTCCTCCTTGTAACACATTTTCACAATCATGGAAAGGAAAATTTTACTTTACAGTGGCTTGAAATTCTTCATGTAAGTAACACTGCCCTATACTATCACTGAAACACTGATTGATGGACTGGTAATATTCTTGTGTTATTCAATGCATCAGTAAGATTTAATTGCTTAATTATAAACATATAGTCTTCTGCTCTGAAGAGTTTGCAGACCCTGATTGTTTGAAGCTTGGATGACACTATCCACTGGGTAAATCTCTGTCTGGTGGACAGTGCAGTGCATTTTGAAATCACTTATCTGCTATGTGAGAAACCTGCTTGTTGATTTTAAAACCCAGTGGTTGTCTATAAAAGCCAATTCCACATATCTCAACTATGTGCTTTTGTATTTACCCAAATTTGTGGTGTGTAGCCACTATAGTTTTTTTTCAGTTTGGTAGGGAAAGGAGAGGGGGGCTACTTCTTAACCCTTAGTCCCCAATGAGGTACTTGCATCTAATTTCTCCTTACAATATCCCCACTGAATCACACATTTAGGACACAAGAATAGTTGGAAATGATCACCAACTAAACAAACTCTTGATTGTTGAACAAATTCTTCCTGTCAGTACCTTAGGAAATGTATTGAAAATAGTACAGATAATATGCACAGTGATGTTAGAGTAGAAAGGGTTAATGTATAAACCAAACTCTAACTTTTACTTTGTATGCTTTTCTTCCAGGGTATTGGGATTAACAGCCAAGGATTTACAAATTTCATCTTGTTTGTCTGGTGTACCACAAAGATAAGAGAAAAGTTAATAATGGGGTGTGTTCATTGCTTGTCACTTTTTTGCAGATATCATAAAAGAGATCAACCAGTAATTAGCAGAGAGAGGTTTTATAAAACATTTAATGATGAATAGATACTGTCAGTGTTCATGCTCTGTAGTTGCCTGAATTACATTATATACTTGTCATTTAGTTATATATCTGAGTTCTTTTCCAAGAACTAACAGTTATGACAAATGTGTAGTTACTGGAATTTTTCACAGTTGTTTGGTTAGAACAAAGATTCTTTTTTCCTCTTAATTGGAGTATGTTGTTATTATTTATTCTTGTGTATGTTTTCCCATATTAAAATGAAAAACTTTAATTTATTGCTTTGAAGCATTGCCATACCTCAGGGAACAGTTATACTTATGAATTATATCAATTAAAGCTGTGAATAAAGTTCAATACCAGTGGGGAAAGTACTGTATGATTAATATTTGTTCTTTGGATGGGCTCTGGATGAGCTTACCCTTTTTTTTCTCTTTTTATCTTTTGGCTCCTAATTGATGTCTGCCATACAGTTTTTATAACGGTGAAATATGTTTTTTTTGTCATTTTGGGAATGTTGGACAAAGGACTTAGGTTTTTTTTCTTTGTCCCATGCTCGAGACAAGATGCAAAAGAGAAAAATTTGCTTTTCCTTTGCCGAGCTCAAAAATTCCAATCTTTCTTATTCAAATTTTATAATATCAGGTCAGAGAATTTGGTATTGGATCAACTAACAATCTCCTTATTGATGTTTTTCTTTATTCCCATTACTTGTTTGCTTGATATTGTAAGGAATATTTATAATAGCAACATATTTTTTTGTCTTGTGGGGAATGTGGGACAAGAAAACATTTTTTCCTCACAAGGACTCAGGATTTTTTCTTTGTCCCATGCTTGAGACAAGATGGAAAAGAGAAAAATTTGCTTTTCCTTTACCAAGCTAAAAAATTACAATCTTTCTTATCCAAATTTTGTAATATTTGTATGGAGAATTTGGTCTCGGATCAACTAACAATCTCCTTATAGATGGTTTTCTTTATTCCCATTACTTGTTTGCTTGATATTCTAAGGAAAAACTCTGTCACTCATAAAAGTGAAAGAGTTATAAGCCACTGTTGGTGACCTAAAATCATACCCTGGTCATATTTGCATTTTATTGTGAGGTTTCATCTCACTGATCTCAATGGACTTTCTTATGAATGGTGCGGCTCGGTTTCAACTGTTTTCGCTGGCCATAACGGCGGCCAAGTTTACCCAGACATAAAGCGCGAACAATAGATGAGTTATCACCAATATCCTGTTGTATCCTGTCTGCTTTTTCGAATTTATCAACGGCTTTTTCACACAGACTTTCGCATGCATAACGTGGAAGAATGCTGTAGGCCGTCGCTGTTATGCAGTCACTCTCCTCTTCTAATTTTTATTGTAGGCATCTGCTAATTTTCCAAAGACTGTCAAATTTGTCTTTTTCGGAACACCTTGGCTGGAAAAGGAGTAACTTTGACAGCAGTGTCTAAGCACTTTTTTTCGAGTCGGGATAATACATCATAGAGTCCTCCAGGGCCTGCCGAATGTTGAATCGATTTTTCAATAACTGTTGGGCTGCATGGCAACATTGTGTGGAAATGTAACATCTCTAAATATTTATTTTAAAACACTTTTTTGGCTGATTGGTAAGTTGGCTTAAAATTCCTCTTGATTTGCACGATCAACACGAAGCGACTGGATAGTTTTGTGAAGGTGATCTTCTTGAGCCTTGCAGTTATATTGGAGCATTGAGGTATCTACAAGACCTTGCAGAAACATTTTCAGTTCGTAGTCGAATCAGTGACTCAATGGAAGTTGGGCATCTCCCTCACTCAATATTCTAGGAAGTACTGCTGACGACACAAGAGCAGCTTGCCGGTCAGGTTTAAGACGACTGAAACAGATCCCGAGACAATAAAAGGGCTGGAGTTTAGAGGACAGTTTTGAAAGGTTGAATGACTTCAGCATTGAAACTGGACTTGTTTGGAACGTACTTCTGAGGTTTTTGGTAGAACTTCCTTTTGCTAACACAGCAGCTGTGGTACGCAGGACTACCGGCACTCCTCCGCAGTGATGGGCTAACTGTTCTGCTTCTTCCGCCAATTGTCCTGAATCTAGAGCAACGAGTAACTCCTTAAAATCAACTAGGGAAAGTGAGTCAAGCAGGACTGGAACCATATCGACAAATAAATAGTCCATCACTTGGCAGGACATAATTATAAGTTTAACCCGAGGAACACTAAGTGCCATACATTCCAAGAACTTCAAAAATGTATTTTCATTGGCCAAAATGATGTCTTGAACGTCATCTAAAATGAGAACACTGTAATTAATTACTTTGCTAAGACAGTGCTTGTCTTGCTCGATTGGTCTATCGCCGGCACAAATTTGCAAAGCTCCAAGGAGGGAGTGAGCCATGCCATTCGTTGACGTTAAGCTGTCGAGCGAAACGTAAAACACATCTACCTTACCCTGGGAAACCACTTTTTTGTTGAAATATATTTCTTAAAACACGCTCTAGCATTTGTATTTTCTGGTAGCCAATTGAAACGCGCGTCAAAAAGCACATGAAAAAATCAAAATTATAGATTTTGGACAGAGTAGAGAACATAATTGAACTCCTGGAAAGGCTGTGATGATAAAAGCTCTTGTACGTATTTGCATTCTTGAGGCAAGACATCGTGATATGGTGGTTTGACAACTACTTACATCGTTACTACGTCCCAAGACACTAACAAACACCCAAAGGACAAGAAACCCTTTTCTTTGTTTAAATTTTCGATTTTGTTGATCAGATCTGTGGTATCTCTGACAAATGATGGCAAATTCTGCGCTTTAGGCTTAAATTGTAATTCAGTAAGGGTAGACAGTCTTTTAGTTGCCGTTCCGCCACAAGGTGTAATGAGGCGGTGAGGATAACCGTCTTTGCACGCTTACTTATAAAGTTTGTCTCCTGAGCTCTTGGGATTTTTCCACCTAACTTAATCTTTCCTGCATATCGCAGAACCAAAACCCTCAATGATATTTTGGCACCTTCACAATTTTTAGGTGAAAGGAGGTTCGATCCGGCGAAGGAAGAAATGAAAGGATGATGATGACAATGACAAGGGTGATGTTTGAAAGGCCCGTTCGATCGTTACATCTTGTTTTGTAACTTTCTTCTGTGACTTTTCAATTGACGGGAAAGAAATGTGCATAAATATTTGACGAATCATAAACCGCAAAGTATTCCTTTTATAAGCAGTGAAAATAAAGTCTGATGAAGTATTGCTCTTACAGCTTCGTCCCCAGAACAATTTCGTCTTTTTGGGAAAGTGCATGTCTTCATCTCACTTAGTGCAATCCTTATCATTGCTGAATCGACGCAATTTTGAAAACAAAGCTTTACTTCTGCTTCTTTTCAATGAACAAAAATAATTTCAGTGATAACCAATATGTAAATCAATTTCTTTTATTTATTTAATACTTAACCAACAACTAAATGGAATCATTATCCTGTAACAAATGAATTCCGCGTTGCCATAGGTTTGCTCAAAGTTAAATCATAGACGAAGCGAATATGCGGAAAGAACTGAAAAGTGGCTATTCAAAGTAAGACCTTAAAGGACTAGTGTGTGTTCTGTGCTTAAGTTCTGAAAAAACACACTATATCACGGGATACATATATGCCCTAGGTGATACAACGCTCTTTCCGATTGGCTGTCGTAAAACTGGAACCAAAGCAATCATGAAGGCAAATCTCACAGCAAGATTTTGAAGTGATGACAAACAAACTGCTGATGCAATGGAAAACGCGATTAGTTTAAGGTCTGGGTTAAGAGTTGGCGCGAGATTTTTGGACCAATCAGAGAGCGAAGGAAATTAGATACAATGCCTAATTTCAGCGATTACTTTCGAACCGTAATGAAAAATTTTCAAGGAGGTCACAATCAAATTTCTATGGTATAGTATTATTTTTCTCTCTCCCTCTCTCTCCTACTCTCTCTCCCCCAATCTCTCTCTATTTCACTCAATCTCTCTCAAACACGCCAACATTTTAGTGAATAAAATCTAACTTTTGTAACTGTATAACATTACCAAGAGTCCCAAGAATTGCTATACAAAACTGTTGCTTCTGGCGTACTTCAAAAAGCTTCCCTGTTTCCAACTTTTTGGGAAAATTGACTCAGTAGGATATTACTCAACTTTGTCTTACAGCGAACAAAATCCTCTTTCTTTTTCTTCTCCCTTGAAGCCTTATCTTAAACCACGGGACGAGGACCGAAGATGAAGTCACAAACGCCAGCTTTTAAAAATGTACTGCGAATACGAACGACTTTTCCCTTAACAACGTCGCGCTCATTGCTCTACTCACTGAGTGAAAAGGCACAAAAGGCTCCTCTGGAGGCCACCGTTATGCTAAAGAGGTCAACCGATGCGAAAGTATAACTTAAGATCTATATTGAAGCTAATGGTTAAGAATAGCACTAAGTTTAACGAATCATTTTCCTTAAAGAGTTATTATGGCCGGTACTTGTATATAAACAGTTCCAAAGGATACTAAAAGTATAATCAGGACTCGGGCTGGGGCTCAGAAACAGACATGGACACCTGCTGAGCCAGTAAATCCTCTCTTTTGGCTTCTTCATGTCGCCCAAGCTTTTTTAGGACGTAAGCTATCTCCCTGTGAGAACGTTCTGTCTCCTGGTGGTTTCCTAACACTTCGTTTTGGATAGCAAGGGCACTTCTAAGAGCTTCGAGAGCTTCATCCAGGTCTTCTTTCTTGGCTAAAGCCTGTTGATTAAACAGCTAATGATTAAAATTCTGCTGAATCGGTAACTAACAATAGCGTTTAAGGGGCCTTAAAACACCAAGCTGAAACGGATAAATATCGGTGGAGTGATAAAGAATCATGATTTTGAAGCTTAGAAATCAGAGACTTGCATCCTTGATGTTGCTGTAGAGGTTCAATCAATGAGAAAAATTCTGAGAATGGGATAAAAATTTTAAAGAACCCTTACAGATATATATATTTACCTTTCCAAAGTCATAGAAAGACCTTGCTGTTACTTGATGATTACCCACAGAGTGCTTTCTTATGTGCGGTGCCTTACGCAGAAACTTTATCGCACTGCCATAGTTTTCAAGAGCTTGGTACGATGTCCCCAAGTCGTCCATCAAAGTAGCTGTGAAAGGATGGTCTCCCAGATAGATACACTGGAAGTGAGTACTCCTCCCTGATTTTATTGGCCTCTTGATGATCTCCACAAAACGCATATGCAGCTACAAATAAGAGAGCCGCAGAAGGCTTAGATTAATCAGTTGTCTCATGAGTAAACAACAGCCATCATTAATCATATCAGTCATGGGAAATATTTTACATTTAAACAAAATTTGCTTTTGAGGATGCTTTACTTCAGTTTTGGATGTTCTCTTCGCTAGTAAATAAAAATATTAAACTGACTTTGATAAAAGGAAACCCTACTCGTATGAAAAAGATTTGCCCATGTTCCGGCATTGAAGAGCTAAAAAATCGTTTCAGTACTTGTAAACAGTCTTGAGGATATCATGTAGTTGTTCGCGCTCCATTTATGCCGCTCACCGAAAAAAAACCTGTGTGTAGGTACCTCAAAGCAGAATTATTAGAGGGGACTGCTGGGGAAAGCTAGTGAATTTCAGAAGACTGATTCTCGCTTGGTCACGCGACTCTGCACGTGACTGTGCGAGAATTGTTGAATCTATTTTTGAAGAACTTTTGGACGGCATCGCAGCAATTGTGGGACAAGAAAACAGCGTATAGGTCCTGTAACATTTCCAAATACCGAACGTTGAATAATTTTCTGGCTGAATGGTACTGTGGTTTCATATCTTCTTGGACTGCACGATCAACACAAAATGACTCAATGATATTGTGGACGTGGTACTCTTTTGACATGAAATTAAACTGGAGCATGGACTGATCTACTAGCCCTTGAAGCAACATTCCAAGTCTGTACTGAGAGAGGTGGCTAAACAGAAACTGGGCTTCAGCTGCGCTGAATGTTCTTGGGAAGACTGCCAAAGATACAAGGGCAGTTTGTTGGTCAGGTTGTAAACGACTAAAACAGATTTCGAGGCAATGGAAAGGCTGATTATCATGGGACAATGTTGGAAGACTTGACTTGAATGATTTCAGAGTTAACACCAGGCTTGTTTGGAACTCGCTTATTAGAGCTTTAGCATCAATTCCTTTCGCTAAAACAGCAGCTGTGGTGCGTAGAACTAACGGCACTCCACCGCAGTAATGGGCCAATTGTTCCGCATCTTCCTCTGATACTCTTGACTCCAGCGTCAGAAGCAACTCTTTGGCGTGGTCTGGACAAAGAGAGTCCAAGCAGACTGGTAACTTATTGACAGATAAAAAGTCTATTACTTGGCGGGATGTGATCATGAACTTAACACGAGAAGCAGTTTGGGCCACAGACTTCACGAAATTGCAAAATGCATCTTTCTTTTCAGGAAGTAACATGTCGTCCACGTCGTCTAAAATGATGATGGTGTGATTTGATAGAGTGCGAAGACAGTTCTTTACTTGCTGGATTGGATCTGTGCCGCTCAAAATTTGAAGAGCTCCCAGGAGGGAGTTTACCATGCTATTTAATGACCTCATACTCTTGAGGGTAATATAGAACACATCTATCTTTCCCTGTGAAACCAGCTCACGTCCCACTTGTATGGCCACTTCAGATTTGCCAAAACCTGGAGGTCCTGTAATGGAAACTATTCGACAAGGATCGCTTGGAGACAGTTTCTCCATTACGAGGGAGCGTTGCCCTTTCCGACCCACGAAATTTGGAACCTCACAAGGAATACCACCCACGTTCTTGAATGCTTTTGTGAGAGCAGCTTTTAATAAATTCAATACAAATTTAGGTTTAACTTGAGAAAATAAGCATAAAAAAGGTAACTTTTCCTTACTTTAAATTTTTCTGTTAACCATAGTAATTATAAGAGTTTGTAAACCCCCAGAGACGACCACTGCCCTCTCGAATCATATAACGTGGTCTTACTTTGAAAACCTAGTGATTGCTTTGTTCACGAGGGGAAATCACTCAGTATGAAGCTATGCCAGCCATTCCTTCAAATTGGAATAAAGTAAATTATGTAATAAATAGCACATCAATCAAGGTTGTATCAACACTCATTGAACTTGGGTGGTGTAAGGCGAAGTAAGTAATCTCGGAGGCTGGAGCACTTTCTTGCATGTAAATTGCACTCTGCCTTCTAAGTTTTGGAAAGACCTCTTGTTTGATTTACACTGCAATGAATACTGTGCGATGTAAATGTCATTTAATCCACAGATCTACGAGTTTCCACGTTAAATGCTTACCTTGTACACCAAGTATACGATTTCTGAGGTCCATCCTTCCAATGTGATAGAGCAAAGAAGACAGCATATGCTTATTTTCATCACTCGAGGCGGAGTAATGAGTGACATCGCAAAACCGCTCGCGCCGCGGGCGTTTCGCTGTTTCGAGACGGCTGACTGGAATAGGTAGCCCGCACAACACATTTAGCTTCTCAAAATCGTCATCAGTTAATTCCTCCGCAATAGAAAGCTGCGACTGGCTTTCACCTGTATCTAATGGGATTAGAATATATCATTATGGAGACTCTACAACTGTAAAACTAGAATGTTCCCCAGTATTTGAGTTTCTGTGTCAAGACAAGTAATCTAATTTATTTGGAAAGGTTACTTTCTCTGATTTTCGGCCTCGGTTCATATATCTTGATTGGGTAATCTGATATATATATATATATATATATATATATATAGCAAAAACAGACCGCCTTGATAGCTACGTGAGGCACTAGGAAAACAACTTCAGTAGCGTTTTCTTTCCTAAATTTTTAAGGGGACTTAGTACCTTAAAAGACCTATGAACCCAATTATCGCATGGATATTAAAAAAAAAGAGAAAAAAAGCTTGATTTGGAGCTGAGCTCTCTCTCTATCAGAAAGGAATCACCAGTGAAAATAAGCTAATAGCCATAAAAGCGATACTGAAATTACTGCTAGTTGCACAGTTTGATAGACCTACCTGGGATACCTCCTAGAGACACTACATGGTCTTTTAAATCGAGCAGTAACTCATGGGTTTTTTCCGTTTTATCGTCAATCGATTTGAGTTGATCTCTAATGTCATCATCTTGTTTTTGCCATTCTTTTAAAAGGCTTTTGTAAACTTCTTTAGCATCAGGATCAATGCACTCAGTTTTCATTTTTCATTGCGTAAGTATATCATAAGTTGAATTCGTAGTGAATTATATGGAAACTAAATTAAACTTACCAGGATGGTTAACAGTTTTGAACGCTTATCGGGTAAACGCGCCGTTGCTTGCGCTATCACGTTCTAGTAATCAGAAACACGGCAACCGTTGACGTATTTTCATGGCGCTGCTGGGGGTAATGACATCATCCAGGGTGGCAAAGTAAAGGCCAACCTTACGGCGACCTAGTTGGAAATTTGTATTTGCACTTTATAAGATATACTTCCGTATGATAACATTTGAACTAGAAATACTTTTGTCGAAACCTTTTTGTCCTTTTGTTTTGGAAGTAAACAGATAAAACACATCATATGTGCAACAGCTATAACATAAAACTATTCTCTGGGTCTTTTAATACAAACGGATCAATTTGTTCATTAATTTAGAAACACTTATGTAACTTGATGAGCGCATATTTTCGAATGACAACAACCATGATCAAAAGAAACGACAGGTAACTTCTAAAAAAATTTTTCATTTCATCACGCAGAATGCCTATTGTTTTCGGGACATTTACTTGCAGTTGATGAAATATTTTACGTCTGTCATATTGCGTTTATTATTTAAATAAGCATGAGCGGAACGAGTCTCATTGGTTAGGACGGTTAAAAGAAACGCGCGCTATTTTCCCGCAGGGAATGAGGTTCTGCTCATCAACTTGAAGGGGGCGGATCATCAACTCGTGTGCCCTCAGTTAGTCGACGCGTTTAAGCAAAACAGCTACACGCTGGTCGGTTCCCGTGCAGGTGCTCTTTGTCTGCGTGTCACAAGCTTTTAGTTCGGCTTTCTCTTGTCTGTATTGCTGCTTCTTTCACACTTCTGTGTAATCGTTTCCAGAGTGGGCCAGTCTATGCCGCATCTTGTTATACAGATCGGCCGCCTTTCCCTCCACGCTCTCGTAAAGGTTTTTTTTCTCTTCCATGAGGTGCGCCAAGACGTCTTTTGGTGATTCCTCGATCTCCTCCAGTTTTACTCCCAGCTTAATCCACGTCTCCTCTCAAGTTTGTCATCTAAATCGCTAGGGTCTTCGAGAGAATTCTTCAGCACTTCAATGATGTTTGCTTTCTGCTGTCGAAACTTATGGATCGCAACCAAAGCTTAATCTTTGCTAATAAACTCTTTGCTCAAGACTCTCAGCAGGCCAAGGTATGATGGTTAAATTTACGCTGAGTGGCGCGCCACAGGTCACCCATGCCTAAAGACTCTTTCTCTGTCCGGAAGTAGGCTTGGACCAAGGGATGCATCCTAATCTTTCCATTGGCGTCCTCTGAGGAAGAGCATTCTTGACCATCCTGGTCTTTACTGTTTCACAGTGTAAACGGAATCTTCAAAAAGACGCTGAATGTCTTGAGCTGAGAACTCCGATAGGAAAACAGAGAAAAAGACAAGATTTCGTTTTACCTCATCGGAAAAATTGTCAAAAAATACTTTCAGAGTGTTATTAACATCGTTAAAAGGTTGTATGGGATTATTCCCGATCTGTTGGATTAACAGCTCGCGACTAAAACCATTGTTCAGTGCGTCTTAACAGGTAAAAAGAAGGAGAGTATCCCACCACATAATTTAGCAAGTTCCTCGGGGTGTTCCTCACTAAAGTCATCAATAAGACTCCGAAGCAGTTTAGCAGACGAGTCGGAATCCAAAGGTTCGAGACGAAACTTACGCACGTCTGCCGACACAAATCCAACATCTTTTCGAGTAGTGATTATCGACTTGACATTCGAGGCAGATTTCATGAGCCATTCGGTGAATTCATCAAATTCCTCACCCTGTATATTCTCTGTATTGTCTAGCACAATCACAGTTGGGATATTTTGCTCTGATAGTTTGCGCTTCGCAAGAGACATAAAATTAGCGGTTTGCGACCAAGTGCGACTACTTAATCGATCAACAATCTCACTGCAGATGTCTATGAGCTTCCGATGATGACTGTCTACTCGAATATGTGTTACAAACTAGTCACCCCTTTGCTTTAACAAGTGACTTACACGGATTCCCTCTTCAGTCTTCTGTGACTGATAGGTGAGGCTCGAATGATGAGCGAAAATCCGTTCTTAGAACTCATAATTAGCCAGAAGGAGGTCTATGGGACAATACACATACTTAGTTTAGATCGTTTACTAATTGTAAGCGTATGCAGTTTCCAAGACCAAGCAACGACGCCAATAATATCTTCAGTGTAAACTTCGAGGACGAGATGAAGAGCCGGAGGAAAGGACGACGCACGAATGAGCCATTTTCTAACATTGCATTATTTGTGTACAGAGTGAAACAGTTAGGGTTTACATCATTCTCAGCCGATTACTTTGCGCCTCATACTGTGCAAGGCTTGTGCATTCTTTTCAACATTTGATGCAAACGTGAAAATAGCCTGTTTGTCGGATTCCTGAGATAGAAAGAAGAACAACCATACGAAAGGTCTGCGGTTTCTTTTCGATTTCATCTACGTCCGCATCTCTTCCAACAAAGTGTGCGGTTAAACAAGGAAGATTTCGAGGTAGACCACCAGGCGACGACAGTGTACCTAAAATACGGAAAAAAAAAAAAAAGATAATATTTGAACAGATACAAAAACGGTAGCCGATCACATGAGATGTTCCAAAAACAAGTTGAGGATATACCAATGGAACCCTAAATATAAGACACCAAATAGGGCCTTAAGGATTGTGCTAGCATACTTTGTGGCATAATAATATACATGACAAAATTACTCGCGTCTGATCCGCGCATCTGAGATGAAAGATGTGGCTATCAAAGAGTATATCAAGGAACATGAAACAAAACATAGCGGTATGGAGGTTTTTATGTGGTCTTTTAATAGACACGCAGTCTACAGGCATAAATGGGGTGAGTTTGGCTCATTATATCTCTTAAACAAGCCACGTGACCTATCTTTTCTTTGTATTTTTGGAAACAGACATAGATAAGGAACGTTTAAGGAAAGTTTCTGAGGAATCACCTTAACAATAGAAAATTCCCTGCCGACTTTTCTAATCTCGACAGATCATAGCGACGAGGTCCTCACTAAGGACATGAACCATTTAAATGGGTAAATGACCCCACAGTTCTTTGTCAGTGACATTCTTAGTGTCCGTCAATATCGGGTTGATTCCATTGAAACATTTTGCAAAACCCTATTTCCATGACATGATTGACATTAGCGACAATACCCTAACGCTCTCATTTGGGTACTCGTACCCCTATGCTGTGATCTCATTGGTGCAAAATACATACCCTAATGCAGTTATCTGATTGGTGCAAGCAACATACCACTCTATGCAATAACAATAGAGATCTTTTTTAAAAAGAAAACTACTTCAAAAACAAAATAAGGCAAAACTAAAGAGTGAATAATTTCCTTTCAAAAATAGCATAGGCTGCAAAAGCTGAAATTGATAAATTTCTTTCTTCACTTTCTTTACATAAATGAATAAAAACTGAGCTAAGTGTTTGTGACCTTTCCATCCCCCAAGGTTTTCAAAGTTTTACCTCGTTCTGCCAGTTATTTTTCATGACCAGCGGTGGACAACACAGCAAGGGATGATTTCTAAAGGACTCATCACAAATTATCATTGCTCAAAACAAACTCCATTTATTAATCCTTTATCTCTCAGAAGTGATAGAAGAATGTGACTTCTCCCCATAACATCCATTATCCACTTAATCCAACAAACAGGTAATGAGAATACTCAAACTTCACAGGAAGAACTTGTTATCTTGATCTAAAGCCACATTCCCGTAACTAATTTACAAGGAAATCTGTAACAGCTAGATCTGAAATTTAACTGTCAGATCTTGGAAGTAAAAGGTTGACTGCGCAGGGTTTCTGTATAAGCCCATACAAAAATTTTCGTTTTATTAAATGTGTCAATAAGAAGTTTTAATTTGAGTCTTGCAATTACCTTTCATTTTCTCCGACTTTGCAACGTCAGTCTTCTGTTTCCCTCTTTCCGATTGTGGTTCATGACCTTCAGAACTTATGAAGTATGACTGAGAGCACAAAGAATCTTGAGTAAGAAAATAACAGAAAACAAATTTGTGTTTGCCATTCACCTAAAACTGCATTTTCGATTACAGTCGAACCTCGAATACCTGGACTCACAAGGACTGGCCTTAAAAGTCTTGATAATAGAGAGTCTAAATAATCAAGAGTCCTGATAATAAAAAATATGTATATTATTGAGCCAAAAACAAAAAAATTTGAATAAGTTAAAAGAGATACTTACCGATATTACGCAAGAATTAAAGCAGATTCTAAAATCATTGTGCATAAACTGTTAACATTTGCCAAAAGTATTTCCCAAAGGTTTTTAAAGCTACAGTACAGCTCAGAGGTAAATGGCCAACGCACATGCAAAACATTTAAATGTTTTTCGCGTTCTGCGCAAAAAAAAAAATTAAGCGCATGTTAAAGCGCGTGTCTTAAGCGTGTTTTTGCTATTGTTATTAAACGCAGTCAGCTTGCTTTGTTCTGTGCTGTTTGGGAAAACAAAGATTTTTGTCTCAAAATACCGCCGCCGAAACATCAAATCAACATCAAGAATTCTTAAGCCGATTGCACAAAAACAGAGGTCATATCTCAAAGATACAACAGATTACATCAACTTCACAGAAAAAACAAAGTTTGCACAAAAAGCGATACTCATTTCAATGGAAATTACAAGCTTATACACAACTATACCCCCACCTCTTCCCCCAATTCCAAAGCGCTGACTAGAGAAAGCACCTTCAATTGACTGGTTTTTCAGGAAAGTTCAACTCAATTCATGAAAAAAAATTACTTGCAAGGGCACGAAACCAAAGCATTGGGCCCCAAAATGGCTGTGGCTTTCGCAAAGTCCAGATGCAAATCCTAGGTAAAGGTGCTTATTTGGAAACGCTACACTGACTACAGTCTCGTCAACCAGTTAATTGAACAAGCAAATAAACACCACCTAACAATCAAATTTACAGCTGAAATATCTTTTCAGAAGCTACTTTCATAGACACAATTATCCATAAGGGTGAAATATTCAAGAAGGAGTTAGTTTCGACATAAGAACCCACTTCAAACCAACAGAACCATTCCAGGACACACTCTACACAACGTGTCATCCACAGGGAGAAAAGAAAGACTTCACTAAAGGCAAAGCGTTGCCACTCCCTGTGACTAATTTCTCAAAAGAAAAATTTGAAGTGAACATTGGGCAGCTCAAAACATACCTAGCTAAGGAGACTACCTGAAAAACATTATTGACAACCCACTCTCAGAAGGATGTAAACGCGCCATACTCCAACAGGGAAAAACAAATCGAATCTTGCCCTTTGTAATACCACAAGACTATCCAACAGTCCCAAACCTAACAGTAATCCTTATGAGCAAGTGCATTTAGTACAGCAACAACCATTGCTAAGGGAAATCTTCAAAGAACAACCAGTAATATCATACAGGAAGGGGCGTTCATCCAAACATACTCGTGAGAGCAAAATTGTAAGGAAGGTGAGAAAACCGGACATACTATGGAGTCCTGTAAACACTTGTAACTAATACAGAGAAAACTGGACACTACGAAGTTATTTAGGACTGTCAACCCCAATTTGCACAGGAGCATTAATTAAGCCTGTTTTTAAAGCAAACAAAGACTTTCTAATGTCTATTAGAGTTATGGTGATGTGTAACTTAAGCCAAATTATGATCCAGCCTATAGCCATCTCGCCTTCGAAACAGCATCCAGCATCTCGCCTTTCAATTTTCTCATATCCCACATCCTGCCTCAATTTTAAGCCTCATACTATATCCCACCAAACCTATGTTGGACCCCCTTTCTTATGTGGCCTAAATATACCTAGGATTTAACAATATAACATGTAATACAAGCAAACCTGAGTAGAAACAAATGTAAATGCATTAAGCTCACCGTTAGCAGTTTTCATTACATTTTCGATCAATCTTTTGAATCTCGCACCTTCTGCCCATTCATTTGCATCTTCAACTGATTCAACAATGACAGTGTTTCCACCTTCTACTTCTCACAAAGCCTCAGCTATGCCAGATGCACCAGAAAGAAGAATAGGAACCCCAGCAGAAATGGCTTCGAGGGCAACCAGCCTATAGCCCTCTGTACGGGAAGGGAGAGCAATCAAGTCTATAGAACATCATCTTGAGTTCCTCTGGATCACTGCAATAACCACGGATGGTTAGTTGGTTGCGATTGATGTACGTGTTGTCAAGAAACCACTGCTCAACTTTTTTATATTCACCAGGAGGTGAGCCAACAAATGTCAGCTCCAAGATCGATTCTTTTGGGTCAAATTTCTCGTCTTTTAAGGCATTTCTAGCATTAGTTTTTCCGGCACGGTCTTCGCCGATCAGCATGACTTTGACAGGGCTGTCAATTATTTCGCCGTCCTCCAAAGCTCCCTGGTAAGCTGCTATAGCTTTTTCACCCCGAGCCAAAACGTAATAAAGAGCAATGTCCTCTTCAGGGGAAATCTCTGCAGCGGAGGAGCATTCTTCGTTTAGGTTGAGAGTCCAACCAAGTCCTTGTAAGGTTGAATCTGAAGAAAGAGGAAAGGTATTCAATTTCAGGAGAGAGTAGCTTTATCAAATCGATCGTACTGCGCATGTGCGAGAGTAGTTTTACGGACCCTGTGATGGAAAAAAAAAAAAAGAGCTAGAGTATCAGAGTCGTAGATGTACACATAGGACTTTCTTTGTGTAGGATTACATTTTTATTGTTCCTGTTTTCCATGTGAAACGTCGTTGTAACATCCAAAAAAAAGTAACATGTGCCTTTACCCGATCACTTCTCTTCTAGCCATCTTTTGTACAAGGGGTACGAGGTAATGCACATTAGAGATCATGGCTTGTTTTACGAAAAATAGTAGGCTTGGGAACATGAAGCTGAAGGTGTTGTAGCGAGGAGGCAAATATATCATTTCAGGAAAGGCAAACACTAAAACCGTTGGAAAAACCCAATGTATTTATATCAGCGAATACTTACCAAATGTGTCTGAAAAATGCTTAGATACTATCTGTAGAGCGTCGTTTCTCTGAATCTCATCTAGTGCTGTTGCAACGTCTCTTAATGCTTTTTCAGGGGAATGCGCGGCCAACCATTCTACAACCTCTTTTGTAGGACTTTTCCTGATTTGTTTGACATCAGCAAACGCTCCACGCACGTCAGCTAATATTTTCATTTTCCAGGCCAGATGTGTCCAATTTTTGACTTCGGGATTCTCCTCTCGATTAAGTTCGAGCACCAACCTTTCTAAGAGTTTCGATCCGGGGGTTATGATATCGTCTAAAGTAAAGGTAGCCACAGATCATTCTTAGTTAACTCTCCATAAATGGGGCCGTAACGCAGGCCTTATTTCAACTACTAATTCAGTAGTGTTCATAACTGCGAGGATCATTTCTATATATGTTAAAATAAAGACATGTTACAATCATATAAGCAGAACTTCTATGCAGTATTTTACAAGACTCACAATTCTCCCTCATATAAATTTGAACAGCTGTGACATTTAGCTAATTAATGACTTAGTCATTAAGCCAACATAACAATCCTTCAAATAGTTTTTTAAAGCTCTTCAACATCTATTTAATATAGACTTTGACTGATGTGTCATTTTCCAGTGGGCAAAGAGCGTCCCTAAGAAGCAAAAACAACACCAACGAGGTGCACTAACTAACAGCATCAAAATGCCTGAGGAGAAACGGCAACCTCCAAACGTACCATGTAAAGTCCTCTCAAATGATGGCTCAGACAGAGTAACACTTGACTTCAGCTAATTTTGTGCTATACCTTTTGTGATCAGCAAACTGATTAGGTCGTTTCTCCCGATCTCAAGTAAGATGTCCTTTAGCTCTTTCATCGTCAAATCTGGATTCGAGGCCGCAAGAAAATCGTCTTCTCGGATAGGACGTAAAACCGTAGGCCCCGTCTCCTGCAGGGTTGGGGTAGGAGACGTTAATTTCCCACGCACAAGATTACTGTGTGGTGGATGTCCTCCCCTGGGGTGGGATGGGTGGTGGGTGTGGGTGTATTAACCAAGTAGGGGACTTATGTCCTATTGTTATGCACCTGTACTTGTACTTGTACGAATCCATTAAATAAAATAAAATAAAATAATCGGATGGTAGGATTGATGTCACTGTACTGTTCTAGTCGTCTAATGGCATCTAAGTCGACGTGCAGTATCAATGCCAAATGTCTCCAATTACGTTTCAATCTCATATCACGATCCAAGCACAAACACAGCTCTTCTATAAACTCTGGTTTACGTCGTAGAATGGCAGATAATTTAGACCCTAATGTTTAGTTGCGAAGGAATCGCTTTAATATCTGCCATCAAGTGTTACGTCAACTACCTTGTTATAACAAACGTCCGTCCTTTTTAGTTTAAACACTCAAATGAGGGTACTGCTAAACAATGCCTATCGTTACACCTAAATAAACATAACAGACAGGTCAAACAAAACGAGGAATCTTTAGAGGCTTGAATTCCAGGAAAGGTACACTGACTGCTTTCTTGGAAACAGCCTAGCAAGTCAAAATTATTAATGGATTTTTTTTAGTTTTGAATTTAAAACTAATGTCCACGATACCAAATGTAAACAGGAAATACAGTACTTTGTGTTTCAAAATTGTCCAGAAGGCAATTAATGTCGATAAGCATCCTTTCAGCCACGACGATGCAAAATTTTCAAAGCTCAATGAGGCATGGACTTAAGGTTTACCATTAACAGTCAACTAAAGAAAAACATTGCTTGGAAACAACTCAGTCTTTATCGTTTAGATTATTAGTAGCCCACGCGTTTATCTGGTAGCCAGAGTTTGTCATAACTTGCACGACCCGGCTTTCAAATGTCACAATAGCTAGTGTAAACTGTCACTCAATCGAAAACACCTCGAATGGAAAGATTCTTGTTCTGTGTTAGCTCATACATCACTTTAACTATTAAACGCAAACAATATTCTTCTGGTCGCGAGCTCAACTAATTAGTAGAAAGCTATTTTTGAAACTGTGTAGTCAGTTTTTTTAAAAAGCTTCCCCCTTAATTCCGCAATTATACAAATTCTAAACATTTTAAAAATTGGAAAGTTAGTGGCCCTTTTGCATTCATTGCTAAATTTGACAGTGTTTCCTGCTTCCGGTTAAAACAGTGATTCCGAACTTATTTCGAAATTGCAAACATTTTCTTTGTAATTTTGAATAATCGTGACGACGGCCTCGCTGTCGAAGACTTGCAAATGCCTTCAGCCATGACGTGGAGCGAAAGAAGTTAAATTACTTTATTAGTAAGAAACAGACGAAAATTACTTACCAGTCGATAAACCTCTTTTACGCAAATGAGCCATCGTAAACTTTAACCGCCGATTTTTTAGGGTAACGTCTTTCTACCGTCAGTACAACATCACGAACATAAGTTTGAAGACTGCATGTACTTGATCAATGTCGGACCGTAGTGCATTTACATAAATCTCTCCTCGGCGAAAAGACTACTGCAAAGAACTTGTAAATGAAATGCACTACAGATGTATGTTGTCAGCTGGACTCCAGTCAACTGAGCGGAGAAAAGTGTACTTCTCAGCGGATGAATGTGATGAAGATACATTCAACGCTGAACTGGGCAGTACAAATTGCATGGCTAATGATGCTTGATTGTGTCGCTGTTTGCTACGAATTATCCCGTGGGGTAGATTCGTCGCTCTTCGTTACATAGGTAAGATTTGGACGTTTCTGCATTCTGCTTGACTTGAAATTCATGAACAAAGCTTGCGCCAATTGTATTTTAATTACACTCATTATGTTCTAAGACAGAAAAATAACTTAACCAAAACTGAGTAAGTAGAAACAAATCAACTCTTCCTCTTCCCCAGGAGTCTCGATCCAGGCTTCTAACTATTGTGATTATAGAATAAAGGGGTACGTTTCTAAAGAAACTATGGTGCTGCGTTGGTGGGAGAATATAACGAGGAAATTTAGTAGAGATATATAACAGATAATTTGTTTATTTCTTCATCAAAAAATGTCGCCACGATATCAACAAACTTAAATTCAATCGTAACACCAAATTTCCCAACCTTCTTCGGAAGATTGATCGGCACTAAAAGGTCTAAAAAAACGCAATGACAGTTACCAAAGCGGCTGACGAAGGCGGCGCAGTCGTTGTTTGAGGGGCCGACCTCTACCAAAAAGAAGCTTTGCGGCAACTTTCTGACACCTCCTTTTGTGCAAAAGTCGACAAAGGTCTCACTTTCATCAACCATAACGTTGTCCAAAATACGATTAACGATCTTATAGCTAAACAAGAATAATTGCCACTGAAAAAAATCTCACCATCATCACTCCTTGAACTTCGTATATTTACTTTTTACCTAAAATCCACAAACTTAACAGCCCAGGTCGACCCATCGTTTCTGCCTGTAATTGTCTCACCGAACTCATCTCCAGCTGTTTAGACAAAATTATGGCACCTATCGTCAAAACTTTACCATCTTACATTGAGGACAGCCAACACGCACTTGAAACTTTTCGTGCCTTTAATTTCCTTGGTCAAAACAAACTTATTTGCATAATGGATATTATATCTCTTTTTACCGTCATTCTCAATGACGAAGGTCTCCGGGCCCTCAATTATTTTCTCGATCAACACAATGTTAAGGAACCCAGCTCTGAAACACTACTCCGTCTAGCCGAACTAGTACTTACAATTGCTTTTCATTTGGTGGTAACTACTACAAACAAACTAATGGCATAGCCATGGGTACTAAAATGGGACTCAGCTACGCCAATCTTTTCGTAGGTTTTATCGAACATCAATACCACGGCCCCAAACCTGAACTCTACGGCTGCTACATTGACGACTGCATCGGCGCTACCTCCTCTACCAGAAAGGAGCTCACTCAATTTATAACCGCAGTCAAGTCCTTTCACCCGACTCTTAAATATACCTGAGAAATTCCCGACACTTCTTTGTCTTTTCTAGACATCAAAATTTCGATTAAAGGCAAGGTTTATGCACTGGTGTTTACTACAAACCTACAGATTCACATAGTTACTAGTTGTATTCGTCTTTGCATCCATCACACGTCAAGAATTCCATACCTTTATCAGACTTCGTCATTTATGTAATGACGACTCTGATTTTTCCGAGAAATCAGAAGAAATGTGCCAGTTTTCGATAAACGTGGCTATCCTTTTTCTGTCGTTCAAGCGGGCCGCTAGTCAGCACTACAAACGGCTGAGAAGGAAAACACTGACCGCATTCCCTTCATTCTCACATTTCACCCTCACAACCACGCAGTTAAATCTATCATTCTTAAAAACTTTTAATTACTCCGAAAAGATTCAGAGACCTGTACTATCTTTTCGCGACCTCTACTAATTTCATTCAAACGTGACAAAAACATAGGCAACTTTTTGATCAGAAGTTCATTTCAAACAAATGACCGATCTGCAACTTTCAAATGCGCTCGCTTACGATGTAAAACTTGTCCTTTCATTCATAACGTAGAGGAAATGTCGGGACCAAAGAGATCCATTAAGATAACTGATCAATTTACGTGTACCTCCGCCAATGTCATTTATTGCATAACTTGCTCTTATTGCCATAAGTTATACATTGGTGAAACAGGAGACGACTAGGTGACCGATTCCGAGAACACCATCACGACGTAGAAAGAAATGACAAGGCCGCATCCAAACCAGTCACTAGACACTTTAATCTCGCTAATCATTCTAAACAACATATGGTAATTTGCGGCCTTTCCCTGCATCTAGGCAGTTTGGAAAGCCGCAAAACACTAGAACAAAAATTTATCTTCCAAATCGGCACCCTTAATCCCCACGGTATCAACGAGCGCTTTTCATTAAACTAATTTATTCTTGTTTTCTTGTCACCATATTCCCACCAATAGCATGGCTCCATTTCCAGCATATAAATCCAGGCACAACCCACAATTCCTCCAATCGCTCAAGCAAAGGCTAACGCTCGAAACGTCAGCCTTTAAACCCTTTACGGTGGTCAATTTACGTTTTCAACTCAATTGTTAACACTAAATTACCTATTGTGAAAAGAACTGCTCGAGTAGAGAACTATTTGCTGACCCGTGCTTACTGCTTAGTGCAGCTCGTATGGCACTTCACAAGAAATAGGCAGTTTAAGACTTGCATGTGGGCTTCTGATACAGCGCAACTTTAATAGTATTTAAAATAACTAGAGTTTGTATAATGATGTAGTAGGGAAGTATTGCAAAAGTCAAGGTGTCGTATGTCTGACCTTGGTTTCGTTGCAAATTTTGCGGCTCTTTTGGGCATTAGTTGCTGATTGAAATGGTAAAATACTCTCACTTAGAATATGGAAAATTTTTCTTCAAATTTTGCAGATCAAACCTACTTTGGTATTTCTGCAAGGTGGCATATCCTAAGATTTGGTTGAGCCACGGAAATAGACAGGTTCAGAGGGAGATCCGAGAAACGACGGAGGAATGCAAAAAAGATGTTATCGAAAGAGAAGGCTGAAAAAGGGGAAAGATACAGTGGATTGAGCCTGGTTGGAAAGATGAATTGCTGAAGGAGGGAGGAAAAGGACTGACTCCTCTTGATTAGCCATCCACTATCACGTTGTTTTCACAAGGCTTCTAAAGAGGATCCCTGTGGGTAGTTTCAAAGCTATCGTACTTCAGCAAGCAAGATATTATTCTTTTGACCTCAGATTTTTCAAATTAGAGATACCGAGAAATAGGTCGCTTAAGCTTCGGTAGCTGCATTTCTCGTGAGGTGAAAATGCAAAATTTTCATTTTATAATTATACTTACTCGTTATATCAATCAGAAAAATATATTCCAAACAAAATTTTTTTCATGAGTGAGATATCAAGTTAGCTTTTCTTCAACAAACTGAGCATGATCGTGTGACGCATGATTAATTCATAACAACGTTTCTTTGTGACCGCCTGGTTGTAGATAAGAGAAAAAAACCAAGTTCTGTAGAGTCTTTTCGTCTTTAAAGAAAAAATTCCACCGGTCTTTTTCTCTATGAAACATTTATTTCCGATGATTTCATGACAACTTGAGGCTTGTATCGTAATCAATTTGTGGTTTGTCATCGCGATAAACAAACTGGCGTAGCCTACAGGATTCCTTGTGAGTGTTTGAAGGTCTACATTGGCGAAGCTAGCAAACCTTTGCAGGCGAGAATCTCCTCTACCTTGTTTTAGTTTTAAGATATCATGGGTACAAGTTGGACTTTTGAGCGGAGTCGAGATAAAAAGTTGCATATTTACGGTCATGGCATGGCCACAGAAAAGGCAAGGTAGTTGCATCTGGCAGAATAAACATGTATAGATGTCCATCAAGCCTTTTTTGAAAACCCAGATTGGCTCGATTTGCGTAACAATATTCACGATTGTCGTTTTCCCTTTACACTTGATAATGACATGAAACAACGTAAACTAAATTTAACGAACATATTTTTAGCTCAGAGTTTTGTATATTTAAATAACATTCTAACGTTGAAATTTGTTATCAACTTATATCTATGATGATGATAATGATGATGATGATATTGATGAGGATAATGGCTACTTGAGGTAAGGGATCCTTTCTCAATGTGTAAACTTTGAATGCAAAAAAAAAAAACAACCTGTTGGACAATTTACCCGTAACTTCGCCTCTGCCAAGCGCTTCTTCGTGGCCACATTTTTATCATTTATTTGACAATTTCTTCTAGCAAAATGCGATAAAAATGTTTCCTCAGCGCTTTTTACTATTTTTAGCTGATCGCTCTATTCAACTAACGAGGATAAAAGAAAGATAATCTTTGATCTTTAATCTTGGTTAGTTTCCCTTGGGTTTTTGGTTTTTCATGTTAAGAACGGGTATGAATTGGGCAATGTCAACTTGCCAATACTATTGAAGATTAACCTCTGCTCGATAACAGGATGTAGAATAGGATGTAACATTAAAGATCTTCCTTTTTGAAAAAAAAAAACTTGAAATTGGCTGATTACATCCACTCATCCTAACAAAAATCTAACAGGGGTTCTTCCTAAGTTTCGACTGATTGATACACACGTATGGAGGTCCAAGAAAGGACAGACTTAGCGACTGAGTCACTGCGTTGCTTAAGTGTTCATGAGAGCCCATCGATCAATCGATAGATTGTTTTGCTTCCTTACAGTGTGGAAGATCCTCTTTTCAAAATCTTATTTCTGTTCATGAGAAATCCATCCAGTCTTTTTCTTCTTCTTTTTCTTCCTTTTCCAACTTTTTTGCGCACTCCGCAGCACGTGTCATTTCGTCCTCGGCCTCGCCGTTTCTTCCGAGACCACGCAGGGCAATTGCCATGTCTTGGTGAGTGTGAATTAGTTGTAGATGTGTGTCTGATACTTCTTCTTGCAAATCAATGGCCTCTTTAAGATATCTTAGGGCACTACAAGAGAGAGCATCATTAAATATTAGTCTGCTTCGTGGAAAAGCTATTGATAAAGACGTAAGGGAACAGATTGATATAAGTATTCCGCAGAGCTGCAGTCCATCTAAAACGCAAATCCTAATGGAGGAGAATGGCATCCTTCGTCTGAAAAGTGTGAATTATAGATAGCGATATGCCTTGGTTGGCATCTCAGTCATTCAATGGTAGGCATTGTACAAAGCCATTTCCCAAGGATGGCAGCAGGTCTGAGAATAATCATTGATTATGGGAATGACTAATAGGATATCTGGGCATAAATAGCATAGTTACTACTTATATCACCTTGGGTAATCTTCTTTCGCGCTCAAAGCCACTCCCAAATCACGAATAGACTTAGCAGTTTCCTGATGGTGCCCCAGCAGTTGCTTTCGCATTTCAACTGATTTACCGATATATTTAACAGCATTGTCGTAGTCACCTAAGGCGTGGTAACTGTTGCCAATCCAGTCGAGTGTTGTTGCCGTGAAAGGATGCTCCCCGAGATTTTGTTCGTATAGAGGAAGCACATAGCAGAGTCTTGTTTGGATAGCACACATGTGTTTCCTTTGCACCATTTGAGAAGCTGAAACGAAACACAAGTGAATGAGAAGAAAAATTCAATAGGGGTTCAACATTGTCGGATTTTTTTTTGGGATCCCGACCTAACTTGCGTAGAACTGAGATATGTGATGAGGCCAACATGACTGATTGTGGTGCATCCTCACTGGAGAGTGTCCTTTCATGACAATAAAATTTGAAGAGAGTAAGAAAAGTATCTTTTTTTCCCAACCTGCGATATCATTATAACACGCTCCTAACATGACTTTGTCCTTGGTCTCATCTGATTTTTTTTCTCTCTTTGTTCTTAACGCTATGGCCTCGTTAAGATAGTCATATCCTTCGCCAAAGCGTCCCTCTCGAACACAACAGAATCCAAGCTTACTCAAGCAGTGGGCACGAATAGCTTCATTCACGTTTGTAAGCTCTGAATGGATTTGCTTAGCACGTGCCAAAAATCTCTTCGCTTGATACAACGCTCTAGGGCAAATGTACGGTCTGCATGTGCAGCTTAAAACTATTTTGACTCCGATGTTTGTCAAGCAAGCGCTTAATAGATGCCTGTCACGTTGACATCGATACGCAAACTTGCAAAAGATGGAGACAAACTCTTGTTTTCGCATCATCTTTGCGAGAAATACGGCGGCATCGTTGAAAGCAGCAACACAGTGCTCCCTCACGGTTTGGTCAAGCTCAGGATGATCTCCACACCAAGCCATAGCCTCTCGAATGTTGTCCTTTTCAGATCTGTAGCGATTAATTGCAGACTTCTTATCCGCACTCAAAAATGTTTTGCAAAGGGAAACAATCAAATTACTGTAGTGACGTAAGAAGACTGATTTGGCTTCTTTGTGTTCGGGCATTGATGAAAAAAAGTCTCTTATAAAAGGATGAAGAGAGTAAAGACAGTTATTTCTGTCAAAGTTTAGGAGGCTGCTTTGTTTCAAGCAAATTGGAAACGTCTGCAGATCACCTCCAATTGAAGACTTGAAGCACGCGTCAAATTGTTCTTCCGTAAATCCTTTCGGAAATGTTGAGAACATTACAAATATCTTCTGATTCTCTTCACTAAAGCGATCAAAACAGATCTGTAGACACCTATCGATGCGATCCTCACTCGCTTGAAAGTCAGGGCTCAGTAATTTAAGAAGAGTTTGAGGTGAACATGAAGTAAGTCTTTGGGTGAACCTCTCTGGATTTTCTCTTCTAAGAATTGAGCGAACAGTACAGATAATAAGAGGAATGCCGCCACAGACTCTGACCAGCTCATTGATCGAGCCTTCGTCTAGTCTGTCGTCACACTTTTTGAACAAAGTAGCTGAATCATTGTCTTTCAGAGGCTCTAAATCAATCAGCTTAATAGGGAAAGACACACTGAAATCATAGAATTCTCTAGATGTTAAAACAAGATGAATGGTTGGGCATTTTCCTATGTCTTTTAGAAATGACAAGAATTCATCCTTTGTAAATTTCCCGCGCATTTTGGTGCAGTAATTTTTGGAGTTCAGTTCTTGCAGGTATTCATCCTTGCGAACTTGAGCCTCGAGGTGAAGTAAGTTGTCAATGTTTTCGATAAGAAGCACCCTTGACTTTGTTTTTAAGGCACGTATGCGACGAATTGCCTCAGTGATAGTATCTTCGCTGGGAACGAAACCTAAAGCTTCGATGATATCGCTTGCCAAGTCTTCTACACAAGTGACACCTCTTGAATTAACATAGGCAATGAGCTTTCCCCTGTTGATCAACCGATGGGCGACTTCTATTACCACAGAGGTTTTCCCATATCCAGGTGGCGCTACAATTTCAACCGCCTTGTTCGAAGACAAGGCAGTTATGATCCTTTCGCAGGTTTCATTGCGGCCCACTAAATCTATTTGATCGGGTAATGTTCCACAGTGACCTGAATGTTCCCTAACGTCTGCAACTAATTAAACGTAGAACAGTTTTAAAAGACTGGAATACTTAGGTAAAATAATATTTTTTCTATCTAACCTGATCTATACGGCTCCAGATGTACAGCAAATCAATCCTCTTATTCACAGCATTTCTCGCCCAAAGTCAGCTGTGGCCTAGTGCACGGTAGAGCTCAGGTAATTCTTTTTTTTTTTTTAACAACTATTAGAAAAATCTCTCTACAAGCAATGGCTAACACTGCAATATTCATCCTAAATATTATGCTTTCTTTATCAATTTCAATGGGACATTTCAGTGTTACTTCATGGGATCGTACACCCTACTCAGTAAAATCAATGTTTTCTTCTTACCTTCCTTTGGAAGAGAAATCTTCTCCTTCCAATTGTCGCTGGTGGATAAATTCTGACCTGTGGGATCAGGCATTCTGAAACTGTCTTGTGGTGAACAACGAAGTCGCTCCAAAGTTGATTCTGAAAAAAACGATAAACAGAAACTACGATTAGGGTGCACATTAATGGTAAGTACGATTAAAAGGATACTTATCGCACTCAGCAGCTCTTCACGCTTCAAGAAGCAAAAGATCGTGGTGTAGACTGGCATAAGTAGCAATTGCAAGTAGTTTTTGGACCTATTGAATTAATAGTTTATTTGTGTAATTAACAGTGGAGCGGGGATCGCGCAGTGGTGATAGCACTTGGCTCCCACTGCTGTGGCCTGGATCTGGCCCGGTTTCCCAGAATCCCAGATCTGGCGTCATATCTTCGGGATTAAATTTTTGTTGGTTGTCGTCCTTGCTCTGAGGATTTTTCTCTGGGTCCCTCCACAAAAACTAACATTCCAAATTACAATTCGACCAGGAAATAATGGACAGGAAGAGCCATCGAGTGGAATGTCAACTGCTAAATTACTATTATAATGATTATCATTATTTGTAAAACGAACCATTTTCAAAGTGATCACTTACCAACTGTGTCTGGAAATTGCATTGATATAATCTGAATAGCATCGTTACGCTGGATCCTGTCCAAAGCATTTGCGACGTTACTTAATGTTTTCTCCGGTAAGTTAACGGCCACCCATTGAATAACTTCCTTGGTGGGACTTTTCCGCTTTTTTTCTGTCGCACCCAATTCCTGACGCACATCATCGGCGAGATGGATCCAGTTTTTGACGCCTGGTACTTCTTCGCGGTTAAGGTTTTCTGCCATTGTTTCTACAAGTTCCGGTTTTTGTGCTATTACGTCCTTCAGAAATACATCATCTACAAAGGAACAAATATCGGCAAATCGAAAACCTTACACTGTTATTTCAGTTATCTTTCAGTTCATCGATTCGCAAATGCCAAGACCTTTTAAGATCTTGGCATTTACGTTTCAAAATAAAATCTTGATTACAATTAAGAGGCAAGTTATATCTGATAATTTTTCTAGTTGTTGATAGGAAAACCATGGAAATACTGCTTGATCCCTTATCGGAAAGACTTACATCTGCATTTATGTAGCAATTCATATTTCAGAGAGAAATCCAAAGGAAAGTCCATGCTTTAAGAGGGTTAAGCCTAAGGCTACGCTAGACAGTCTTCACCGTTACCAAGGTTTTGCTGGTTATTTCCTAGAGCCTAAAAGATCATAACTTACTCTGTCTGGGATAAATTAATGTTTACGGTAAGTACCTCCTTGATTCTGTTCTTGTAGAATTTTTAGTACATCCTTCCTTTTGATGGAATCCAGGGCATCCTTCAGAGTTTTTAATTTCATTTCTGGACAAGTAATAACTAAATACCGCAATAGATTGCGGGTTGGATTATCTGTTGAACGTCGTTCAAACTCCCAACAAGTTTTTCTCGGCACTCCCAGTTTTATTGCCAAGTTGGACCAGCTTGACAATACCAGAGAGGTGACGTCTAGGGCCAATGCAATTTCATCCAAAAGGTCAGCTGTTAGTGAAGGAGCTTGAATATTTCGTGACGTGATTATGTCTTTTACTTTTTCAGAGTCAATGCACCCAGCTAAGAGAGAGGAATATACGTTACATGTTTTGGTACTATTTCGTTTTTTAGCATTACGCCTATTTCACATTATTTGTCGTCACTTTGATCGTGACGGCAGAACCGTAATGCCGGTGATCAAACCCGGTCCCATCCGAGGAAAATTCAAGAACCTTTTCAAACTAAATGGTTGAAACTTAGAAGAAAACCTCAATCTCACAGTTTAATAATCCCTCAATGCAAAGGTATGTTACTCGAAGAAGTTACAGGCGTTTAGATAGTTTTGGAAGCAACCAAGCTGCAAACTATAAAAGCAAATTTTGGAGATACTTTCGCGTGAGGGAGACAAAACTATTATTCTCTTACCAATTGTTTTCAGAAGAGCTAACGAGTCACTTAAAAGCTTTTGTGGCCATATAGTTTAGTGCTATCATCTGATAATGAAAGGAGTTTCTTCAAATGCTGCAATTAGTAAATGTAATAAACAATTTTAAACCGCACTGTAAAATGAAAAGAGCCAAATTGGCCCCAATTTCTCGAGGGCCAGTTTGGCCCATCAAGGTTCGTTTTGGACTATTTGAGCCAAAACGGGCGGGACAGGTACCATTTCGACCCCTCCAAAATCTGAATTGGCCCCTATGAATTCTACTTTGGAACTTTTTCTCAATTTGGCCCTTCCAAGCGCCAAGTAGGATTGACCAATTTGGCCCCAACGAGGTGCAATTTTTGAAAAAAAAAAAGAAAATATAAAATTAATTTTCTTTTTTCGACCATATTTCGTTCCCTATACTATTCGTTATAAAGTGTTCCTCTCGTAACTGAACACCGAGTCACACAACGAATTAATCGTTGGCTTTTTCTCGAGACGTGAGTGTGAGCTGCCTGTGATGGCATTAGTCGAACCTAGACCACGTGCGTCGGAAACAATAATGAATTATAGCAGCGAATTCGTCACTGAAGAGGCTGTTTCTTGGCTACAGTCGCATGGAATGAGACTTAAGAAAGGAAAGGTAGGCAAAAGAAATTTCTTAACAACGTATTTTACTGCAACTTTACATTCACAAACTTGACCGCTCCATTGATCTTTGTTCGTATCTTATCTTGCAGAAAAAGATGGTTGCGATGGCCAAGATCTCCTTGCCATCGCCCAAGATGCAGACGTACCAAGGCACTACATCCCTATTATAAAAGATCGTCTAAAGCTCAAGAAATTGATTGCAATGAACGCTGAACCTAGAGATGACACGAGTTCTTCGTCGGTACGATAATTAATTTTCCCACCAGAGAATTTGACGCATGAATGGTTCGCCTCTTCTACCGAGTCTTGTTGAGTCTCAGCGGTTTCGCAACTAAAGTCACGTGATCAAATTTTGGCGGTGAGAGATAGAGACGGTTACAGTTCGAATACTGCATTTGCACAAGATGGATTTAACTTATTTCAAGATTCTCTGATTTTAGGATCTCCCACTCTAAATTCTTAATCTTTTTCTTGAAAAGATGAACTGATATTTTATTTATGTCTTTGTTTGCATCTATGTCTTCTTTCAGCATTTTAAATCCACTTAAATATTTGATTGTAATTTTTGATTTATATTTTGTCTTCACTCAGGGATTTCTTAACTTCCTTTTGCAGAATCATTTTCTTTTTAGTTTTATTTGTATATAATAGTTATCATCTGCTTCTGGAAGACGGTTCAAACGTTTCGATTATGTTGATTCAAGATAACGGTTCAAACGTCGATTGATGATTCAGATAAATCAGCGATTATGAAAATTTAGAGGTGACATTGGCACCGAAAGAAAAGGGTAAATCGCCCAAGGATCTCTGTTTTACGGACAAGGCGACAGAACTGAGCACTGTCTAAGTAAGTTCTTGTATATTAAACTTAGCAGGATGGTGAAGAGTACATTATCGATTACTTTCTTTCGATTATATCCTAAAGGAAAACACACAAGGTGCCAGTTGATCAGTTAAAGATGACAAATCTATCTCGGGATTGCACCTACAAAAATGGCGAGATTTGCTTTATTTTTATTGAAATATATTAGATATGTATTTACTTGCACCATGCATAAAACAAAGTAAACCCAATTTTTAAATCTGGTAAATTAAAAATTAGTGAATTGATAGGATGTTATCAGACAGTTTAATTTTTTTGAAAACAAATATTTACCTACAGGTTCCTCCTGAATGGCTTTCAAAATTCCAACTACCATCGAGGGTAAGAAACTTTTCTTTGTTTTTTTTTTTAAGTCTACAAGCAATCCTTATTTATTCATGAATACTGAACTAAAACTGAAGTGCATAGAGAGGTGATTTCTTTTCTTGATAAGTACATATACAGTTTGGTGAAAATACATCATTGATGATCACCATTAGTGTGTTTTTACTTCCTATGCACAGTTTGCTTACAAATATTTTGCAACTTTGTAGTTGCAAAAATTTACTGTTCTCCAACAACAAATTAATTTGCTCATTTGTTTGTTTTTTTGTACAGTTCTCTGCCTCAGTAGAGTTGGATACCCAGAAGGGATATCTCATTAGCAGCCTAAAGTACTCTGAGCAACAGTGGATTGCAAAAAAAAAATTATTGCATAGTATCCTTGTATGGTTAGCAGGATACTAGACTAAGTTGACTTGGAAACTGAATGGATTGGTATGGTCTAAAAATCTATTGCTTCACCTCTTCTGTTTGCAGTGAAGAGAGACAATTTTGTGGTGATGAATCTCTTGCCTTAAACTAAAAAGTTGCAAAATGTCAGACAGAACTTTTCTGTCTGACAAGCACTTAGGCACAAAACTCAGTCACAGAGAATTGATGCGTCCTCTTTAATTCTTTAACTTAAGTGTGTATATATATATTCTTTTTTTTTTTCTGGCTACAGGCACTTTTTGCACTTTGGCTTGATTTTAATGTGGTTGTAAAACTTGTTTTTATTGTATAGAGTAGCTGATGTTGATTCAGCAATCAGAGATTATGTCCAGCACAAATTTTAATTGTTGGAGATCTTCAATACATCAATCACCTGAATATAGTAACAGAGGGAAGTGTAATTTGTCACTTCTCACAAGAAAAGATTCTTGATGCTCTCATTGGGTTACTTGGCTCATTTATATTTTCTTACAATCGGTCAAAGGCAATTTTTTTTTTTTTTTTTAGAGCAAGCATTGCTTGAAATTGGGCACAGGCAGACTCTTGTCACTGTTTCCTCTATTTTCAATGACTTGGCAAATGCCTGTGGTAGTACTAGCTGATAGTTTATATTTTGATAATATCTAAAGTAGCAATATGAGTGCATGTATTCTCACACCCACTGGAAGAATACTCTTTGCTGCTCTGAGGCTCTTTGTTTTTCATATGCACAAATCAAACAAGATCTATATTCTTGTGCAGGAACTGGACCATTTGTTGCCTCTGTCTTATTTTGATAATTTTCTGTACTTTAAATCAGTCTTAATGATAAGCTGCTTTACATTACCACATTTGCTAAGTCATTGAAAAGGGAAGCTTTACTCACAAGTGTCTCTTGGGTGTAATTTCTTGCAATGCTTGCACTGTTAAGAAGTATATTGATTTAGGGAAGAGATCTATTTTAGAAAATGGTTGAATTAATGTTAAATATGTATGTATGTTATATTCTTTCACATGATGTTTCAAAGTTTGTCTGTTTTATACCACAATTAAGATTCTTAATAACTGTAAAATCAGGTAGCATAAAAGGTTTTTACATAAACAATATCTAGAACCTAATAAATGAGTGTTTGAAAGATAAAGTATGTGGTGTATTTTCATTATTTGAATGTAAGGGGAAAATCAGCATGGAGAGGAAAGAGCCCTCTACTTCTGAAGTGGCCCACATTGGAGCTGAATTGGCTCTTTTTAAAGGGGCCATTTGTGAGAGGGCTGAAATTTCGGGGGCTGTTTTGGCCCCTATAAATTTCAAAGTGGCCCCTGTATTTTTCAAATTCACCCTTCACATGGTCCAATTTGGCCCCTACAACGGAGTCAATTCAGCCCCAAAATTGGTGCCAAAAACAGCCCCATTTCAATGGGGCCGAATTGACCCTAAGCAAGTGCCAAACTGGACTCACTCGTTTTGGCCCCATTTTTGGGGCCAAATCAACTCTTTTAATTTTACAGTGCGGAATAGATCCTTCTACTCTTGTACGCGTTGAAGATGCTCTGTTTAACATACAGGCTACATACCTTTCGTGGAAAGCAAACTAAACAAGTCGTTCCTCCTGATCTCCAGTAGCGCGTCTTTTAGTTGTTTAATCGTTAAATCCGGTTGAGTGACCTCGAGAAATTCAAACAATCGGATGGTAGGACTGTAGTCACTGTACTGTCCAAGTCTTTTAATGACATTCACGTCGACATCAAGATCCGTTGCCAACTGTCTCCAGTTGGGTACAAATCTCATTTCTCTGTCCAAGCATAGGGCCAATTGCTCTATGAGCTTTGGTCTCTTTTCAAGGATGATGGACAATTTACACTCTGTGCATGGAGAACAGAAAGATTATGAAAATTTTTAAATTACACTTTCTAACTATTAAACTAAGAGCACGAGATTATTATCGTGTGATAGTTGATGAGGGCGAATCTTGACTATCAACTTTTTAGTTTTAATCTGCTAGTCGTTCAAACCTTATCAATAAGACAAGCTCGTGCTTTTAGTTTGCTTACAAGCGCTTGCTTTTAGGCCTCTCGCCCTTCTGCCTATCACGCAATGGGTATAGTAGCGTAACGTAGCCAATTAGATTGCAGCTCTGACAGAACACAAGTAGATTTATTCGAGGCAGTGTTCAAACATGTTTTGCAAAAAAGGCAAAGGCATTGCCTCGGTTTTATAGGAGATAAGATATTTTCCATTCAAGTATCCTTTCTCCTTTGTTTACCTGAGGACTCACTCAGGCATTAACTGACGCAAGCTCAGTGACATGGCGCTGAGTCACCTCCTTAGGCCGGACGAACCCACTAAATACTATTGATTGAGATACAAAAGCATCAAACTTTAAAGAACAAACCAAATATGCACGAGCAAGATTTCAAAACAATTGAAAAAGTAAATAAGCTTTTATGATGTTATAGGCTTAGCCCATTAAATTGCACCAAGCGTAACGGGAAACTTAATTTGCATACCGTATGTATGAATACGACAAGGGTAATTCACGATGTAAATCTCAACTTGGCGCTGACTTTGCACTTATCATCGCTGATTCAAACGTTACAATAACACCAATATTCAGTTAAAGATAGTGTGAAGTATTCCACGTTTCGAGCTGGTTTTACGGTATCACTAAACTATACTAGAAGATGATGCTTAGAAGAAGATTGTAATTGACTTTTCATCGGTTTGTTGCGTCTCGTGATTCCTTCGCTGAAGCAATTTGATTTCGCAATTCCAGACTGTGTTTTTATTGTACCTGAGACCTTACAGCCTCAGTCCCTTGTGTCGACTTTTCTCAGTTACGTTTTCCATGATTTGCCGGAAAATAAGTTTGCTTCCGCCTTATATTTCAAATATGTTGCGAAATTATTCACCACAAAACTTAGACCCGTTACCTTTTCTGAGTATTTTTCATCATATAAACAACGTTACCAGGTTTTGATTACCTATTCTAATAAAACTACCACCACGCTATTTACCAAAAATTAGAAGCCCTTGCATAGTGACTCGATGATGATATTTTCAGGCGTCAAGCAGAGTTCCGCTTCGATGTTGTCGATCCAGTTATACTCTTCCTAACGTATTTCTTGTAAGATCATAAGAGTCAGAAGTTAAAGCAACTAACTGAATCACTCACCAGTTGAAAGATCACCAACAGAAGACATCTTGAAGTTTTGTCCGTTGAATTTTCTTAGTTATCTTCGCTCCAACATTTATGCAAACGAATTGCTACACAGTTGATCAGTTTGTCAAGTAATTCCACTAGCTGTTGACGAATCAGGGCTGGGAAAGTCCTTTTGGCATCTCTATTGGCTTGCTAACGGACAATCAGCTTCGCAAATGCCTCACACTGTTCGTTTCAAATTAAATCAAAACGTCGACAGGGTAACGTAGAGCTGAGTCAAGGTAACAGCATCAACTACGAGAAGCCCGATTAAAGGTGATTCACTAATGTTCCAGAATACCGAGGGGTAACCCAGTTAGGCGAAACGCGTCTAAGTCACCAAATAGAGTACAGCCTGAGATAAGATAAGATATCAACGTAGTTTGCAACTCCTAGTCTCCGCAGCTGCGATGACAATTTTTAAATGAACATGTTTAGATGAAATTTTCATTAGACAAACGAAACGCGACCGAAACAAGTAAACTGCCTTCCCCACCCCTCCCTTACTCATCCTCACTCTGTCCAGATCTCCTCTTCGAAAGTTAAGAAACTGACTCGGTGCAGCGCTTACAAGCCAAAGCAGAAGTACTCTTTTTTTTTTCAGTAAAGTAAAGCTGAAAAGACGTAAGCGAAGCGGGAGTTACGCGAACAGAAGTCATGAGGCCCTAAATTTCTTGGCTACTCCGACTCACGCGTCTTTCATTTGAATGAAAGCAATCGGAAAGCTCTGCAGTGATGACTGAGTGATGCAAGGAGGCGATAAAAACCGACTGGTGTACTAATAACTGCTCCCGTTCAGTAATAATGTCAAATGGACGCGCGTTTTGATGCTCCGTTCGGAGCCCAAAGTACTCTGTAAGGGTGAACGATTTGAAACGGATCGATATCTACGCTTTAATATGCGAATGCACAAGGTATCAGTTCGATATCAGTGCATCTTTAAGTTTATTTTTGACGGGAATTTCCCGTGGGTCATCGTGAGGTTGAAAGGAAGATATCAAATCTGCGGATCATGCGAAACAAAGGTTGTGGTTTCTGTAAAGAGCAATTATTAGACAGTTAAAATTTTAGTTTTGGGTAATGCACGATTCTGCAACAAGAATCGCGGTTTGATGGAGTCTCAAGCTAGTTTAACAACTGCGTTTCCCAATGACACAAATTTCACGGATGGAACTCTTCCTAAGACCTTGTCTGCTGTTACAGCTTCCCTCTCCCTCATGGGATCCTTCACAATCTTTCTCACGTTCTGGATGTCGCCCGACTTGCGAACTACAGCTCGCAGAATGATCATGTTTATAACAGTCGCCGATTTCCTGTTTTTTCACATAACGGCTTGGGGAGTACCTTTTGTGATCACTGTAGCTGCCTATTTCTTCAACGGAGTTCAATTTTTGGCAGACCTTGAAACTGGGTACAAGTGCTGGATCTGGAATGAAAAAACTTGGCAGACAATGTGCATCTGGGCAGCTATTACAGGAGAGGGCTGGGCCATCATGACATACATAACCATGACTGTGTTTTATGTACTGGTCAAGCAGCACATAAGAAGAGAGGTATGTAAAAAACTTCAATATGGTTAAAAAAATTCGATTAAAAGAGTACTCAGAGGAATGTAAAAGAGTGCTCAGAGAAATATTAAAGATTGTCCAGAGCATTTAATAGGTTAATTCTGCACTCGAGCTGGGTGGGTCATTCAGCTGGAGCCTATCCTGATTTCTGTTGCATTAGTGACAAGGGTTCCAATCCATCTCAAGGTTATCCTCATAAGCTTTGGTCAGGCTTTTATATCCCAAAGATTAGACAAGCATGGGGAGAGTTCAATATGCATAGTATCCAATTTCTTCTTACATTATAACCCTTGAATCAAAATCAAATCAAATAAAAAAACCCAATTCTTCCAGCCATTACCTTTAAAAAAATTTATAGAGAACAGTATGGAGTATATGCAAACTGATGTTACTGTGTAAAGCAGTAAGATAAGTTTAATGCCAAAAAAATATAACATAATAACCTGGTCAGCACTCCAATTGGGACTTCTTTGTCAAGTCTTCAGAGCATTACCCAGTAGCTGGGCTAAATTTCATTCCACTGAGGATATGAATGAGATGAGATTCCAATCACTTTATTGGTATACACTTCAGTCAATGTAGTGGGGAAATTTACACTTTTAACCCTTTAACTCTCAAGATCTGATTGTTAATTCTCCCCTCTAGCTGCTACACATTTCCTTTCAAATAAGTTGCAAGAATTTGGTGTGAGATCAAGATAACAACTTCTAGCTGATACATTTGAGTATTAACATTACCTGTTTGTTGGATAGTGCATGGATATTGTAGGGAGAAATTACTTGTTAATCACTTTTGGGAGTTAAAGGGTTAACTTAATACTGGTAACTAGTAACTTGGTTCTCTTTCTCAGACTCTGCTTACACTCTTTCACTTAGCACCTGTAGCTCCCTTTTTCTCTTTGATAACCTCATGATCAGTCTAGCTGGCAGAGCTACATTGTAATGAACAATTTCTTTTCTCTTTGTTTTAGCTTACGTCAAGATTTTATCCAGGAGGCACATTTTTTACGTGGAAATCTGCGCATGTTGCAAGAATGATAGACTGCAAATTAACATTTATTCCCATCATATTTATCCTGCTGTGTATTTGGGGAACCATATGATTTTTTCCTCCTTGTAACACATTTTCATGATTATAGTAAGGAAATTTTACTCTCCAGTGGCTTGAAATTCTTCATGTAAGTAACACTGCCCCGTACTATTACTGAAATACTGATTGATGGACCTCAGCCGCCCTTGCGAACTGAATTCCCAGTTTTCTGGGAATTCCTAGGAATTCTAAAAAATTCCCAATTATACAAATGACCCTTGCAAACTGAATTCCCAGTTTTCTGGGAATTCCTAGGAATTCTCAAAAATTCCCAACTATGCAAATTAACTCTGATTTAAAAAGCTTGGAATTACTGGGAATTTCTGGGAAAGGAAGACTCCAGTTTTGTGAGGACTTGGAATCCCTTGGAATTCCTAGGAATTCTCAGCTTTACAAACTACCTATAATTTAAGAAGTGTGGAACTATTGGGAATTTCTGGGAATTGAATTTGAGGCAATTTTAATACCCTGAGGTCCACATAAATTCTAAGAAATTCTCAATACCTTGAATGTGAAGGTTTTAAGAAAAGGAGTAATTTCAGAGGCTTAAAACTTTGGCTCAATAAAAGGTATGCTATACAAAACTTACCAAGAGATATACATACATGTATATGTTTATAACTTAAAGATCATGAAATTTATTATTCAAACTAAGTTTTAGTAAATCTTTACATTCATTAACATGGATTTTCTCATGAACCAGCTGTCAGTTATGTTAAATGGAAATTGCCAATTAATCCAATGTACTTATATCACAGATTTGCTTTCTAACCTCAAAGGACTCTTGGATTCCATGATCAAAAAATATTTTTATTGTGATGCAAATTAATGTCTCATGTTCACTGATGAACACTTCACACTTCATCAAACATTCATTGGCTGTTCCTTGGTACACAACTTCCACAATAATTACATTGTTATCTACACTTAAAGAACTTTGTTAGTTATAAACATAAGTTACTTCCCTAACCTACATTACTGGTTGCCTTTGTTAGAAAACCTTGGAACAGTCAAGCTCAGTTGCCTCAAACACTGTCAGAGACTTTTTGTTGACAATATTTTTAGTAGAAATTTCATGCCTTAGACAAACAAATTCAACACCTAATTAATCTTTCTTTTTTCATGATTGTTGTAGCTGTTTTTTTTTTCAGTTTTTTGCTCTGTTTTCGTGACTAATTGCTGTAATTTGTTTTGCTGTTTTTATTCTTACAAAACATTTTTGTAAGAGTTCCAATACTTGTGGATCATCCACACACTTTGCAAACATTTGGCATGCAGACAAGACAGAGGTAGTCAATGTTCCCTTTGAGAAAAAACACCTTTTAAATGACATCTTCAATTTACTTTATTTGAAACTCTGATCTGAAAATATTTGTCAACAAAACTTGTTAGTAGTGAGAAGTACCGACCAAGTTTCCTTTCATAACTTAATTTCTTAAATGTCCTAATCACTGGATCTCCCAAAAAATATAACATCTTTTTATTTTTGGTGCAAAATACAAGTCCTTCTTTATATAAAAATGAAAATTGCAAGTTACACTTCAATAATAACAGCTCTAAAGTTTACTTGTTGTTCTTCTCTGTCTGTCAGCTATCAACAAAACTGTTTTATACTTCGGACAGTGCATAACTATTTGTGGACCAGAGTTCCAACGCACCTCTGTAATCGCATATAGTTACTTCTGTCTCTTGTACAAATGTTTCTCCTTTGTAAGACGTACTCTACTCTGTTGTCACTACTGCTTTAAGTTCAATGGAAACGACTGACTGAGGAATCGAGATGGCGGTGTTGGAACATGTTGCTGAACGCTTGCTACGGTCAAGCTTTGTAGATTTAGGTACTGGTACACTGGGATCATCTATGTATCTCTTATACTTCCTAATGTGGTATCCTTCTTTTATAAATATGAGGGTAAAAGACGATTTGTAGTTGCATTCAGAACTGTGATTGGCTTGTGTTATTTCTCACCTTTGCCATGAACACAACTCGAGTGAGTTTCGAGTCTTTGTTTCCTCGACAATTTTCGGCTACAAATCGTGCATTTGTAATACGATCGATTCTTGTCGATTATTTCTACATAGAGTGAGCTCACATCATTATTTATATCACCAAGGTATCCATCGTCTATAAGCAGAGAACCGGTCGGAGAAGTCAAAATGAAGTTGTGCGCTTCTTTTAAGACTACAATCGGTAAGCCAGCGGATTCACTTTGCTAGCCAATTACAAGTCCTAAAAGATCCACGTGATCATGCCCGTGATCGGAAACAAAGAAGACTCCATTTGGCGCTCATCTTTGAATGTACTTTTCATCGGTTGATCGTTTTTCTCAACTGTTTTGCTTAAAATAACATTTCTAAAGATAGCTTTTATTGTGGTTCAATGGGAAAACGAGAACAGCGTGAGTGTTGTAAAAGAAATGAAAGTCGTTGGCGCCGTGAAGTTAAAAGAAGGGACAACAGTTGACATATTGACTGGTACAAACAAGGGTCGAGTGGCCATCTGTAAAGCTACGATTTTGAAAGTTTGTGGTGAGTAAAAATTGCGATATTCGTTTCGTGATCAAAATCTTATAAAAGAATAGATGTAGCGGGTTGAATTAAGCTTACATAACGCTCGGCGCAACTGAAACTAGAATAATTCTGAGAATCGAATCGGTCACTTGCATGCCGCAGTTTCTTAAGCTTATGCTTTACAATGAAATAAACCTATCAGCAAGGTTTCAAGATTCCTCTAGTCACGTTTGGGAACATTTAAGATTCATAACAGGAACTGTTATTAAACAAACCTTGTTACATAAAGAAGCCCTCCTTGGTAAAAACAAAATAATGTATTGAGCCCTTTTTTAGTAAAATATATGAGAGAGATGTACTAACTCCAATGTAAAAGTCACTCAATATAACAGAGATTTCTCAATTTGAGAGTCCAATGAATGCCCTTTTCCTCATAGCCATCTTAAAGGCCTGGTCTGAAATTTAAATATATGTATTTAAATATATTATTTTTTTTCAAATTCAGATGTCATGGAACCCAGATACAAAATGGTCAAGCTTCTTGTAGACAACCTCATTCAAGGCCAACTCATTGTGAGCCCAGGGAAAAAATACATACAGCAGCTAAGTTTGCAGTTTAGGATAACTTCATTCTAATTTATTGTTACAGTTACAACAAGATTTTAATCAAAAAATCAATTTTATTTGTCTGTAATTAACCCCTTCACTCCCAAGAGTGCTTGGTTTTCAAATATAATTTAAGATATTGTATTTTATGGAAAAGAATCAACAGATTTTATTCACAATTTGTGTCAAACCAAATTTAATGATTGATTAGGACTATTTTATATGAATAGCTGTAATTGAGGTTTAATCCATATGAAGTTTTCAAGAAAAGAAAAATCAAATTCCATCCTAATATTACCACATGTTGATGTTATTAATGAATCAAAAATATTTTAAATGTAAGCTTTAATTAAGCTTCTAAATAAATTTCATTGAATACTTGAATTTTAGCTGGGTTTTTTTTAATTTAAAGTATTTATTTTATATCATTAGCCTCAAATTTTTGCTTACATTCCTAAAAATTCTCAAAAATTCCCAGAAATTCCATGGAAATTTTTAGATTTACAGCTTTTCAGGGAAAGTCATTGGTTCTCTGGGTTGGAATTCCAAGTCCTGTTGGCTATAAACTTGGAATTTCTGGGAATTTCTAGGAATTTCTAGGTTTTTAGAACCAGAGTTGTTATGGTTGGGAATTCCTAGAAATTCCTAGGAATTCCCAGTCCAAATTTACCATGAAAATTCACACCTTTGTTCCCAGGAATTCCTAGGAAAAAATTCCTAGGAATTCCTAAGAATTCCAAAAGCCATTTCGCAAGGGTGTAATATTCTTGTGTTATTCAATGCATCAGTAAGATTTAATCGCTAAATTATAAACACATGGTCTTCTTCATGCTCTGGAGAGTTTGCAGGTCCTGATTGTTTGAAGCTTGGATAACACTATCCACTGGGTAAATCTCTGTCTGGTGGACAGTGCAGTACATTTTGCAATCACTTATCTGCTATGTGAGAAACCTGCTTGTTGATTTTAAACCCCTGTGGTTGTCTATAAAAGCCAATTCCACATATCTCAACTATGTGCTTTTGTATTTACCCAAATTTATGGCTTGTGGCCACAATAGTTTTTTTTGGTTTGGTGGGGGAGGGAAAAGGGGGCTGCATTAACTTAATTCTTAACCTTTTGTCCCTAATGAGGTACTTGCATCTAATTTCTCCTTACAATGTCCCCCCTGAATCACACTTTTAGGACACAAGAATAAAGGAAATGATCACCAACTAAACAAACTCTTGATTGTTGAACAAATTCTCCTTGTCAGTGCCTTAGGAAATGTATAGAAAATAGTACAGAGAATATGCAAAGTGATGTTAGAGTAGAAAGGGTTCATGTATAAACCAAGTTCTGTGTTTTTCTTCCAGGGCATTGGGATTAACAGCCAAGGATTTACAAATTTCATCCTGTTTGTCTGGTGTACCACAAAGATAAGAGAAAAGTTAATAATGGGGTGTGTTCATTTTTTTGCAGATGTCATGAAAGAGATCAACCAGTAATAAGCAGAGAGAGGTTTTATAAAACATTTAGTAATGAATTGATACTATCATAGTTACCTGAATTACATTTATATACTTGTCATTTAGTTACATATCTGAATTATTTGCCAAGAACTAACAGTTATGACAAACGTGTTGTTACTGAAATTTTTACAACTGTTTGGTTACAACTGAGTTTTTTTTAAAACTTAACTGGAGTATGTAGTTATTTTTTACTCTTGTGTATGTTTTTCCTATATTAAAATAAAAACTTTAATTCATTGCTTTTAAGCATTGCTACACCTCAGGGAACAACTATACTTATAAATGATATCCTCAATTAATGGAATTACGGTTGGATCGCATCATGATTAGATCGCTCTAGCCAAAAGTTAGATTGCTCCACTTGAAGGCTAGATCGCTCCATCGATGAAGTGAATTCGCTATCAAAATAAGTCACTTCGCTCAAAGTAGAAAACTAAGATGAAGGTAGCAAATCTATGGTATCTAAATTGATAGTTCATTAAATGATGAGCATATCTTACCTAACAATCGATTAATATCGCTCGCTTGCTCGCGCTTGAAATAAATCCGAGCTTCGCAGTAAGAGTAGATAAAGGCTCATGTAAGGGACTCACGAAGTGTAATCAACTTTATTAATTAAAGATGGCGGATATCAGTTTCCTTACATCAAACAGCAAAAAAGGCCACACTAGACAGTATCGGTATTTGAATGTTCTTTTTCAATACACTTCAGACTATAACGTTATAATTTATTCCACGATCATTTATTCCATCATCGCTATACATCGTACATCGGTAGCTCGGTGAATACGACATGTAAGACACATCATCAGCTATAAACTTTGAAGATCATCGGTAACTAGTAGTACCTCTCATTACAACATGGAGCGATAAACTTATGTTGGTAGCGAAGTAACTTATTTGATGGAGCGATCCAACTTTTGGTCGGAGCGATCTATCTGCGAGCGATCTAACCGTGGTGCGAGCTAACCGGATACCAATTAAAGCTGTGAATAAAGTTCAATATCAGTGGGGAAAGTACTGTATGATCAATGTCTGTTCTATGGATATGCCCTGGATGAGCTTACCTTTTTTTCTCTCCTTTAGTCCTTTGGCTCCTAATTATTTCCCATACAATTTTTATGATAGCGAAATGTTTTTCGCCTAGTCGTTAGCATGGAACCAAGGAGACATTGTTTCCTCACAAGGACTCAGGATTTTTTCCTTTTGCCGCGGCCATGCTCGAGACAAGACACAAAAAAGTTCCATAATTACAATGATACTTTTCTATTCAACTTTCAACTTTTTGGTAGTGGATGAACTAACAATCTCCTTATCGATGCTTTTCTTTATTCCCACTACTTTTTGGCTTGATTTTGTAAGGAGAAATTCTGTCTCGGTCACTCATAAAAGTGAAAGGGTTATAAGCCACTGTAATTGAACTGAAATCACACACCGGTCAAAAAAGTCATCAATAAGCATTAACAACACGCCATCGTTATTTTGAAAAATTTTAAAGCAGCTTGTCTAGTGACGTTTCAATTCACCTTTTTAGGCTTCAGATCTCACCTGTAGTGCCACGAAACTTTTTATGTAAACAAACCGCAAAAGTTCGGCCAAAAAGTCAACCACCCAATACCCGTGTGCGAACTTCGGCCTCGACATTTTGTTGTAAATAATTTCCACTGTCGTGAAGTGTTTCTATGCTCAAAATTCCGTTCTTTTTTGTTTCATATGTTGATTATTAATCAAGCGAGTTAATATGTCGCTACCACGAAGATTATAGTAGTTCTGCGTGCGAACAGTGATGTATCTGATTAGTTATTTCCAGCGGGGGAGCTAAGCGCGTAGATTTCAAGTAATCCCACGTTTGGGAGGAAATTTGTGCCTACGAATCGCTGTAGAACGTGAGCAAGCCTTGATTACCACACGGAATTTCGTATTGTATCGTATTGTGTAAATCTTAAATCCGCTTTCTTGGAGGTCAGATAAAAAATGTTCTCTTACCTATGGTTTTGGGCTGTGTCTTAAGTGGTTTAGTATTTTTCAGGACGGATGATTCCTTGCATCTGGAGGAGTGTTAAGGAAGATGAAGGGTAGGAAGTCAGCGCCCCAGGAACCCATCATGACAATGATGATAATATTTGTAATATCAATAATAGCGCTGATGATAGTAACACTATTAACAACGTCAACGATAATGATGGCTATAAGAATGATAATGATTTAGGAAAGGTCATTAGAACCTCTAGAAGTGTCTGCTGATCACTCGATCCCAGACCCCGTGCAACATTATCCTTCTTTTTAATTATCAGTCATATCTCTTTCTTGGTCGTGATGAAATAATCTTGTGTTCCTGTTTACTTCAGTTTCAAGGAAAAGAATTAATGAATAAATAAACAAAAAAAGAATACAATCTAATTGGACTCATTTCCGAGTACAACAATAAATCTTAAAGGTGAAGGATGGGGTAAATTAAATTCTAGTTGATGACCCTCGTGATTAACGATTCTCCTCTTCAGTTTAAGAACGCGGGCTTAGAGGAAGAAGATGTTCTGGCCAACCTCACGTGACAGTAATTTATGCGTTGATCAATTCGAAGCTTCAACATCCGCCCCGGGCTTCCCCGGGCATTTGAACTTTTAAAGATTAGTTCGTTTACATAATTTTCGTTATAATGACAGAAAGAAACCAATATTTTGGTTTCTGTGCGATATTTATTAAAGCTATTTTTTACCTCAGTGACGATGAAAATGGTTAATATCTACCTCACGGCTTAACCCCTCGAGAAAATGGCTACCTCTAATCACATCCACTTCGGTGAATAGCTGTTAATATTCTACAAAGCTCTGCTGCATTCATGGTAAATTAATGTTGACCAACTAAAAAGTTAAATTTTACGTATAAAAATTGTTGGACGAAGCAATACATTGACCGTTTTTGTTTAAGAATTCAGTGTCGTATCAGAAGATTCGTTTAAGGACGTCAAGGACAATTGAGGCCGGAGATTCTACATGACATGGGCAGTGCATTTGAACTTTTCAATCCTGAAAGACCTTAAACTCCGTAAGAACTCGTTAACAATATTACCGAGATTTTAAGAAGTTCACTGATATCAATAACAAGTAAGCTGAAAGACTAATTTCCCGTTTTGCCAGTGCTTGGTATTCTTAGATCTCAAGCCATTCCGATGCAAGTAGTAAATATTTTCTTGAGGCTCCTATTGAATTAGTTATTTACAATAGGAATTAAATGAATTAGAGTAAAAATAATCGCCTAAAATATTAATTTAATTAATTATCAAATTAATCCCTGCAATTCACGTTTCTCTCACTAGTTCACACATGTTAATTTTTTCTATTTTCTTTTTCTATCTCATTTTGTATAAAAATGGTAACCGGACTTTTCGCCAACGAGTCGTTTCGCCAACTGTACTTTCGCAAACGTCTCCTGGTCAGTTCGCAAACCTTTAGAAGTCAGTTCGCAAACGTTATAGACATTTATATGTCAACCTGCTTTTTAATTATGTGGTTCAGAATACTATATTATGCGTAAATTATTGGGTGTGAAATTTAATGTTACAAACATTTACATGTCAACCTGGGTTTAACTATACGATTCAGAATACTACGATACTGACACGTTGCATGCGTAAATTATTGAATGCGAAATCTCATAGCTAATTTCTCGCTTAATTATATTTTACAATCAAATGGACAGTGAATGACGCACCAGACTGACCACAAGTCGATTGGATACAAACAGACCGCCATTTTGAAGTTGCTTTATTTCAACCCAGTCCTTTATGTGATGGCACCGACAGGTGGCAAAACCGGGGATGCCAGACAGGCTTCACGAGGGAAGACTACAGGCATGCAGTGCGATCAGTAGAGGAAAACGTTTTCGTAAATTATTGGTTAATTTAGTTAATAGTAGTTAATATAATGACTTGAAATTTTCTTTATAAGGGCAGGTGTCACTCTAGTCGCCCACGCGTCCCCGCATGTAATAAAGTAATTTAAATGAATCGGTTAATTTGATTGTAGTTGACGTCGCTTGTTTATAACGTATGCGAACTGATTTCTACAAGTTTTTGAATTGACTAGAGACATTGGCGAATCGACTCGTTGGCGAAACCACCAACATTCATAAAATACTTGTAGGTTTTCCTTTGTGTCTCGAATACTGACTTCTGAGAAGATTGAAGTGTCAATGCAGAGACACAAAGAGAGAGAAAGAAAGACTGACATGTTTTTAAGCCTAGCTTTAGCGCTTGCGGCAACCAAAACAAATCTAATTCCTAAGGCTCCAAGGGGTGTCGCTCCAAGACGCGGTTAATGAGGTGTTTGGGGGCTATTTTACGATCGAGATCGAGGAATAACAAACCAAAGTTGATAGTTTATACGAATCTTTATTCTTGAAAGCAATCGACCACAAACCACAATCAACGATCAATCTCACAATCAGTTGTAAACTGAAACAATAAAACAAGTAAATTCTATCAATCTAGTGAAATGCTGCGAAATACTTAATAAAAAAATTGCGCGTAAAAAACTGAGCCTTAACGCCGATAACGAGATTAGAATGACAATGAATAATACAAAAAACCAGTACAAACTACGTTAAAGTACAAAAGTTTCGGTACAAAAATTACAAGAATCTTGGTGGCTGGTTAACAACCCATTGTTCTTATCCAAATGGTGGGCTTTCACTTTCATCTGATACAATTTTGGCATTTTAATCTTAAATCAATTGAAAATAAGGTACTACAACAAAATGTCTGTTTGTATACTTTTGCCCAATACTGAGAAACTAAACTTTAGAAAACAAAGTTATAAAGGTTTTCACATATCGTTCCCTCTTATGCCAAAGTTTTAAGAAAATGAAAGGAAGAAAGTTTACCAAGACTACTCAAAAACTTACGAAGAACTGATTACAGGGACGCTAAACTCGCCTTTTATATGCGCGTGGTGACGCTGAGAGGTCCGATTACAAAACCAATAAAAATATAGACAAACAGATAAACATTGTGACTATGTTCGTATCTAGGATCATTCTGAAACTATTAAATTAATCACTAATCAATTCAATAATGAGCCTTCTGGCTAGTGTCCTTAACACTGGCACTTTACTGACCGCAGTGAGTAACAAACCAAATCAATGAACGGAAACTTAGTAAATATCAAAGCATTGATTCTCTTTGTTCAATCGATTGATCTATTGTCAAATCTACATCCTAAAACGGTTTAATGCAAAAGGTTTTTCTACAATGCTGAATTCCGTGGCTTTGAGGGGAAAACATCTATCTATTCGCTGTCTCGTTCTTGGGTCCTCAGTTTATCTAAAGGAGCCTCCCAAGAATCTAGCTTGCTTGCGCACTCCCCCGCGCGATTTACTTCTTCTTCTGCCTCTTTGTTTCTTCCAAGAGCACAAAGAACAATCGACATCGCTTGGTGGGTGTGAATCAGCTCGTCCTGTGTGTCTAACACTTTTTCTTGGTAATCAACTGCCTTTTTCAGGTAGTGGAGGGCTCTAAGAAAGATGCAACGTCAAATAATGAATTTCCTAGACGTTTTTCCTCCAAAAGAGGTGTCACATATCTGCTAGTGTTTTTACCAAGCGAGATTCACATCCATATGATATATTCTCTTAGGAAATGTTACATCATTCCTCATCTTACCGTTCAAGAAAGAATTCTGCGATGAAAAATATTTGCGTCGTGATACAGTCTTTTAGATATCACCTTTGAGTCATTCACTGCAATTTGCTAAACCAAAATACAAAAAGTTTGAGGTTGTACAGGAAAATTGACTCGACAGCAGCAAAATTAGAAGATAAGGACGTGATCTAACAAGCAAACAACACACGCATCGCAATTGTCGCTAAACTACCTAAAAACTTGTCGACGCGGTAAGAATACAAAGAAACATTTTTGGACCAAATGAGCACGCCTCGAGAGTAGTTTTCTTCCCCTCGTTCTTGACTACCATGTGTTCCTCTAATATTTTAACAATGGGAAATTCATGTAAACTTGACATTTTGATGGAGTTGCATTGATTACGATGAAAAGTTTAAAGGAACAAAGGCACGAAGAATAAAAGTTTTTGCAAGGGTCGATATTGCTTGCACTCGATTTTGTTGTTAACCTTTGCTAAGAGGGTATCGGATCTACAAAATGCCTTACAATAAATAGCAAACTATGTTTACTCACGTTTCGTAGTCCTGTTTCGCGCTGTAAGCCACACCCACATCATACAGAGACTTCGCAGTTTCCTGATGTTGCCCCAACAGTTGCCTTCGGATTGAAATTGATCTGCTGCTGTATTTAATGGCGTTGTCGTAGTCACCCAAGGCGTGGTAACTGTTACCAATCGAACTAAGAGTGGTTGCCGTAAAAGGGTGGTCACCGAGGTTCTCTTCATAAACAGGAAGGACATGTGACAGCCTTGTTTGGATGGCCATCATGTGTTTTCGCTGCACCATTTGAGAAGCTGCGAGTCAAAAAAAAAAAGCGATCAACCAGAAGAGTGCAATGACTAAAATGGCCAAATTTTAAATAAAAATAGCCAGGGATTAAGGAAGATACAATGAGGCGAGAATGGAAAAATATATTTTTTTTATTTCTCTCCTATAAAAGCCACCTGCTAAAACTAAGAATATTGCGTAGTTTGGACGAGAACTTAAAAAATGCAAGCTCTCTTCGATATTTTCAAATCAATTTCTCTTTTATTTTAGCCCACTTCACTAATCAATTTTCAAATTCACCGCCGGCGGCGCAGTCAAGGTCCCGGATATGTCTTTGCATTCTGGGCGATGATGTAGAGAGGTTGAGAGGTCGTTGGTCAAAAGAAAAAAAAAAGAAACCAGAATGATGCAAGGTCGATCGCCTGTCTATTTTTAAAACTGCGCTTTTTATTTAACTTACAAGACCCGCATTAGCCATACCAATTGAGTACTAGAGTGGTGAAGGAAAATGGCCTTGAGTTCTTTCTACACAACAGCATATGCCACCAACATCACCTCCTAATTGTTGCATCAATTTATCTAAATGGTACTTAAACAATTTCGTTCGTAATGAAGCTTGTGCGAGGTGCTCGTGGATCTTATTGCTAGCTTTCATGGAAAAGATTCAATGGGGATAACTTTCCGCAGATGATTCCCCTTTACGAATAGATCTTACCATGAAAGCATTAAGAAATTTAATTGCCACTAACCTGCTACATCGTTGAAACAGGCAGCTAACATGACATGATCTTTGATCCTGTTTAGTTTCTCTACTCTGTCCCGTCGCAATTTCAAGGCGATCTCGAGATATTCATAGCCCTCATCAACGCGCCCCTCGCGAACATAACAAAATCCAAACTTGCTCATGCACTGGGCACGAGTGGTGTCCTTCACGTCCATATGTCTTGATTGAATGTCAATTGCTTGAGTCAACATTTCTCTGGCCTGATACAAGGCTCTTGGACAAATGTGTGGGGTACATGTGCAGCTTAACACTATCTTCATTCCGATGTTCGTCAAGCAAGCACTGTAGAGGTGCAAGTGGGAGCGACATTGATACGCAAGCTTGCAAAAGAGCGACTGAAATTCTTGTTTGCGCATCACCTTGGCAAGAAATCCAGCAGCCTCGTTAAAGGCGTCGATGCATTGCTCCCTGAAAGTTTGGTCAAGCTCAGGATGATCGTCTCCACACCAAGCCATGGCTTCCCGAATGTTGTCCTTTTCAGATCTGTACTGATCAATTGCCAACTTGCAATCGTTACTCAAGAATGTTTCGCAAAGTTTAACAGCCAAGTCACTGTAATGACGAATGAAGGTTGATTTGGCGTCCATGTGATCGGACTTCAGTGAAAAGAAATCTCGTATGAAAGGATGGAAGGAATACTGACAATTTGTCCTGTGGAAGCGAAGGAGGTTGCTATGCCCCAAGGAATTTAGGCAAGTTTGCAAATCAGCCGTGACAGATGACCCAAAGACTGCTTGAAATTGCTCTTGCGTGAATCTGTGTGGAAATGTTGAGAGCATCAAAATAATCTTCTGATTTTCTTGACTTAAGCGATCAAAACAGATTTCAAGAGATTTGGCGATGCGATCCTCGTTGGCTAAAAGTTCTCTAGCAAGACAACTAGGTGAAGTTGTGGAAAGTTGGGTCGCTTTCTGGGGATTTTCTCCCTTTAGAATCGAGATCACTGTGCAGATCATCAAGGGAATACCACCACAAACGCTGACCAGCTCCTTAATCAGATCGTCGTCCAGGCCATCCTCACACTTTGAGAACATAGAGGCTGAATCATTGTCATTCAGAGGTTCTAGGTTAATCAGTTCGAAAGGAAGAGACGCATTGAAATCATAGGTTTCTCGTGATGTGAGGACAAGCTGGATGTTTGGACTTTGTCCGAGGTATTTTAGAAATGTCAAAAAGTCGCCCTGCGTGACTTTACCCCACATTTGAGTACAGCAATTTTCAGATTTTAATTCCTGATGGTATTTATCGTTGCTCAATTGATCCTCAAGATGCAGTAAGTTGTCAATGTTTTCAATGATCAACACAACACTTTTTCTCTTTAGAGAAGATATGCAACTTAATGCTTCAGTTATTGTGTTTTCGCCAGGAACGTACCCTAGAGTCTCGATTATTTTGCTTGCTAAATCTTCTACACAAGTGACACCTCGAGGTTTAACGTACGCGACATACGTTTTCCTTTCGATCATCCTATGAGCGACCTCTATTACCACCGACGTTTTCCCATATCCAGGTGGTGCTACAATTTCAACAGCCATGTTTGAAGACAGGGCAGTTATGATACGTTCGCATGTTTCATTGCGGCCCACCAAATCAATCCGATCTGGCAAGTTACCATAATGACCAGATTGTTCCTTCACTTCTGCAAGTGAAAAGACAGAAAGACCATTTAAGACCATTTATCCCTTTCCACTATTCATTGGAATAAAGCACAGCAGCCCAATAAAAAGGAAGAGCAACTCTGGTGACAATAAGAGTGTGAGTTTAATAGTTGCGTGGAAGTTGGTAGGAAAAACAACAAAACTTTGGATCTTGCTTTCACTTATATACGTTCCACAAACAGAAAATGCCACAGATAAACCTTTTGTAGACGGAAGGTTTAGAAGGGCTAAACGCTTTAAGCATTTCTCAGAAATCGAGCAACTGAACTCTTTGGGTAATCGGATCCTAAGTTAGGGAAAATCGCCGTTTGTAAACGTGGTTGTTGATTTTGCAATTTTCAAAACATGATTTTGGCATGAAATTGCCTTTGGCTTAAATTCAGGCGCAAACAGCCTTTAATAAGCTTTCGCATTTTGAATGCGACCATGGTGATATACTGTTCAAGATTGAAAACACCACTTGAAGTGGGGAGAAGGCATTAAGCGTGAAGCTGTTAGTAATCTACCGTCGTATACAAGCTACAACGACATAAACATCAACATATAGTTTTGCGAAGATTACTTTTTGATGAGGTTTCTATCCACTTAGCTCCTCGAATAACTGAGCTAAGTAAGGACAAAGAAATGATGACAAACCCATTGAAAATGACTGTTCCTAGTTACATAATCATAGCACAATTTCGACCAAGGCTTCTTAACTAGCTAATTCTATGAACATCACGGGTGAATTAACGCTTTCCTTCTTACCTTTGTTAGGAAAGGAATCCTGCTCTTCTCTCTCGAAGCTAGTTGAAAACATCTGACCAGTCGGATCTGGCATGGTTAAGCTGTCCTTGAATGAACGACCAAGTCCTTGCAAGGCTGAATCTGAAGGAAGAGAAAAGGTATTCAATGTTATGAGAGGATAGCTTAGTTAAGTCGATCTTACTTCGCATGTGCGAGAGTAGTTTTACGGACCTTGAGTTGTAAAAAAAAAAAAATCAGAGCTAGAGAGTCAGAGTTTAAGATGTATACATAGGACTTTTTGTGTGTATAATTAATTTTTTATTGTTCCTGTTTTTTTTTTTTTTTGTAAGCGTTGTTGTGACATCCAAAAAAACCTAGCATGTGCCTGTACCCGAATACTTTTCTTCTAGCCATCTCTTGTACAAGGGGTACGAGGTGATGCACATTAGAGATCATGGCTTGTATAACAAAAAGAAGCAGGCTTGGGCATAAGAAACTGAAAGTGCCGCACCGAGGAGTCAAAGAGATTATTTCAGGAAAGGCAAAGACTGAAACTGTCCAATAAACCCCAATGTACTTATATCAGCGAGAACCTACCAACTGTGTTGGGAAAATACTTGGATATTATCTGTATTGTGTCATTTCGCTGAATCTCATCTAAAGCTTTTGCAACGTCACTTAATGCTTTTTCAGGGAAGTGCGCGGCCACCCATTCTAGAACCTCTTTTGTAGGACTTTTCCTGACTTGTTTGACATTAGCAAACTCCCGACGCACGTCAGCTGGTACTTCCATTTTCCAGGCCAGATGTGTCCAGTTTTTGACTCCGGGATTGTCCTCTCGATTAAGTTCTAGCGCCAATCTTTCTAAGAGTTCCGATCCAGGGGTTATGATATCCTTAAGTAACATGTCGTCTACAGAAAAATAAAGGTATCCACAGATCATTAGTAGTTAACTTTCAAGAAAAGGGGCCTCAGCGCGGAGAGAACTTTTGTCCAATCGATTCTTGAAATACTCATGCGGCCAATTGCATATTGAGCTCTTCATAGTTAGGGACCACCTGAAAAACAGGAGAGTCTGACTTTTCTATCGATAACTTAGAAACAAAATCCAGGCTGCAAAGGTGCTAGGCGTCGTTAAACTTAAGTTATTTGTGATGCAGTGCTCGACACTTTACCTCTCAGTTTCTCCTCATGAAGAAAATTCACCAGATCCTTTCTCTTAATAGAATCCAGAGCTTCCTTAAGACTTAAAAGTGTCTTTTGTGGGCAAGTTGTAGCCAAATGCTGGAACAATCTGCCGGTCGGATTTTCAGTCGATCGTCTCTCAAACGTCCAGCAGGTTTTTCTAGACACACCCAGTTTTAACGCCAAGGTATACCAGTTTGACAAAACCAGTGACGTCCTGTCTAAAGCTAACGCAATTTCGTCCAAAAGACTAACTGTGGGTGAAGGAGCTTCATCACTTGGCGAAGTGATCACATCAAGAACTCTTTCAGTGTCAGTGCAACCGGCTGATAGTCAAACAAATTAAGAGAAACATACTCAGTATGAATTCCTGAGAACCTTTTTGATAAACTGCCACACACAGAGGAAAAAATTTAAATAAAAAACAAATAAAGATACGTCACACTCGTGATGAGCAGAATTCCATGCACTGTTTCACAATACTCACAATTCTCCCTTATATAAAATTGAACAGCTGTGAAATGTAGCCAGGAAATTACTTAGTTATTAATCCAACATAACAATCCTTCAAGTTTTCAAAAGCTCCCTAAAATCTATTAAATTTAGACAGTTGATCAATGGGTCATTTTTCAGTGAGCCAATACCGTCCCAAAAAAAAAAAAACAACACCAACAAGGTTTACTAACTAACAGTATCAAAATCTGTGTCTGAGGAGATACGGCAACCTCCAAACGTCCCATACTGAAAGTCCTCTTAAAAGATGACAGAGACAGAATAGCAATTGACTTCAGTCAATTTTGTGTTATACCTCTTGTGATCAGTAAACTGATTAGGTCGTTTCTCCCGATCTCTAATAGGATGTCTTTTAGCTCTTTAATCGTCAAATCTGGATTCGAGGCCGCGAGATAATCAAATAATCGGATGGTAGGACTGAAGTCACCATACTGTCCTAGTCGTGTAATCACATCCGAGTCGACATCCAGTATTGATGCCAAATGTCTCCAATTACGCATCACTCTTGTATCACGGTCCAAGCACAAACACAGTTCTTCTATAAACTCTGAATTATGACGTAAAATGGCAGATAATTTCAACCCTAAACATGACAGAAAAGTAAAACAAAATGAAGGATTTATTCCACACTGCTAACTGAGTGATATGAACTATCATTGACATTGCAGGGAACAAGCTTCAGTGTATTACTGAGCACGAATCATTTGGACCCATGTGTTCACTAGCCGACGTCTATGAAAGCAGCCCTCGTTAGCATGCACTAAGTGAGAAATGAAGTCATCCGTCAAATGAGTAAGTACCGACAGAATAAACATTTTTCATAAAATTCATGCAAACAAAATGCTAAAGTTGTTAGCAAGTTAGTCTGATGCGTACCGTAAGAAACAAATGCAGTTCGTTGTCAGCCCTTTTATTGCATGTGGTGTTGAAATCTTTTCTTATAAGGGTGAACTTCACCACAATATTAATTGTAAATATACCTCTTTAGTTTGTATGCTTTGTTTTCTTAATGTAGGTAAGTTTTTGAGTAAGTGTGGACTTTAACGAGAGAAAGTTGAACGAAAACGGCAATTATTTTCCAACTCCTGAGGAAAAGTTCTTTTAATAAAAGTAAAATTTTTCTAGACTGTACTTCCCCTTTAATGCCTTATGTGTGGTTTAAGGATAAAACTGATATCAACGATACCAAAATGTAAAAGGGAAATGCAGTAGCTTCTGTATCAAAATTGTTCAAAAAGACGAATAATGTCGATTAGCATCCTATCAGCCATGACAATGCAAAATTTCTAAAGCTCAATGAGGCATGGACGCGATGTTAACCATTAACATTCACCTAAAGACAAACAATGCTCAGAAACAATTCAGTCTTATTCTTTTAGAGTATTAGTAACCCACGCGTTTATCTGACAGCCAGAGCGTGTCATTACATGCACGACCCGGCGTTTCAAATGTCACAATAGCTGGTGTAAACTTTCACACAAATCGAAAACACTTCGAATGGAAATATTCTTGTCTGTGTTAACTCATACATCTCTTAAACTATTAAACACAAACAATATTCTTCTGATCGCGAGCTCAACTAATGTGTACAAAGCCGTTTTCGAAACTGTGTAGCCAGTTCTTTTAAAAAGCTTCCGCCTAAGTTCCGCAATTACGCAATTCTAGACATGTTAAAAGCTGGAAAGTTGTTGGCCTTCTTGCAATCATTGCTAACGTTGGTGGTGTTACCTGCTTCCATTGAAAGCAGTGATTCTGGACTTATTTCGAAATTACAAACATTTTATTCGCAACTTTGGATAATCGTGACTACGGCCTAGATGTCTAAAACTTACGAATGCATTCAGTCATGATTTAGAGCAAAAGAGGTTAAATCACTTTATTTGAAAGAAATAGACGAGAATTACTTACCAGTCGATAGACCTCTTTTACGCAAATAAGCTATTGTAAACTATAAATGCCGATTTTTTTTCGGGCAACGTCGTTCTACTGTAAATTCAACGTCACGAACATAATTTTGACAATTGCATGTACTTGATCAATGTCGGACCCGTAGTGCATTTACAAAAATCTCTCCTTGGCAAAAGGACTACGGCGAAGAACTCGAGATTGAAAAGCGCTTCAGATGTATGCTGTGCGGCTGGAAACCAGTCAAGTGAGCGAAGGAAGGTGTACTTCTCAGTGGATAAATTAGATTAAGATAAACCCAACGCTGAACCGTAAACAAATGATGCGGCTACTGATGAATATTTGTGTCGCTGTTTTGCTACGAATTATCCTTGTGTGGGGCAGGTCCTTCGCTCGTCGTTACATAGGTAAGATTTGCTTGACTTGAAATTAAGAACAAAGCTTGCACCAACTGTATCTTTATTAAACTCTATGCTCTGAGACAGGCAAAAAGTTCAACCAAAACTGAATAAGAAGGTACGAACCAACTTTTCCCCTCCCTGAGTAATCTCGACCCAGGCTCTCTTTTCCAAACACTTAAATATCGTGATTAAAGCCTGTTGCCATGGCTTGGAATGTTTAGATAGCTAAGCGCCGACTCGTGCCTAGTGCTTTGTGCGGCTTGTGCTTCACTTAAAAGAAAACAAATAGGCAGTTAAGACTGCATATGGCTACTGATTCAGCGCAATTTTTGTAGCACTGAAAATAACTAGAGTTTGAAGAATGATGTTAAAAGGTAGTGGCGTTGCAAATGAAGATTTGTTTAAAAACAGAATTGAAAACCTACCGCATTCCACACATTTACGAGAACTCTGTTCCTCAAGAGAAAGATTAATATCAATGATAACAATAGTAATAGCATTGATTATTTATAGGGGCTGGTGCAAAAACCTTACTGTTCCTCTATCTGTCTATTCACTAGGCTTTAATAGTGATTAAACTATGCCTCTTTTAATTTTGCCTATTAATTATAAATTGTTTTCTTATTTCATTGCAATTCCATTTTTCAGGTGAGACTTTTGCTTCCCACAACAAGACATTTCGCGTTGCAGGATATTCTGCCATTCTGCCATTTCAACATCCATCATTCCGTCGATAGGGTTAATGTGTTATATTTTGGACCTCGCTTTCTTAGCAAATTTAGCGGCTCTTTTAGGCATTAGTCGCTAATTAAAATGATAAAATATTCTCTCTTCGAGTGAATAAAATCTTTCTTCAAGTTTTCCACGATCTGCTTATCAAACTTATTTGGGTATTTCTGCAAGGTGGCATATCCTAAGATTTGATGGAGCCACTGACACAGACAGGTTCAGAGGGAGATCCGAGACAAGATTGAGGAATACAAAAAAAGTGGTACCGAAAAAAAGGGGAAAAGGGGGGAACATACAGTGGAATGAGCCTGGTTGGACGATGAATTGCTAGAGGAAAGAGAAAAACGACTGACTTCTCTTTATTGGCCATCCACCATCATGTCCTTTTCACAAGGCTTCTAAAGAGGTTACCTGTTGGTCTTTTCATAGCTATCGTACCTCAGCATGCATGAAAATATTCTCTTGACCTCAGATATTTTCAAATCAGAGATACCGAACAATAAGCCGCTTAAACTTGGATAGCTGCATTTCTCGTTGGGTGAAAAGAGAAAATTTTCCCTTTTTAAATAATACTTCCTCGTTATATCAATAAGAAAAAAAATACTGCAAATCCACTTCATGAATGAAATGTTAAGTTTGAAACGTGGAGTAAGTTTTTCTTAAACGAACTGTCCATGGTTGCGTGACGCATGATTAGTTCATAAAAACGTTTCCTTGTGACCTCCTGGTTGTAGACAAGAGACAACAACCAAGTTGTATAGAGTCTTTTCGCCTTAAAAAAGTCTAAGGAAAAACACTCTAAGCAGTGTTCAAACATATTTTGTAAAACAAAAAGACAAGAGTTGTGCCTCAGGAGATAAGATATTTTCCATTCAAGTATCCTCTCCTCTTTTTTTAGCTGAGTACTCACTCAAGCATGAACTGACACAAGCTGACATGGCACTGAGTCACCATCGATGTTCAAGTCCTTAGGCCAGACGAACCCCAAAAATACTATTTTTGGTTGAGATACAAAAACATCAAATTTTAAAGAACAAACGATTGAAAAAGTAAATAAGCTTTTTATGATGCATGTTATCGGCTAAATTTTTAAAATTTGCACGAGACGTGATTGGGCAAATCTTAATTTGCATACATGTACGACAGGGGCAACTCATAATGTACGTCCTAACTTAGCACTGACCATGCACTTTTCGTCGCTGATTCAAGCGTTAAAACGACACCAATATTAAGTTAAAGATAATGTGAAGTATTCCACGTTACGAACTTCCGAAGCTGGTTTTACGGTATTACTAAAATTGTGTCATATATGGTTAGAAGAAGAATGTAATTGACTTTTTATCGGTTTGTTGCGTCTCGCGACTCCTTCGCTGAAGCAATTTGATCACGCAATTCCAGACCGTATTTTATTGTACCTAAGACGTTACAGCCTCAGTTCCTTGTATTGACTTTTCTCAGTTACGTTTTCCACGTTTTATGGAAAGATACTGAGTCTACTTCCGCCTATATATTTCAAAATATATTGCGAAATTATTCACTTATTCACACTAAAACTAAAACCCGTAGCCTTTTCTGAGCATTTTTCTTCATATAAACAATGTTACCAGGTTTTGATTAAACTTTTTCTAATAAAACTACCACCACAAAATTTACCAAAAATTAGAGGCCCCTGCGTAGTGACTCGATGATAATGTTACTAGGTGTCAAGAGAGTTCCGTTGCGAAGTTGTCGATTCAGTTATATTCCTCCTAAAGTATTTCTAGCTTGATCATAAAAGTCAATGGTTAAAGCAACTCATTAAATCACTCACCAACAGAAAGATCACCAACAGAAGACATCTTGAAGTTTTGGCCAATGACTTTTCTCAATAATCTTCACTCCAGCGGTTATGAAGGCGAATTACTACACAGACGATGTTTGTCATGTAGATCCACTAGCTGTTGATGAATCAGGGCTAGGACAGTCCTTTTGGCATCTCTCTTGGCTTGCTAACGGACAATTAACTTCATAAATGCCTCACACTGTTCGGTTCAAATTACAATAAACGTCGACGAGGTAACAGCATCAACTAAAGGAAGCCTGATCAAAGGTCATCTACTAATGTTCTAGAATACAGAAGGGTAATCAAGCAAGGCGAAACGTCACCAAATAGAGTACAGCCTGAGATAAGATCAGGTCTCATCGTGATTTTAACCATACAACTCTTGGTCACGCTAACTGCGATGAAAATTTTGAAATGAACACGAACAGATGAAATTTCCACCAGACAAACTAAACGCGACCGAAATATGTAAACCGCCTCCCCTTCCCCTCCCTTACCCAGCCTCACTCTACCCAGGTCTTGTGTCCAGCATTTTCACTCATGTCTGGCAAGGACATGTGGGAGCCCATAGTTACTCAACGCTGCAAAGATGTCGGGCATAACCGCACGAAATGTTTACAGTACATGCATAGACATGTCTCCTCAGACTCGTCACGCAATGCTCCTCCTCAACGAACGTCGAGGAAGAGCGTTGCGTGACGAGTCTGAGAACGGCTGCGAATGAGACTAAAGCCTGGGGAGAGAAAGAAATTTTTACCAAGGGTATGATAGAAAGTAAAAAAGAAGCAAAGGGAGGGGTGGGGTAAAATCTACTCATTCCCTCTCCTTCCCAGCACTCTAAATCAAACATAGTCGGTCGAACGATCGTGAGCTTGTAACGTTGACCTGCCCTAATGAGACGCCTGGAATACAGGTTAGACATAGGCTATTTACTGACTTCAAGGTGGGTTGATCTGCTTCCAATTATTAGAGGAATTCCGTGACATAAATGCAATGTGACTTAATTAATATCAACATGGCGCGGTGCTGGCAAAATGATGGTGTACTGTACATGGTAGTCATCGTGATGGACACGTGTTCTCTACCATTTCATTAAGTTCGGAAACCTCTCAGTTAAAACGAGGATTGCAAGTATTCTACTCGCCAGTTTTCTCACTCAAAGTACTCTAAGGGTGAACGATTTGTAACGGATCAATATCTGCGCTTTAATAAGCGAATGTACAAGGTATCAGTGCATCTTTAAGTTTATGTTTGACGGGAATTTCCCGTGGGTCATCGTAAGATTGAAAGGAAAATATCAAATCTACATGTGCGGATCATGCGAAACAAAGGTTGCGATTTCTGTAAAGAGCAATTGTTAGACAGTTAAAATTTTAGTTTTGGGTAATGCACGATTCTGCAACAAGAATCGCGGTTTGATGGAGTTTCCAGGCAGTTTAACATCTACGTTTCCCAATGACACAAATTTCACGAACGGAACTCTTCGTAAGACCTTGTCTACTGTTACAGCTTCCCTCTCCCTCATGGGATCCTTCACAATCTTTATCACGTTCTGGATGTTGCCCGACTTGCGAACTACAGCTCGCAGAATGATCATGTTTATAACAAATGAATAAAGGGGTAAGTTTCTAAAGAAACTGTGGTGCTGCGTCGGTGGGAGAGTATAGCAGGTAATTTAGTGTTAACAACTGGGTTGAAAACGTAAATTAGCCACCGTAAAGAGTAAAAAAGCTGACGTTTCGAGCGTTAGCCCTTCGTCAGAGCCCTTCGTCAGTCGCCGATTTCCTATTTGCTGGCACAACCATCATAGATTATTTGGAAGACACATCGGGATCAACAGGTTATTTCGTTCCAACACTTGAGATGACACTACCACGAATTATGGCGCTTGTTTCATCGCTTATTTGGACAGTTCATTTGTCCTTCTTTTTTTACTTAACAATTTATAGAAGAATTTCCATGAAATCAGAAAGATTGTTTTTAATGTTTTTCACGTAACGGCTTGGGGAGTACCTTTTGTGATCACTGCGGTTGCTTATTTCTTCAATAGTTAAGTTAACTATTGGCAGACCTTGAAACTGGGTACAAGTGCTAGATCCGGAATGAAAAAACTTGGCAGACAATGTGCATCTGGACAACTATTACAGGAGAAGGCTGGGCCATCATGACATGCATCACCATGACTGTGTTCTACCTACTGGTCAAGCAGCACATAAGAAGAGAGCTATTAAAAAAAACTTCAATAAGGTCAAAAAAATTTGATTGAAATGGTGCTCAGAGAAATAGGTTAATTTTGCACTTAAGCTGGGTGGCCCATCCAAGTGGAGCCAATCCTGGTTTCTGTTGCATGAAGCCAGAAGGGTGCCAATCCATCTCAGGGTTATCCTAATAAGCTTTTGTCAGGCTTTTACAATAGTTTGCCAATAATCATTTCTTTATGTCCCCAAGAGGAGACAAGCATGGGGAGAGTTCAATATGCATAGTATCTAATTTCTTCTTACATTATAACCCTTATATCAAAATCAAATCAAATTAAAAAAACAAATTCTCTCAGCCATTAGCTCAAAAAAAATGTTTAGAGAACAGTATGGAGTATATGCATACTGATGTTAGAGTGTAAAGCAGTAAGATAAGTTTAATGCCAAAAAAATATAACATAATAACCCAGTCAGCACTCCAATTGGGACTTCTTTGTCAAGTCTTCAGAGCATTACCCAGTAGCTGGGCTAAATTTCATTCCACTGAGGATATGAATGAGATGAGATTCCTATCACTTTATTGGTATACACATCAGTCAATGTAGTGGGTAAATTTACACCTTTAACCCTTTAACTCCTAAGATCTGATTGTTAATTCTCCCCTCTAGCTGCTACACATTTCCTTGTTAATAAGTTGGGAGAATTTGGTTTTAGATCAAGATAACAACTACCTGATACATTTGAGTATTCACATCACCTGTTTGTTGAATAGTGCATGGATATTGTAGGGAGAAATTACTTATTAATCACTTCTGGGAGTTAAAGGGTTTACTTAATACTGGTAACTAGTAACTTGGTTCTCTTTCTCAGACTCTGCCTACACTCTTTCACTTAGCACCTGTAGTTCCCTTTTTCTCTTTGCTCACCTCATGATCAGTCTAGCTGGCAGAGCTACATTGTAATGAACAATTTCTTTTCTCTTTTTTTAGCTGAAGTCAAGATTTTCTCCAGGAAGCACATTTTTAACATGGAAATCTGCTCATGTTGCAAGAATGATGGACTCCAAATTAACATTTATTCCCATGATATTTATCCTGGAGTGTATTTGGGGAACCATATGATTTTTCCTCCTTGTAACACATTTTCACAATCATGGAAAGGAAAATTTTACTTTACAGTGGCTTGAAATTCTTCATGTAAATAACACTGCCCTATACTATCACTGAAACACTGATTGATGGACCGGTAATATTCTTGTATTATTCGATGCATCAGTAAGATTTAATTGCTTAATTATAAACATATAGTATTCTTTATGCTCTGAAGAGTTTGCAGACCCTGATTGTTTGAAGATTGGATGACACTATCCACTGGGTAAATCTCTGTCTGTTGGACAGTGCAGTGCCTTTTGCAATCACTTATCTGCTATGTGAGAAACCTGCTTGTTGATTTGAAAACCCAGTGGTTGTCTATAAAAGCCAATTCCACATATCTCAAATATGTGCTTTTGTATTTACCCAAATTTGTGGTGTGTAGCCACTATAGTTTTTTTTCAGTTTGGTGGGGAAAGGAGAGGGGGGCTGCTTCTTAACCCTTAGTCCCCAATGAGGTACTTGCATCTAATTTCTCTTCACAATATCCCCCCTGAATCACACATTTAGGACACAAGAATAGTTGGAAATGATCACCAACTAAACAAACTCTTGATTGTTGAACAAATTCTTCCTGTCAGTACCTTAGGAAATGTATAGAAAATAGTACAGAGAATATGCACAGTGATGTTAGAGTAGAAAGGGTTAATGTATAAACCAAGTTCTAACTTTTACTTTGTATGTTTTTCTTCTATGGCATTGGGATTAACAGCCAAGGATTTACAAATTTCATCTTGTTTGTCTGGTGTACCACAAAGATAAGAGAAAAGTTAAAAATGGGGTGTGTTCATTGCCTGTCACTTTTTTGCAGATGTCATAAAAGAGATCAATCAGTAATTAGCAGAGAGAGGTTTTATAAAACATTTAATGATGAATAGATACTGTCAGCGCTCATGCTCTGTAGTTGCCTGAATTACATTATATACTTGTCATTTAGTTATATGTCTGAGTTCTTTTCCAAGAACTAACAGTTATGAGAAATGTGTAGTTACTGGAATTTTTCACAGTTGTTTGGTCAGAAGAAAGATTCTTTTTTCCTCTTAATTGGAGTATGTTGTTATTATTTATTCTTGTGTATGTTTTTCCCATATTAAAATGAAAAACTTTAATTTATTGCTTTAAAGCATTGCCATACCTCAGGGAACAGTTATACTTATGAATTATATCAATTAAAGCTGTGAATAAAGTTCAATACCAGTGGGGAAAGTACTGTATGATTAATATTTGTTCTTTGGATGGGCTCTGGATGAGCTTACCCTTTTTTTTCTCTTTTTATCTTTTGGCTCCTAATTGATGTCTGCCATACAGTTTTTATAATGGTGAAATATGTTTTTTTCGTCTTTTTGGGAATGTTGGACAAAGGACTTCGGATTTTTTTCTTTGTCCCATGCTCGAGACAAGATGCAAAAGAGAAAAATTTGCTTTTCCTTTGCCAAGCTCAAAAATTCCAATCTTTCTTATTCAAATTTTATAATATCAGGTCAGAGAATTTGGTATAGGATCAACTAACAATCTCCTTATTGATGTTTTTCTTTATTCCATTACTTGTTTGCTTGATATTGTAAGGAATTTTTATAATAGCAACATATTTTTTTGTCTTGTGGGGAATGTGGGACAAGAAAACATTTTTTCCTCACAAGGACTCAGGATTTTTTCTTTGTCCCATGCTTGAGACAAGATGGAAAAGAGAAAAATTTGCTTTTCCTTTACCAAGCTAAAAAATTACAATCTTTCTTATCCAAATTTTGTAATATTTGTATGGAGAATTTGGTCTCGGGTCAACTAACAATCTCCTTATAGATGGTTTTCTTTATTCCCATTACTTGTTTGCTTGATATTCTAGGGAAAAACTCTGTCTTGGTCACTCATAAAAGTGAAAGAGTTGTAAGCCACTGTTGGTGACCTAAAATCATACCCTGGTTACATTTGCATTTTATTGTGAGGTTTCATCTCACTGATCTCAATGGACTTTCTTATGAATGGTGCGGCTCGGTTTCAACTGTTTACGCTGGCCATAACAGCGGCCAAGTTTACCCAGACATAAAGCGCGAACAATAGATGAGTTATCACCAATATCCTGTTGTATCCTGTCTGCTTTTTCGAATTTATCAACGGCTTTTTCACACAGACTTTCGCATGCATAACGTGAAAGAATGCTGTAGGCCGTCGCTGTTATGCAGTCACTCTCCTCTTCTAATTTTCATTGTAGGCATCTGCTAATTTTCCAAA